TCTTCTTCTTCATCTTCAAAGTGGGTGTGGCTTCCTTGGCCTTGGTGGAGTTGTGCTCGCTCGAAGCGGTTGTAGGGAGTCCAGCGTCTGAGAGAAGTCCTGGTACTGGGTTGAATCGTACTTCGAATCCCAGGATTCTCAAACAGGGGCTCCTCCAGGTCAACTCGACCCTCAGCTCGATCGAGTTGAGTTTCCTCTGTTTGGACTCGATCGAGTCCGGTGGTCGAGCTGGAGCGTCTGGCCTTGGAACTCTTCCTCCTTCTCTGCGTGTTGTCTCTCCTTCTCTTGGCTCGAAAGAAGAGGCTCTGTGAGGCTCTTGGGCAGGGAGCCTCCTTTGGGTGGTGAGGAGTGACCTACTCCTAGGGAAAGTGGGAGCCTTGGACTTCTTCTTGCTTGAAGAACCAGAAACCTTCTTCTCCAAACTTTTGATCTTGCTCACCATCTTGTCCATGGACTTTTGCATCTTCTCCATGGCTTTCCCTTGCCACTTGTTGAACCTTTTGGAGAAGTCCAATCCTCTTGTGGGCAGCCACAACAGAGGGGTTCATCCTTGGAGCCTCATACTCCTCAAAGTAGTAGCACTCAGGCTCACCCAAATCCGCATTCACTGAGCGTTGTCCTCAGCTCGATCCTCAGCCGACTCAGCTCGATCCTCAGCTCGATCGAGCTCAGGCTCCTCTTCTCGCAAATCCTCTTCATGCCCAACTAATGTGTACACAGGGGGTCTGAAGTCAATGTTCTCCCCCTAGAACTGTGGTGAGCTCAGGGTTGGGCAGAAGAAGCTTGGAGGGCCAGCCAATGGATGTGTGAACTTGAATTGGAACCTCCCATCCAACTCCTTGTGCTCAATGAGAGGTTGGTCTTGCAAAACTTGATGTCCATCCAACCTGCTGTGTAGACTTCTCTTGTCCATGACTCCAGCTGCACACAGATAGGTGTGATGACCCTCCAACACTAAGCTTTCCTTCCCTTTGGTGCCTAGTGTTGTAGGCTGTGATCTTGTAGGAGAGAGCTGGTCAAGAGAGGCATGAGTTCCCTGTGTGATCTATCTCCCCTGATCTTCTTCCCATCCTTGTGCGTGAGATGATGGGCTTGATTCCCATGTCAAGGAGCTTCACTTCTCCTCATTGATTGTCCCGTCGCCTTCCTTGCAAAGAAGGTGTTGGCAAGTGCCTTGTGCACATATCTCAACACTGGGCTCCTGATCTGAGCTGCCTTGGACCTTGAGGAAGAGTAACTCCATCAGCGATTGTAGCCCAAACCCTTTGGAGTCATCCTCCTTGATATTCCCTTGGTTCCCTCCCATAGTGAACCCAAACAAGATCTCCAACTGCCTAAAGGTCACCATTCCTTCTCTCCCTTGCCAAGAACGTGATCCATCCCAATCCTTGGTCCAAATCAGCTCGATCGAGCTCATACTGTGGTACCTCATTGAAGCCAAGAACTCACAAGTGAGCTCCTTGTAGACTCCATGCGGTAGAGAAGAACTTGGCCAAGTGCATGTTCTTGAGGACCAACTCCACATCTCAAAGATTCCAAGGGCCTTCATTGTGTCATCATGTGGGTACTTGGTCTCCACAAAGTCCATGGAGAAGAGAGCATCATAGTGCTCTTGGTACATGGGGAGCTCATCCTCTTCTTCACTTGACTCCTCCTCTTCCATGGGCACATTCTCATTGCCCTCATGCTCACTCTCCTCAATCTCTTGATTGATCTCTTCACCCTCTTCTTCACTTGGGAGTCATCATTCTCCTCATGTGGGATGTTCACCCCAATTTCAAACTCTCCTGCTTCGCTCTCACTGCTGAGAGGATCATTCCTTCTTTTGGTTCTCCTTTCTTCCCTCACCCTCTCAACCTCTTCATGTCCTCCTTGGTTTGTGTTTTGAGTATCCTCCTTGCTCCTCTTATCATCTCCCTCCTTGTGAACGCTGCTTGCTTCCTTCACCTCTCAACATCTTAGATTGGTCCTGAAATGCATCAAAATTCAAAGAATTAGAGTTGTAATGATCGGTTTGGTCAACTCGACACTCAGCTCGATCGAGTCAAAAAACTCGAGTGACAAACTCGATCGAGTTGGTGAAAACAGAGTATAACCAAACCTAATTCAAGTATTAAGAGCTGGAAAGGATGCTAATCAATCAAATTGAACCAAGAACAACTAGTAAATGGAACAATAAGCAATTCTAGTGAAAAACATAGCAACCTAACCATTACCAAACTCAAATTCAATTTCAAGCACATGCAACAAGTTTAAAGGCAAAACAGAGGTGAGGTGAGGCAAATTCACAAGATTATACAAGGGAAGATAAAAAAAGCAATTACTCAAGAACAAGTCCACAAGGGACACATGCAATCAAAAATCAAGAGGAAACAAGCAATGGAGGAATCGAGATGAAGAATCAAGGGTTTAGGGTTCATACCTTGCTTGATGATGGAATTGAAGAGCAGTAAACTAAGAACTAAGCAAAACAAGATGAAGAACAAAGAAATCGCAAAAACTTAAGAGAGAGGGATTGAAATCGATTTTTCTTGTGGTGAAGAGAGAGATGGATGATTTCAGAAATTTAAGATTGTGGGAGAGAGAGAAGGTGGATTCGATCGAGTTATGGGGAAGAGAGTGTTTGAGATGTGTGGTTGAGATTAAAAGATGAAATAAAGAGGGAACAAGAAGCTAGGGATTCTCTGATCAATTAGGGTAGTGGGGGACCAAAATCAGCTTGTGGGACCCACTCCCTTGACCAAGAAAACGGTTATGAATTTGAAATTCAAAAACTTACCTCGGTCGAGTTGTGGCTCGATCGAGTTGCCCTGGTTTCTAGCTCGATCGAGCTGTCGGTCGAGCTGGCTCCTTGACACCTAAACTTAACTTATTGAAAGGTTAAAAACATAAAGATAGATAGAAATTGCATAAATAGAGTATGTACAAGGATAAACATGGGACTTCCTCCCAAGTGAGCTTGTTTAAGGTCCCATAGCTTGACCTTTACCTTCTTAGGCATTGGTTGAGCTAGTCCCACCATCAAGGGTGATAGTGAGGACTTGAGACAGAAGCTCCTTTAGCTTGGTTGGGTCCCTGGACTGTTCTGAAGTCACCAAGGCCTTGGCTCTAGAGAATGGCCTTGATCTCCCCTTGTACCTTATCTTGTACTCAATCTTCCCATTTTCAAACTTGGTGGGGAACAAAGTCATTGTGAGCTGAGATGGCTTGACTGAAGGGGCCTGAGCTGGTGGATCCTTTCTTTTATCTCCTGGTCTTGCCTTAGAGGCTGCATCCTCCCCTTCTTGTAGAGCCCTTCCTAGTGGCTCATCAAACAAAGCTTGAAGGCTCTCTTCATCAAGCACACAAGGGGCTTGAACAAGTCGCTCAGCTCTTGGCCTATCAGATCGTGGTTTCTCAACTCTAGCCCTCTCAAGACGTGGCTTCTCAATCCTTGGTCCTCTCTCATCCTTATCCTTCCCAACTCTTGGTTCCTTGTCAACCCTTTCCTTCACAACCTTTGTAGCTCCATGACTCTTAGAACTGAGATTGGTACTGTCAATTGTGGCACAAAAGTCTGAACCTCTAGGCTGCAAGCGATATGACACCAAACTATTCACCTTGTGAAGGATCACTTCTTGCTTGTGAAAGTCAATTGAAGCGCCAACTGTACTAAGGAAAGGGGTTCCCAATAACAAGGCAAATCCTTCTCTTCTTCCATTTCCATCACAGTGAGATCAGTTTGGATGATGCATTCTCCAATTTTCAAGTGATAGTTCTTGAACACTCCAAGAGGAGACTTAGTAGTTGCATCTCCAAAGATGATTGAAGTAGTAGGGCGCTGCAAGGCTCCAGCTATGCCTAGCTTCTCTGCCATGGAGAGAGAGATCAGATTGATGCTTGCTCCAGAATCCACTAAGGCATTGTCAATCTCAAGATGCCCAAGTGTGCAAGGGAGAGTGAATTTCCCTTGATCCTTGACCTTTGGTAGGAAGGTGGGTGAAGTAAGCAGGTTGAACTGATGAGTAGACTCTTGTAGGACCTCTGAAACTTTATCACTGTTGGCTAGAACATCCTTGACCATTTGCATTTGATCAAATGCCTCACTCATGCTATCCATAGAGGCAACTCAATTCCAATCCCACTGAGATCTCTTCTGAACTTGTGAATCACTTCCTTGTGACCTTGACTAAGTAGGCGAGACGAGGAAGCGGCAACCGGTTGATAAGGATCAAGCAAAACAGGCTGTCGGACAGAAGAGGTCGGACTCGATCGAGCTAGAGTTGGACTCGATCGAGCTGCCGATCGAGCTTGTCGTGCGAGCTCAACTGGTGAAGTGTGAATGGCCACAGTAGGTGCATGCACTTCTGGTTGATCAATCTGGACTCCAGGAGCCTCAGCAGCAACAATCTCTTCATCATTCAGCAGTAAACAAAAATCTTCAATGACCCTTTCTTGATCCTCTTCTTCAACAAGTCCTTCTTGAGTGAAGATGACCTTGCACTGTTCCTTGGGGTTCTGAATAGCTTTACCAGGTAGTTGTCCTTGCTTTGTAGCAGCAGCAACAGAAGAAGCATGATTCTCCAGAGAGTAAACCCTTGTGTTGAGGTTCTCGATCTTAGAGTTTATTTCAGCTAGCTTCTTGCTTGTGTCCACTACCCCATCAGCTTGCCCTTGAAGTAGTTGCTTTAGCATTGCTTTGAGCTCATTCTCTTGTGAAGGTGCAGGCTGGGGCGGTTGGTGGGGGAAGCCTGGTGGGATATTCATTTGTTGTCCAGGGAAAGTGCCTTGTGGTCCTTGGTAATTGTTCTTTTGACCATACCCATGTTGTGGCCCTTGACTCGATCGAGCTGCTTGTTGTTGAGGATAGACTTGGTCCTGAGGGTTAGCAACATCAGTGTTGCGGTATGACATGGCAGGGTTGGACTTGTAGTTATAGTATCCTTTGTTGTAACCTCCTTGCCCATTGCTCATGTAGCACACCTCAGCAAATTGTGTATCCTCCCCTTCTTGGACTGGTTCCATCTCCTCAGCAGACACAAAGTTGACTTTCTTCATTGTGGACTGAGCTAGGATCAGCTTATCCAACTTCTCATTCAATGCCTTAACATCTTTTCTCAACTTTTCGTCTGACTCGATCGAGTGGTGGGTCGAGCTCCGGTTGGTGCGATCATACTCTTCTCCATAGCTTCCATTTGAGTTAGCTATGTTCTCCACAAGTTGCCAGCCATCATCTACATCCTGGTTGAGGAAGTTCCCATTGCTAGCTGTGTCTAGCATCTCCCTATACCTAGGCAAGCATCCTCTATAAAGAGTGGAGAGTAGGATTCATTGTTGAATCCATGGTGTGGGCACTGACTTGTGTAGCCTTTGAACCTCTCCCAAGCCTCTGCGAATGTCTCATTGTTTCGCTGGATGAAGCTGGATATCTCTCCTCTAAGCTTGGCTGTGCGACCGGTGGAGAAAAACTTAGCAAGAAAGGCCTTCTTGCATTCATCCCAAGTGGTGATTGTGCCATGGGGCAAGCTCTTCTCCCATTGGTGAGCTTTGTCAGCTAGAGACATAGGAAAGAGTCTCAGCTTGATGGCATCTTCAGAGACACCATTGATCTTTGTCAAATCACAAAGCCTATCAAACTCATCAAGGTGGTCAATGGGGTCTTCACTTGGCAATCCATGGAACATCTTGTTCTGGACAAGGTTGATCATTCCCAGCTTGATCTCAAAGTTGTGGTTCTGCACTGGTGGTGGAACAATCCCTTGTCTCTGTTGGTGGCGGTTTGGAGCATCTCCTTGACCAATCGGTCGAGTTTGCCTAGCTCGACCGAGTCCATTCCCAAAGGGTTTCCATTCCCCTCTGGTACATCCATTGTATCAGCAACAAGCACCTCAGGTTCCTCTTGTACCCTCTGTGACCTCTGAACCCTCTTTCTACCCGTTGTAAGTCTAGCTCGACCAAGTCTTCAGTTGACCGACTCGATCGAGTTCGCATACACCTGCAAAAAGAGACAAAAACCCAGCAGTACAATAGAACAGGGGTGGTATAGCTTGATCGTCCAAGTGTGTTTGAAACTCAAATGCAACAAAAATATTCCCAAATCGGCAACGGCGCCAAATTGATGATAGGATTTGTGTGTGGATGTGAAAAGAATGAAATGAGATGAGTGGAATGCAATCAGTGGTAAATGATGGTGGTAAGATGCAAACACAAACACAGTCAACAATTCCCTTTAACCATCATAGTCATTGAAGTATAAGAGGTTATCAATCCAAAATGGGAAACTTGTCACTCTATGAGAATATGAAACAACCAGAAAGTCAAGCAAGCAGTTATAGATTTGAAGTAACACTAACAACCTAAAAATGAAAATGCAGTGCAATAAAAGTAAACAAAGCAGTAAAAGTCAGCTCGACCAAGGACTCGAGTCGAGTGGCAGAGTACCAGCTCGATCGAGTTTAGGGTCGAGTTGAGCAAAAACAGTAAAGGTGACGACTTTAACAAGATAAAGAGAGAATTAGGGTTCAAGACAGGGTTTTGCAATCAAAGGAATCTACACTTAATCAATCTAGCTCTTAAAACTCCTTGTATCAAGGCTTCTCTTGATATTGGGCTTCTCAATGCCTAGCCAACCCTTTCCCAAGGTGGAGGCTATCAACCAAGGAATGATCTCAGAAACAGGGGGTTAGCCAGTGAGAATCAAACCTTGGAGGCTATAGGATCATTGCCCAAACTAATCCATCCAACCCCTTAGACCTCTATTGTCTAGAGCAAGAGATATTGGAGCTCTTAGTGGATCTTTTCCAGCGAATGCCATCACTTCCGTGTGGGGAGTCGCCTAAGGACTTACAAGCCAGGGGTAGTGGTCATGTAGCCTTAAGATCTATCCAAAAGAGAGAGAATCTAGATTAAGACCATAAGCTAGAAGGATTAAGCATATGAAACCTCTAATCTATCCCATCTCAAACCCTAATGGGTAACTACTCACTACACATGAATGTAAACACAAGCAAATGCAATAAAAGAGACATCATAAGAAAGAGGAGATGAAATTAAACAACTTTTATTGAAATAAGCAAGTGCAAATACAAAGAATTAATCCAGGATCTAAGATTCAAGAAGCAAGAGCTTCAAGAACACAAAGATGGGATTAGGTTCTAAAAAGTAAAAGACAATAAATTAAAGAAAGCTAAAACAAAATAATCTAAAGCTTGGTGGTTTTTTCGTGGCTTAGAGCCTTTAAATACAAGAGGATTAGGTTTAGGGTCAAAGGAAAGTCAAGGGGGAAGCAACATTTTTCGGGTTTGACTTTGACTTCCAGCTCGATCGAGTTGAAGCTTGGCCGGTCGAGTTGAGGAACTCGACCGGTTGGTCGAGTGGACGGTCGAGCTGGTCTTCAAGATGGCTTCTCCCTTCTTCCTTTGCGTATCCAGTTGAGCTGCTTCCATGTGCCAAGTCCCTCCATGCTCCTTATGTCCCATATGCTCCAGAATGCTCCAAAAGACCTATTTCAAAGGACCAAACATGCATATGTATGCAAATGCAACCTAAAACTAACATGAATGCATAAGAAGAGAAAAGGAACAAGATATGATGCAAATGGAAGCTAAAACTATGCAAAAGATGCATAAAAGATGTGCTAAAACTATGTAAAATGCAAGTACATCAGTATGTCTCTAGGTGATTAAATCAAACATTAGATCGACCGGGTTCCGATACAGTTCACTAGGTTAAGGAAATCAACTTTCGCAGTCTAAGAAACACTAGCTTGTCAAAGAATATGTCCGGCGAATGATACAACACTTTTGTGGCTCAAGTCAACCTAAGATCAGATTACTAGATGCGCGGTAAAGAAATGAGCATTAATTAAGTGAGCAAGACGAGACAAAGACTCTAAGATAATCCTTAGCGAAACATCGAATTCAAAGATCATGCATGCAACTCATTGATTAGTAATCCTAGCAACCTAACTAGTGGATTACTTAGACATGATCAAAGCAATAACATAAAGAGATGAAGAAAACATCATAGATAGATAAAGGTTTAGAAAACTTCTCCAAATTGAAGTGAGGAGGAGAGATCTTCTCCTTGAAATCTCTAGAACAAATCTTTAAGTGTAAAAACGTGATACAGTATGAGGCTCTCTCTCTCAAGAGGCTAAAAAGTTGTAATTAAGTACTAGGTATTCAAAGGCAGCATTAGGTTAAGTCGGGAAGTGAAAGCGTGTGAAACGGGCTTCAAAACAGGCTTCGGGTCGACCGGACCGTTCGGACGGTCAGTCGGGACGATCGGCTGGCTATCGGTACGATCGAGTTGATCGTTGGCGAGGGATTCGTCGTTCGGTCGGGCTCGGCTGGATGAATGATTTTGGTCGAAGGCTCTGGGCCGGAAGCGGGACGATGCCTTCCTGGTCGGACGGTGCGATAGTGCGTGTGGCACAGATTGTGGTGAGCAGTCGGAATGGACGTGGGGCGATGCAGTCGTGTGCGGCTTATGGTGGCGAGACTAGAATGGTCGACCGCGGGACGATGCTTCTCGGGTCGGTCTGTGAGCTCGGCCGTGCACTAGACGGGATGGAACGCGGACGTTCTGCGTGGGTCGATCGTGGGACGATAGTTCCTCGGTCGGCCGGTACGCACAGTTGGAACGCGGTTGCTCGGTCTAAGCCGTCTGGACCAGTCTTCACTGATTTGATCATAACTCCATGTCTACTCATCCAAATGATGCGAATCCACTTGCGTTGGAGAGTTAACTCAATCAGAGCACGCTGCGAAGTAGTCTTGATGAAATCCGTTGAGTAGATTGTTTTTCAGGCCTTCTCAAAGTTGATACTTCGGTATGGAGCGGGTTGAAGTGCAAATCTTATGGTTTTGCTCCAAAATGCATCATTTCACCTGTTTAGACTCTTAATACTATAAATCCAATAAAATTACCTTTTCAGATAGAAAAACTGCTAAAAACCATTAGAAAACCATACTAAAAAGCATGTAAAATAGAGCTATATCACGCGCACGATTGATATACCTCTATTTTACATGCTTTTTATACTATTTTACATGGTTTTCTAATGGTTTTCTAGTGGATTCTTGTCTTAAAAGGTAGTTTTTATGGATTTATACTGCATAGAGTCATTTTAGGTCCATAGGTGCATTATGGAGAAAAACAGAGGATTTGGACTTCAAACCAGTCCACTGTCACAACATCTACTTTGGGAGGAGCTAAAAAAACCTTCTACTCAATGGATTTCATCAAGACCACTTTGGCACGTGCTCTGAGTGAGTTAACTTTCCAACGCAAGTGGATTGGCATCATTTGGATGAGTAGAAAAGGAGTTTTGATCAAAATAGCAAAGACTGGTCCAGGCGGCTCATACCGAGAAACAGCGGCCAGACCATGCGGAACAGCCGGCCGAGGAACATCTGTCCCACGATCGGCCAACATCCGGACACTTCATCCGTCCCGCCTGAACGCACGGCCGAGCTTACATACCCACCCGGGAAGCATCATCCCGCGGTCGGCCAATTTGAAATCACACAGCCGAAGCCGCGCACGACCGTGCCGATAGCCGATCATCACCCGATAGTCGGCCGAATGTTCCGACCGACTGTCGACTTACTAGATCTAGGTCTAGCCGCTTTTTCATACTTAGTGCATTATAAATACTTCTTTTTAGCCTTGTAACTCAAGAAGGAGAGAGACCACAATTTACTTTACATCTTTAATAAAGTTTTACTTGCTTTTACTTTGTTCTTGCTTGTTCTCTTTCTAGAGAGGATTCGAATCTCTGTTCTTATGAATATGAATTCGTTTTCCTTCTCTATGTCTGAGTAGTTTACTTGTTAAGTGATAGGAAGTCAAAGGATGGCATTCATGATTGCTTGATGATCGATCACATGAATTAGGGTTTTACTTATAATCTTCACCTCTTTGCTTATACTTAATGCTTGTTGTTAATCTGGCCAATTAGCATATGATTATAGGTTGATTTGAGCCTCGAAAGTGCTGTATCATTCGCCTGAACTAGTATTTGGTGGGCAACCTCTTTTAGACTGCGAAAGTTGATTTACTTGTAGGTTGTGAACAATTGAACTTATTCGAACTAATGCTTGATTTAATCACCTAGGGACATACCAAAAGTTTAGCGACTAGGGAGATTAACAAAGGGGTCGGAGCCACGAAAGTGGAAAGATCATACCATAGTGTTTCGAGTTCTAGATGGCACCTAATTGCAATAACCCTAATTGATTGATCCTTGCTTCTTGAATTGCTTATCTTAAGACTATCCTATTGCTTAGCCCTTCTCCTATTGATTTCAACCTCTTTACTTATTTCCTTTACTTGCATGCCTTTACTTTTACTGCACTCAACCAATCTCATACTGTTTGCCCTAGCTCGATCTCAATCTCATAGTTTGTAGTGTGCAATCTGGTCCTTGTGTTCGATACCCGTTTACTACTTCTGACCTGTGCACTTGCAGAATCAGGGATAGGAAAAGGGAAGACCTGATCCCGCGATCAAGTTTTTGGCGCCGTTGCCGGGGACCAATTCGCACCTACAAGCTCTTGCAAGAGAGCTAGTCTAGGGTTTTCTTCAATTTCCTTTTAGTTTTTGTTATTTTTCCTTTTACTTTTGATTTTCGTTTTTCCTTTTTGTTTTTGAACTTTTTCAGGTTTTCCTAGTTAGATATGGAAGAGGATTCACAAGTCCTTGACCCTATAAAGGCGATCCCACTTCGCCACATACCACCTCAAAGGAATCTCTTGGATGAACAAGAGATGTCAAGCCCTCAAGCACCACCACCTTCTTGGGATAGTCCTCCAAAAGTTATCCCCCTTGAAGTCCAAGAAGAACCTTCTTCCCTACCTTGAAGCAGCCGACCTGGAGACGTCTAGCCAAGCCGCATCCTACAGAGAAGAACACCTTCTAGCCACACCAGAAGAGGAGATTGACCCTGAACTGATCGAGTTCGTGAAGAGAGATCAATTCCATGATCTATATTCGGAGTATGCACTGGAGCACATAGATCACTTTGAGAGTCTTTGTGATTCTTATGGAGTTTCACCTTTGAGAAGAAGATGATGCTATTCAGCATGTCTTTAGCTGGACCAGCTCTAGACTGGGCGCAACACGAACCACTTTCTCCAATCGAGTCATGGATCGATTTTAGAGAAGCATTCTTGGAGAGTCTAAGTACAACCACTACTCTATCACATTGAAGTGGAGCGTGATGAAGAAGAATGGGGAGGCATACAACCTCATCCTGAGATCATGAATGAAGAACTAATCAAGCATGTGGAGAGAGACCCTTTCCATGATTTTACTTCAGAGTGTGCAAAGGAGCATCTATACAACTTTGAGCAACTTTGCAACTACTATGGTCTTGGAGACAACCCCAAGAAGATACAATTGTTCCAACTATCACTAGCTGGACGAGCTCAAGAATGGGTGAAGTTCAATGCCCAACACGCCTTCAGAACTTGGAATAGGTACAAGGAAGCTTTCCTTTACAGATTTGCAAGAGGTCCTATCTATGTTCCACCACCCGCCCCAGCTACTCACAACACCATCCATCATCACCAAACATAGACCAAGCACCTTTATTTGCTGAGGAGAATCCAAACCCCACGCCCAACCAAGATTGAATTGATGCTTCAACAATACTTGAAGGATCAAGTTGAGAGTACAAAGAAGATGGAGAAGAGAATCGATTTCATCCATGAGAGTCTTGGAAACAAATCTGAAGTCCTATTCAAGCAAGTGATCAAGCTTGATGAAGACATTAAGAAGCTTAAGAGAAGACCATGATCGATCTTAACCTATAAGCTTGATGTTTCCAAATATCAAGAGCTACTCAACAAGAAGCATGAGATTGAAGACACCAACTATGACAATAGCAAGCATCTTGGATCAATCTACAACCGCCTACAAGCCCTTGAAGGATCATCCTATCCCAAGTACAAGAGAGAGAGGAGTCCAACACCCAACCTCCCTCCCTTTCCTTACAATGCTACAAGAGCTATCCATAGAAGAGGCAACACTCGCCAAGTCCATGAAGACAATGAAGAAGAAGAAAGAGAATGAGGAACAACTTGAAGATGAAGATGAAGAGCAGAGCATTGACATTAATGCTTCTCCAAAACAGAGCAAGGAACACATCTAGCTCAGCTGACCCTCGTTCTCACCACCACCACGAAGCCAAGGTTCAGAGCTTCCAAGTTTAGAAGTGATGGAAACCCACCGCCTGCACCTAGTGAAGAAGAAGATACTTGGTGCTATGATCTCATTGATCCCAACAAGATAAGCCCCATGAAGCTTCAAGAGTTCAATGCTAAGGTTAAGTCACTACCATTCTATATTACTTTTGAAGAAGCTTGGGACAACCACAACTTGGTTGATTTCTTTTTCTCATCTGGCGAATCCAAAGAAGAGATACACAAGCTCTTTAGACAAGCTCGATTTCCCCTTGCGCCTCATGCAGCCAATCAACCACCATCTCCACAATCTACACCACGCCATGAATGGTATGTTAACTCCATATCAAGAGAAAAGCTTGATGAGTTCAATAAGTTCGTCCAAACCCTTCCAGCCAGCATGACATTCAATCAAGCTTGGAGACACTATCCATTCACCACCTTCTTCCACAACTGCAAAGAGACCCCAGATGATATTAGAGAGCTTTTTGAGAAAGCTAAAGTTCAACCAACCTTCAAGATCCTCTACAAGATCGAAGATCCAGGTCAATTCTCCATACCATGTCAAGTGAATGGTCATTACTTTGAGAGGTCACTTTGTGATTCTGGTTCCTGCATTAACCTTATGCCCACTCAAACCGCCAAACTCCTTGGTATAACACGCCTACAACCTTCTGTAGTAGCCTGCTAACTCCATATAACTCATGATCTCTTTAGCACTACTAGGTCTAGGTCAATCCCTGATGGCCTCAATCTTCGGCGGATCCACAGAAACTCCCTCTACAAGCACAATATGATCAAGAAATCCCATCTCCCTCTGCCAGAAACTGCACTTGCTCAACTTAGCTAACAGCTTTCTCTCCCGAAGCTTCTCCAGAACCAACCTCAAGTGAGTCGCATGCTACTCAGGAGTCCTTGAATACACCAAAATGTCGTTGATGAAGATGATGACGAACACGTCCAAATACTCCATGAACACGTCGTTCATCAATTTCATGAAGGCTGTCGCACGTTAGTCAAACCAAAGGGCATCACCACAAACTCAAAGTGCCCATAACGCGTCCTAAAAGCAATATTCTTGACATCAGCCTCATCTATCGGGATCTGATGATAACCCGACGCCAAGTCTATCTTGGAGAACCAAGTAGCACCCCTCAGCTGATCAAACAACTCATCAATCCTGGGAAGACGGTATATGTTCTTCATAGTGACTTGGTTAAGACCTCTGTAATCGATACACAATCGAAAACTACCATCCTTCTTCTTCACAAACAACAGCGGGGTCCCCACGACGAAACACTCGGCCGAATGAACCCCTTAGACAAAAGGTCCTCTATCGTCTTCTTCAGCTCTGCCAACTCTGCTGGCGCCATCCTGTAAAGGCGTCTTAGATATTGGTGTTGTCCCCGGCTCTAGCTCAATCGTGAAAGGATCGGACCGAGATGGTGGTAATTCCTTCAGTGACTGAAACACATCCTCAAAATCCTGACAACCTCGATATCCCCCATAACAACTCCAGCTCCTGACTCCGACATAGAAATTGTCGCCAGATACGCCTCACAACCTCGCTCTATCATCTGCTCAGCTTGAATAGCAGATATCCCAATACTCTCGGAAGTCGGCCTCACTCCTTGATACACCAACCTCCATGCATCTCGATCGAAGGCCACTCTACATCTCGCTCGAAGGCCACTCTACCTCTATAGCTCTAGATGAACTTTGTAGTACGACAACCAGTCCATCCCGAGTATAACGTAATACAGCTCCACCGGACTGATGACTAAGTCTGCTGGCATTGACTGCCCCGCAATCTGAATATTGACTCCTATAGCACGGCCCGAAGTAGCCAAGAATCGACCTCCTGCCACTTTAACCATGCCCGCACCGTCACCAGCGCTACTGCGGATGCCACTCTTCTTGGCACTCTTCAGTGTAATGAAGCAATTCGATGCTCCTGAGTCAAACAACACGTGGAACTCAAACGCCCACTAACAAGGTCCCTACACATTCAAATGCGTTGAGAACCTCCACAGTTCTATCACAGATAAAAATTACTAACAGACAACACAACAACAATTCTACACTAAGAATTTACAAAGTCTGAGTAAAAGATTTACATGTGATCTGCCCGGTTTGACTAGTCCCGCCAGTCTCCACCGAAGAATAGCGCCACGACGCCGATGCAATCTGACCTACCGGATGCACCGCTGCAATCTGGCTCACTGGCTTAGCCGGTACTGGCTGAACCGACGCCACCGACATACTCCGCAACTTGGGGCACATGGGCTTGATATGCCCCGGCTCCTTGCAATAGCAGCACACCCTCGGTGCTGCATCCCTCTTGGGACAACTCGAAAAACGATGCTCCGTGCTCCCACACCCATAACACGAATTTCGAGAATACTGGCTAACTCCAGAAGTCTCCTCTCTACTCCTTTTCTGACCCTGTGCAGGCCTACCGCCTCTGGCAGAACCAGAACTCGCACTAAAACTGCCACTTATGTGCGATGTTGCTGCTGACAATTTAGTATGATGCATAGTGGATGCAGACCATACAACATCCACCGAGCCCACGATCGATGACCAATTTCAGGAGATTTCGGAAAAGATTTTCAGATTACTAACCCTTGACTGGAAAAGATTTTCAGATCACTAACCCTTGACTGTTGAGATTTTTTTATCGTAGAGGCAATAATATTACTTTTTATTTTTTTTGGGCTGCAATATTTATTTAAAAAAAGATTTATTTAAAAAAAGAAAAGTTTGATTGGTGAGGTAATAGAATTATAGGGGGAAAACTCATAGAGATATAGAGATTGCACAAATAGAAATGTGTCTTTTAATCCCTATAATATCTGGTAATGCTTCTTCAGAAATGTGTCTTTTAATCCAAACTCACGGGATAATGCTTCTTCAGAAATGTGTGTATAGGAAAGCTAATGAGCCTCTCTTCTACAAGATGGATTCAACACCGATATGGAGACCACAAGTTTCCTTCTACCCACTTCCATTCTCATCTTCACTATCGTCGCTGTCGTCGCTGCAAATGCAACAAACTATACTTAATCCCAAGTCTTATATGTGGAAAGATGAAGAGAAGCCCTAATATTGAATCGTTTTATAGCCGGGATACAAATGCATGATACAAAGCCATCTGAAATGTACTTTGGCTGTATTGACTGAAAGATTCTGCCACGAAAAAAGAACTTCGTATGTAAAGAAGATGGTTAAGTACCTGTGTTCAGGTAACTTCGCTAACCGTCGGGCATCCAATCCTGTAATATATTTTTGAGCTGCTTGAACATTTTCTGCACCTGGGAAGACCAATCAAAGAAAATTAGTAAATTTGCCAACATATTCTGGGATTAAATATCTGAAAACTCAGAATTGAGATGTGTTGCGGAGTAATTCTGTAAATTCAATACCCTTTGTTAACTGGAACACGTGCAAAGCACATCTCTCTGCAGCAAGTCTTACTGGTGTGCTCCCATCCTTCAAACATTCAGCAAGAGGAGGCCCGATAACGCTCACATTTGCCATGGTTGCTGTCGGGTTAGCCTGTAAGAGGAAACGTCTTACAGTACTATTGCACGTATCATAGGCGAACAAATCTATCTACTCAAAACAACTAAGGGAATCCTACACTTACTTTTGCAAAAGCTTTCAGTGAAGAGAGTGCTCTTCTTCGGACCTCACTTGAATCGTCATGCAAAGCTAAGACTATTGATGAAAGGATATCGATAACAACTCTTGTGTTGGAAGGATCCGTTGCTAGTTGATGTAGCAAGAGCCTTCCCAAGGCCTTTGTCGAGGTTTCACGTAACGGAAACTATTTCAAAAGTAGGTGTAAGAAAGGTTATACAGCAAACGGGGACGGGGAAAACCTTATTTCTCAAAAAGTGTACCTTCTCATCCTTCAAAGAGCTCTTAAGAGAATTCAACATTGAAGAAAAGAGTGAAGATGTCATAACGGTTGAAGGATTGTGCTTCAGCAAAGAGGCAATACAGAGAACTGAGCCATGCCTAGCACTCCATTTTGGTGAAGCAGATAAATCTCTGACTTCCTGAAGCAGAACATTGAGTTGGGCAGCTTCCAAATACTGCAAAAATAGGGATGTTAGAAGCTTTGGCTTCATCAAAGCATACAAATCATCAATAAATAAAGACACTAATTCTATTTCCAACGAAAATACGTTAAAAATGGTAAGTTCGAGAGCTATAAACTTGGAACTAAAATGAAAAAGTACGCATGTAAGAAGCCTACCTGTGACAAAACACCCAGCATGCTTGTGGCAGAAATACGAACTTGGTCGTCAACACTGTGCATAAGATCCTTTAGGAGATCGAAAATGCGTATTCTAACAGATGCCCCAATGCTCTTCCCAGCATGCTTTATTACACCTCTCATGGCAGACAGGATGGCCTCACGTACCGCAGAATCTGCAGCCTGATACATTTAACAAGTTTCAAGATTACATAAGAAACTAATGTAGACAGAGTACGAATTTATACATTTGTGGCTAAACTAAGATGCAATAAGTACCTGGAAACTTGTCATCAAGTCCCCAATTAATGGGTCAATCCTTGTGCTTAATGAACTTAGCTTTCCTAGGGCAAGCGCAGCACTAGAACGGATGGTCCTGCAGTGTAAAGGTGTTAGCTCGAAGTACCCGAGATCACGTATATGACAAATGGACCATAACTATTAGATGTGCTTAGAAAACATCTGGTGTAGAGGTAGTCGATTGCCTTTCACTAAACATTTGTAAACTACTCTTTCACTAAAGTTGAGATATCAAGGACTTACCTAGTAGAGTCTTGTAGACACTTGACAAATGTTGTTTGAAGTTGAGGGAGGAATGGCTTAAGCGCCATCCCACCCCTTTGTATTAGGATGATTAATGTAGCCAAGATAGCGCTTTTGACCTGCCATGGAAACCGATCTCCTATGATTCGAATAAGAGGCCTGAAATAACAAGTAAAAATATTGTTCTGTCAATGACCTAACATCCTTAGAGCTAGATCTGTACTCGGATAGCACGCTATGCAATTATAAACATCAAGTTATTCATACAAAACTCTACAACACAGCCCAAGTAAGAAATAGAAATGGATTCATAGCAAAAGAAGTATCGGCACAAGAAATTAAGATTCACACACTGCATACCCTGTTATCGGTATGACAAACTCCTTTAATGCTTGCTCGCTAGTAACTTCAATAAGCTCACCAAGACCAAGTGCAGCTTGTTCTCTTAATTCAGCTGATCCACTAATTAGACCCTGGACATTATAGCAAAAGGATAAGAGGGGGAGTACAAAATTGCGTGATTGCTCTTGTACGTGCAAGCAATAAAGGGGAACAGTTTTTGCATTTCCTTTTCAAAAATTGAGATTCATCTTGACTTTTGTTAAAAAATGATGAATGCGAGATCAGTGCAAGCCACCCAGAAACCACAGCTTATACATGATCTAAAATATTAAATTTTAACGTGGCCTTAAGCAAAAATTACCTGTAGAAATACTGGAAGTAACGGCTTAAGGGATTTAGGGAGGCATAAACCAGGAATAACAACATATCCTCCCTGCAATTCAAGTAGCACAGTATACTCTACATATTAATTGAAAGAATATATTGCTTCATCCGTAATATGATCGTTCTTAAAGAATAATGTTCTTTAATTCTTTAGAAACATAGCATAGAGGTCACCTTTCGCTTTCTACGCTCTTTGTCCCTAGCTGTAGATACAGCATCGCGTACAAGTTTAATATACGAAGGAAGTACTTCCTTTGGAACTGAGCCAATAACCCTAGCCAAAGCTTCCCACGAAACCTGTTGAAAGAGAGAAAGTTACACAAGACATAATTACTTCAACTCTTTTCAGTCTGGCCAAGGAGCCTACCGCAACAGTTGTTGAATCAGAATCACTGAGCATAACAATCAAAGTAGATATCATGTTTGGAGCTTCATCAATCAAGTAAAGCTTGCTACTCTTGAAGAAGTAACCGATCAGATAGGAAGCACTTCTTCTTATTGAAGCCTGAAGATACACAATTTAGAAACCTATATTACTTCCATGCCAAAATAAAATACTTAAGCAAAAAGGTAACAAACAAACCTGACTATCAGACACTCCTTTGAGAAGTTCTGATAATAGAGTCTCAACGCCTTCTTCATCAATGACAAGTACCACCCTCTGTGCTGCCTCTTGTGCCAATTCTTGAACTTCCTGAGACAAGAAAGAGAATCTTAATCTCAGATAACAAGAGCTTCATACAAATTTCAGGTGAATACAATCTTATTTTTACCTTGTTTTCATCTCCCATTGCAGAGAGCAAAGCAGGAAGTATGGTCCCAAGATGAGTGTTGAAACCAGTACCAGCAACTTCAGCTAAGGCGCCAATAGCATGCGCATTTAAGGCACTAGACAAAGCATTATAAAACGTTTGAGACCACCAAAAATTAATACATCATGCCTGATGATGCATATTTACAGAAGTAAATAAAAGGAACACATACGAGAGAGGAAGATGGACAAGCTTGGGTAAGATATGTGGAAGAACAGCTGCTGTCCTAACACTGAAATTCCAGAAGATATTAAGCAAACCAGAAAAAAATTATACTGTGAAGAGGAACAAGAGCCTAGGAAACAGTAGAAAACCTTATAATTTGTTTAAGCCCATCTAGGGCAGTAGTAGACATTTCGTCATCCTCTAATGCTTCCATAAGAGTTGGGATAATCTCATCCATTGCTTGCAACCCAGCGCTCTACATTTCAAAAGTAGACGAATGATAAATATAATGAACGGAAGAAAAAACTCATAAGCAACACAAACCAGTACAGGTACCTTGTACAGGGTGCTGAATGCTAGTCCAGCAGATTCACGAACCTCAACAGCGCTGTAGAAAGAAGTGGTAGAAGTTCAAAATGTTAATTCTTTCAATATCATAAAGAAACATACGGAATCAGAAGCTTATGCATGAGGAATAAAGCAAACCTATCACAAAGTGCTGTCCGAATGGTGGGAATGAGCTGATCCATGAAACTCAGCAACTGGCTCCTCCCAGCACTTGCCATCACTTCATTCAGGCCAATGCATACACCCTGCCAATCACGTAATATAATATCAAGCCAACATGAGAAGAATAGCATGGACCTTATAAGCCTGCATAGGCTTAGCACTATATGAAAACATTTAAGCATCACATATGGACATATAACCATGAATCAACTCTCAAATTCATTGAACATAAATCATGTCCATTTAAGAGATATCAAATAAATACATAGCCCATTTAAGAGATATCAAATAAATACATGTCACAGTAACTAGAACGCAGTCACGGTGCCAGATCTACTCAGAGAAAAAATAACTCTGAAAAATTCACTTCAAGGGTGGCAAGGTAACCACAATGATTATTACCAAAATAGTTCCTGATAAAACAAAATAACCGCTGGAAAGTATCTTGTTAAAGAGAGATGAAATTGATGATTCGAAATGGTGCTTACTTGTCTTTTGTCAACATCAGGATCTTTCAGTCCTTTAGCTAAAATTGGAATGATAAGAGGAAGCACCCTTTCACCAAGCTTCCTGACCAGCTCTCCAAGTGATCTTCCTGCTACCTACACAGTATAAATATAATAGACTTATACACCTGCAAGTTAGTAACATAGTATAAGGAGAGAAACAAAAGATAAGTAGGATCCGAACCTGCCGCCTCTCAGAGGATGGTGATGCTAAAGAAGAGATTAAGGTACTCATCAAAATTGGCATTATTTCCTTCAACGTTTTTGGTGTGTTTGCTACAATGGTTTTCCATACATGTAGTGCCGCCTGGAGAGAGCAAATAATTTTACTTTCATCTCAAAATTGAAGTACACCCTGACTAAACATGTAGATAAGTACAACATTACCTGACGAACAGACAAACTAACATCAGTCCGGACCATATATAAGGCAGCAAGAACTTCATTCCGCTTGTCCATCCCTAAAATATCAATAATCGCACGACCTTGTGCTTCAGTACTTGCACCTTCATCATCACTTCCACCCTCCAGCAGAGCTTTACCGGATGTACCAGCAACCTAGTACAAAAGCTCCAAAAATCAAATATAAAGGCAATTGGATTTATTTACACGTTATCAAGATTATTATGGTGAGGAGTCACGACTTCCTTTCTCAATACTGATAAAGATAATAGACCTTAATTTCAGATTCTAAGAAGCTGAATATCACTAACACACACTAAAAACCAGGCATTGCAACATCTATAATGAGCAAGGACGATGACAACAAGAAAACACGAGAAAATGACTTTAACCTTGAACAGTAGATCCCCAAGCAATTCAACAGAACTTTGACGGATTCGCCAATTGTCATTAAAAATACCATCCTCCACAGCTGGAAGAAGAAGAGGCAGAGACCTGTAAAACCAATGATCTTAATTTAGAGATGATATGTTGAATAATAAAGAAGCTCCTACTTACTATCAGCAACCAATTAAAATAGAACTTATCAAATTAATCATCAATTTATAAGCTACAAGGAACAATAGAAGTAACTAGCAACACCATTAAAGAAACTAATAAAATGAGTTAAAAATCTAATCAATCTACGGATCACGGTAAGTCAACATTAAATATAGAGATCAAAGAGAAACAGATGTAGTGTAAATTTGTACGTTGTTGCATGGTGCTCCACCAGTACATGGCCAGCCCCCAGGGCTGCATCACGAACAGATTCATTCTCATCGGCAAGACCTAAAGCAGTAGGGCACCATCAGTTTAGTCAATAAGTCAAAAGCTAGTTTAGAAGTGAAAAGTCCGCTAGAAGTATTAGGTTCACCATCCAGAATGGCCGGTAACACAAGCTGTAAGTAGTTCTGGAATTGAGCACCCAAGGACCTTGGTAAGAACTGCAATCAACAAGGAAAAGGTTGTCCAAAAAGCCAAAGGTAAAGTTCGAGGGATATATAAAGTGTTCTGAGTTCACCTTGAAAAGCGTAAGGTAGCCATCCCGGACTGATGCTTTTTGATGAGAACAATGACGAATGAGATCAGGAAGTACATTCTCAAAGTACTCTGTCCCAAGAGCTGCTAAAACCTGAAGAAAAACGTAAGGAGAAAGAATGCTAAGAAATTTGTTTGAAACAATTGTTTAACAGAAGCTGAGATCAATGCTTCGCAAATCGGTCTATTTCCAAATATGCCATTCACCATATCAGTTTACAATATACTTGATCAAATCGACGACAAAAGCATTTATACAGAGATGTCTCAATTACTCCTACAATGACGTTCTGGATGGATAGTGGATGTACTGGAAACGTGCTTAAGCTAACAGATAATTTTGTGGATGTCTACGACATCAAACCAGGTGTACTGACTAAATAAACAAAGCCACCAAAAGACTTCTTATTCTACATACCTCACTTAATCCCTGAGCAGCTCCAGACCTTTCAACATTGCTTGTATCAGATTTTAGAGTTTCGAATAGCCATGGAAGAAGATCTGGGAAATTCTCATCTCCCATTCCTCTGATAAGCGACCCAACAGCCCTTGCTGCTACAGAACGTACCTCAGGAATTGGATCCACAAGAACCTGACAACACCAGTGTCAATTGAATATAAGGAAAATTACCTTTTTAAAAGACAACTCGTCATTTTGGTATGTACGGAAAATTACCTTTTTAACCTCAGGAAGCAGCAATCCTATGTAAGGTATCATATCCTTTGGCTCTGTCACCAAAGAACACATATTGCCGACAATTTGAGAAGCTTTCTTTTTTGTTTCAGAACTCCTTTCTCTCAATCCTCTATGAATTATTGGTACCAATAGTGCAAGTGAAGGGGCATCAACAGAATTAACGAATGTTGTCTGAAATATGAGAAGAACGAGTTAGAACAGAAATGCAAATGAAGAGAAGTATAATCGGAAGGCCATTGGATACAGAATACTTACTTGAAGAAGGATGTCAAGAGAATGTCGTGTGTAATCGTTGGGATCTGTTAAGGCCAACAGAAGAGTGGGGACAAGAGAGGATATCTCTGGGTTCTTTATAACACTTCCGACCTAAAAATAATGGTGAGAGGAAACTCTAGTCAGTAAAGACAACAAAATATGGAATTCGTTCTGCAATATTAGTCGAACCTGCTGAAGTGCCAACTGCCCAGCTGACTGAACTTTTGGATGTGTATCCGTCAAAACCTGTATAATTTTACGTCATGGAATAAGATTATATCAAATAACCAACGGAAGGAAAATATATCCAAGACTTACAGTTAAAAAGCAACTGAAATCAACATGCATTACACACCTCTGTTAGCTTTGGTACCACCCTAGGAAGGCATTGAGACAGTTGCTGAGGATTACAAAATGCCATAGCTCCGAGGAGCTGTACACTGCTTTGCTTTGTTCTCCATGCTTTGTCTTCAAGTCCCTATCAGAAAGAACGAAATAAACAGAAAAAGTACACGTCATGTAAGACCAAAGAATAAATGCAACGAGGAATCTGAACCTTATTTCTAAGTTGCAGCACTCAAACAGGGTAAAACTAAAAGAACAGAGCGATAATCAAAATACAATCATACAAGCATGTAAGCAACCATAATTTTTCCTTCCATTCAACTCCAGCACAAACCGTAGGAAAATGACAGAGAAGATAGCAATATCATATAGTTAACCCAATGATAAAGACGATCATGAGCCGAGAACATCGCAATGCTCAAAACCTTAGTTATACAACATTAAACTTTAAGAATCTTCAGAATAATATAAACTATCACCTTGAGTAGGGAAGGAAGGACAAGTTTCACACCATATACGGATAGATGAGACATCATAGCTCGAGCAGAACATTCTGCTGCTTCACGAACTGCCCCGACTTGGTCAGAGAAGGAGACCAGAAGCAATGGTAACATCTTGATAACATACCTAAACCAGAAGAATGAAATAAGAGAGTATTAGCAAAATGCAACATAAGCTTCACGAATTTCGATCATTAGAGACTTCACTTACGGTTCAAATAATTTTCCAAGCTTCTCACAGAGGCATTCAAATGCAAGTAGTGCTCCTTCACGCCGTTTTGCAGAATGTCTGGAGCCAAAACACAAACAACTTAGCGGAAGTGAAGGAAGGTTTACATATTCGTACTACATGTGATACAAACAATTATAGCACTATTAGAAAAAGGGAGAAAAAAAAGGAGCAGCAGCTAATTAACCCAGTACACTGGAACTTTGACTTGCAAGACTTTTCATGAATATAAACTGGTTGTATTTACAATGTATTACTAAAGATAAAAACTGGTGGAGCTAAGTCAAAAACTGGACTATTTGGCTAAATATGCGCAAGTACAGTAGCGAACAGCACATAGGCTCAGCAAAATAGAAAAATATTATTTAGCACAAATTCCTCATATCCGAACACAAACATGACCAGCTTCACAGCCAATATAAATTCCAAAAGCAGCACATAAACAATAAATTACAAAAGACGCAAATATAAATACCTTTCGACAAGAGCTTCTTGCAAAGTGACTACAAGGCCATATTTCTTCAAACTAGAAATCCCAAAGCCCATAACAACTCCCGCAAGACCAAAAGCTGCTCCTCTTCGCTCACCATATTTATCACTGTTCATTAGCTTCTCCAAAAGCCTAGAAACAAGGGCGGGGGCATCCTCCTAACAAAAAATTATAAACTTAACACTTCATAAAGGCAACTGATTTACTCCCTGGCTAAGCCACAAGGAAATGAAATAAAAGTTCGGTAAGATCTAAAATTTGTAGGAAACATACTTTCTTTGATGGCATAAGTGGAGAAAGGCATGTTGATACTGCACGCTGAACAGATTCTGACGGTGTATTTAACACATCCAACAGCTTTTCCACGACAGAATGAACTTTAGGATCATCCTGTCATCATTATTGATTATACAAGATAGAGAAGAAAAGAGTGAGCATTCTGACAAGATCATGAGCATTGTGACAAGATATAAACTAATGGTAGAATTATCACTTTTTCTAAGTGCTTTGCTAATGCTCCAGTGAATATAACAACACCCTCACGAACCAGGTCATATTCCACCTCATCTGATGCCTGCATGATAAGAGATAAGATGAAGCACAGAAGGAATTTGTAGCGATAATGTAACAAACACTGTATCCAGCAGGTCTTCAGTTGCTTGTAGAACAGACCTCTTTGTTTAAATAATTCTCGAAGATGGGGAACAACAATGAAACGTTTTCTTTCCCATGCTTATCAATAATCATAATTCCAGCATTGATCATCCTTCCACGAACATCAGTGTTGAGATCAGCCTGCGCTTGTATAAAAAACACTCGGTTCATCTAGCTTTTTGAATAGAAGTCAAAAGCTAGCTATAATTTCCGAAAACTACATGATTGGTAGGTTTCTAGGTGATAACACTGCAAAACCCAATTCCTTTTTTTCATTTGAGAAGCATTTATCTGACAGGGCGAGAAGAAATACCAGAGCCCGGGATATCAAAAAAGTCATAACAGCAGGAAGGTCTTTCGTTGTCAACACATCGGCAGCAGATTGCAGTGCCAAGGCAATTCCTTGCCTGCCTATCCAACCAGCATCAGAGACATCCTCACCAGAGGTAGCATCACGGATGTACAAGGAAAATAGGGTGGAAAGTGATAGCTGCAAAACAAGTTAAGCTTTAAATGCCATTCTTACTGTCCCAAATAATGATTCAAGAAATTAAGTAACCTGGATTGACGACGGACTTTCATGCAAAGCAGCAGCCAATGCTTCTGCTGCAGCTAAACGGACATTGAGATTTATATGAGAAAGTGCTTTAAAAATTCCTGAATAATCAGTTCCCAAATCATAACCATAACGGGCCCATATATCATCTGCTGTTTCAGCAACTGACTGCAAGCAGTAAGATCACAGAGCGTCAGATGGTGCAACAACGAAAATGATAAGAGATTACAAACCTAGTAACAACCAACAGCAAACATAACTAGATATTAGATATGTAGTTTATTTGATGAATGCTAACCTTTTCAGGATCATGTACAGCTATCCAAATGTTTGTTGCTATATCAACATCCTGAGGAAGCGAGTATTTGGAAACAGCCGGAATACACTTTACTGCGTTTAAGCAGGCCATTCTGACATGGACATCTTTTGAATATACTCCATATAGTGCCTGTAAACATAAAATGAAATATAACTCTCTAGAACCGAAAATTTTGCATGCAAAACATAGTAAAAAGAAATACATTTGCGACATCATCTGCTTGCAATCCAAGACACAATTCATTCAGCGCAGGTCCGATTGATGCTTGATATGCAGGAACAACACCTAGCACATGATAAAGAACCTGAGAAAATAAAGTCCAGGTGTTGGTTACATTTAAAAATTGCAAAATTAGCCCAACTACATATACAACAAAAGCTATAACAGTGTGAAAACAGTAAGGGTTCAAGACACTAACTGATATCATCCGGAGTCTTGGAAGTGGCAGCATTGGATCTAGATGCATGTACAGAATACGAAGCACATCATCATGAAGTTTTGTCCGCTTTGATGACAATAATATTCGCTCAAGTATCTGATAAGATAAAATCAGATCATTCAGTGTGAGGAAATACAAGTTAAAATAATGTCAACAGAAATGGTAAGAAACAAACCGGAAAGATGAACGTGAAGGTATCTACAGGAAGTGGGCCTGATTGACAAGATAAGGATAACCCATTGACAATCCTCTTAAAAAGACCCTCATATGGTTTCCCAGCCTTGTCAACTGATGAAGGAAAATCAAATGAAGCATCAACTTCATCAACCGCGATCAAACGCAGAGAAGTTGCAATTTCTAAGGCCCAGTTACACAGTGGCTGAACTGTGCACCTTGCCAGCTTCACCACGTTCTCAAAGGCTGTATCACCAACGATAGGTGATCGCAGCAAAGGATCCAAAAACCTAGACTGGAAAAAAAATACGTCAAGTGTAAGAGCTTAACCTTAAAATTATAGGAGCCTGATATGCCAAAGAGTGTAGCATGCGTGGCCATAAACAAAAGGAGTAGCAATGGCAGATGAATAACAAATTAATTGTTTCCAAAATATCTTCCTTCACTCTATAGCATAAGGATAAATACAGCTGTTACGCAACTAAGCACCAAAATTATACTTACCAAAGAAGGTAACTGACTGTGACAAAACACAGGATTAGCAAGACCCATCTCCCCAAGAGCATGAAGCGCCAACGACAGATTTTTTTGTATCCTTTGAACCTTTTCACGTGTAGAGGCCTCCTCTTTGAGCATCTGTTCTCGTGCCACTTCCTTTGGAGTTTTTCCTTTGTCTGCAATTATTATTTCGCTTAAGTATATATATATACGCTGGGGGGGGGGGGGGGGGGGGATAATACTAAACAGAGAGCTTTGAGAGATGTGCACCAGCTTTCTTCGTCAACTTCGCAGTGTCCCTTCTTCCTGAATTTGTAGCATCTCTACTAACCAATCCTTTCTTTAGAGAATGGCTAGAAATCTACAACAGAAAGAAATTTATTTGATCCAATATGCTAAAAGTGGAACCATGTATCAAGTATTAAAAAGAAAAGACAGAGGAAACCCATGCAAGTACCGTCTCCTGCTTTGTGTACTTGGCACCAATAGACTCAGCAACATAAACACCTTGCTCGCTTGAAAGCATCCCCTCAGGGGTCATGAAGATCTAAGTTAAAACATCAAAATAGAAAAAAATAAGTAAAAACTACTGAAAACTTGCAGGTCCAAAGTACACAATACACGTGGCACTCTGTATCAAATGTTATGGTTGGATTTTAGAGCTCAGCAAGTGACTACAGAGAGAGAGGAAGGGAAAGAAATGGTACATCCATAATGTACTTCGAAAAACATAGAAAAAAACTTAGATGATTTACCTTAATGTCGGTCACTGAAAGCATATCATGAGAGAGACGATCTGGAAGTTCTTGCAGATGCTAAAAATATAAAACATAAAACATCAGCAAACAAATCAAGCGTTACAACTTCAATGATTAGAAAACAAAGTTGCTGGAAATGCAATACCTTGTTAAATACTGTAAATGTATTCTCTGGTGCCAGAGACATCAATGTGGACAAAGAATATACCGCCGCTTGCTGCTCATGAGTTTTTGGACTCATTAAACCCATTGGTCCAAGCAGGCTCTGACGCATCAATTCAAAACAATAGTTGATTAATTGTGCCATGCAACAAATGAATACCACAAGTTTTGGCAATGTAGAAGTCACTGACAGTCGTGCGATTACCTTGCAAACACTTTCTTCATTGGTAGACAAAAAAGTAGCAACATCAAAACCACAAGTTTTGAGACACTTTTGAAATCTCTGTGTATATCAAAAGGTGAAAATCACTACTAAGAAGTGCAAATAAACGAAACATGAGTAACTAGAATTAACAATGCATAATGAGCTAATCTCAAGATTACCTTCCAAACAGCATCTCTTTTTCCAGTACCAACTAAGCTTGGATGATGCGAGCAAAATATTGCACGATCAATCCATGAGCTTGGAGATCCAGCAGCTGCTGCCGATGAAATGACAATCAAAGCCTTCACTAACACCTCTACAGAAGGGACAAGAGGAGCTTGATGATTCACGGAATTATCTGTGTCACTACAGAAGTGCCAAGTTAGTACCTAGAATAAATGAGTCGCTATTGGCATTGTGGTCAAAACTTTTCAAAATGTGAAATGATTAATCGTAATGAAGGCAAGGATCAGAGAATAATAGTAGATAGTGGCTGTGTGGTTGAAAAGAATTAAAAAATAAAAAAATAAAAAAAAAAATAAAATAGAGCTTACTATGTGTACCTAGTTTTAGAAGACGCGATCTTGTCCCCAGTTAGGGAAAGGAAATCCGAGAACTCGTCTAAAAGGGTAGTGGCAAGCTGTGAAGTTGCGTGAACAATCTTTGTAACAGAATTGTAAGCTGATTTACGGACATTCCAGCTTGGATGGCAGAGTAGAAAGAGAAGCAACTGCATAGAAAAAAGATGACACATTAAGTCCAAAATAAGAAGAAACGGGTCCGCAAACATGAACTCGTTGAGTTTACCTGTGATAGTGATTTCATTGAAAATGCTTCCAAAACCCTGAAATCAGGCAGGATAGATGATAAAGAGTTCTAGAAACAGTCAAAAAAACAATTTGAAGCATTATCAAGGACATTTACCTGGAGGAGTGTTCCACGAGGAGCACCTCAAGAAGGTCGACGCATACTACACAATCATAACTTGATAGTTTTAAGGCCTTTCAATAGCGACGTGCAAAGAGAAGAAAGAAAACAAAGAAAAAAAAAGCAAAAAAAAATTGTGAGTACCCGGCCAGGGCAATAGCAGATCACCAAAGAAGTACTGACAGAAATCTATAAAAAAATCATTACCAAATTAATTTGCACAAGTGAAGGCTCATTTTGAGACATCAAAGTCCATAATTTCTCCTTCAACATTGTATCCTCTGAAGTACACAAAGAAGATTAACAAGATTAATCAGAAAGCAAGGCGGGACCTTCAGATTCTACTGAAAAAGAGGAATGTGACACGTAATCTCCTGAACCTGCTTTGATGTCACAGGCAGCAATCTTGGAAACGATCAGCAGAGCATATATCCCATCCAGACGTTGAACTGCCTTTGTATATCCCGTCTTTACAAGTTGAATTAAAGGGGATAACAGGTCTGATATCTGTAGTATACATTCAGTAGCATACTTAGTTAATGCGAGAGTTGAGAATAGAAGCTAGAGAAGATGCATGCTTATGAGGAGACCTGTGATATGGTATCAGGATTTCTGCATATCATCCGTACACAGCGGAGGTGCCCCCTTCTTAGAGCTTCTTTCTCCTTAAGACCGGCAGCAACGAAAGAAACTAAGTTTGGTTGTATAGCATCAGAAGATCGTGACGCCCAGAGAGCAAGGGCAGACAAAATTGAAAGGTTCACATCTTCATTTCCTATAAATGAAACAGTTCTCAGTTAGCAGACATTAATAAGGTAAAGAGTTGATAGATGACGGCCAATAATGATGAACAAAGCAATTACCATATAACCAAATAAAAATTAGCACAACAACGAAGGATATCTTCCAATTGTATTGTTGACTTTTGGTTCACACAATGGGATACAAACAGCACAACGGTATTTTAACAACAACTAATATTTTACCTTCATCCTTGTAGCAGGCTATGAGAAAGCTGCATACTGTCCTCGACAAACAACCAATATACTTTCCTTCAGGAGCACTTGCTAATTCTTGAACTGCATTTACCATTCCAATTCGTTGATGTGGAGATTGAAGCCTTCCGTCAGAACCTTAAGACATTTAATCATATATATATCAGTTAACATAATAACCCAACAAAGACAAAATCGGACTCACGGTTATATCTATATGAGGAATTCATTGAATAGCCTGTCAGAGTGAGCTAATGAAATATGATGAAAAATGCATAAAGAACCAACCTCCAATTACAGCTTTTACTGACGCAAACATTGCTTCTAAAGTATCGGGATTACTTGATTTTTCACTTAAGCACCTAACCACTGACAAAGCTTCAAGACGCCTGTCTTCGTCAGTATGCCGAGCTTGTGGTAATATAACTGGTAGCAGTTCCAGGGAATACTTGCTCAAATCAATGTTAACATTAGCTAGCAGAAATCCAACTGCTTCCAGGACAATTTCTGGATTGCGTTTCAACATTTTAACTGCTGCTGGAAGGATAACAGTTTGGAAATCCTCATGTGACAATCGCAGAAGAAGGGGTTGAAAACATTTACTAAGATCTGGTTTCAGCTTTTCTCTGGAATTCAGGACATCTTTAACATATATATCAACAAATATTGCCTGTGAACGAAAAACAAACAGATTTCTCATTATTTTAAAATAGACTTGAGAAAAAAATATCTGCAGAGGTTTGCTTGGGAAGCAAAGCCAAATGGAAAAGTGAATTTTAATAATCTTACCTTTGACTGTTCAAATATAGCAGGAGATGAACACGAAAACTCAATCAGGAGTCCTAATAACGCAGGGGTAACCTTGTATGGAATCCGGGAATTTTTAACTTCGTCCATATATGAATTGTAGATAGCTTGAGACTACAAAAACAACAACCAAATTTCTTACTAGATACAGTTCAAACAAATAGTTAGTTGATCGAGTTTGGCAAAATGTACAGCGGGACGCAGCCAGACCTGAGAGAACAAATGGAACATATATCTTTTACAGGCCCTCTGCATGCGGAAAGAGTTCTCCGTAACGATACTGAGTAGTGAAGCCTGTGTTGATGCTACTCTAACAAATGCATTCTTCGAAACTGTCGCAAATAGACTTTTTCCCAAAAGAAGACATGACCAGGTTAGTAGTCTGTAACAGACCGGATTAAAACAAAACTTCGACTCCTTCTCCATAACTTGTACAAGTATGGCCGCAAAACTTTTCATAAAAGTATCATTTGCCAAGCCCTTTACAATCAAATCGTCTACAGCTACACGTGAGCTACGGTCATCATATATTGCCAACGTTTGGAATATTATGTCAACCAGAACAGACGCAACATCAGGTGTCATATCTGCAAAAAAAAAAAGAATTCAGATTACCTGAAATTAGAACGCGGTACAGGGCACAATTCCCAAGAACAGGAAAATTAGTGGAAAATGAATATTCGAAGAGTACACCAAGATGAATATTATAAAAAAAGTATCCGAATAACTATAGCTTTAACTTCATCTGAAAAGAGCTCGAGTAGGGGAAATCTAACAAAATTAGATACAAAATCCAGATCTATGCTGAATTTACAAAATCCCTTCCGTCGTTACTCTAATCCGTTCGCTACATGATATGAACAATATCGTGAAATGGTCCATACTTCAAATAACTACGATTTATTATTCTCAGTAACAAGTTTATGGGTCTAAATCAGTTCACGATCAACTCTCCCATAAGAAATCAGCAGCCCCAAGTCCTTAATCCAACTTCAACGTCATGATATTTACAAAGATTGAAACTTTACAGGTAAAAAAATTTTTAGGGCGAGATTAATCCTATGTTATTCACAATAATCCAAATTTAAACAAGACCAACTTGAGATTCAATTGATAAAGAGACGGAACACAATGATATCCTCTCGGAATGACTTAAGACACACACAAAAAATGCTCACCGGAGTTCTGGAGAGTCTCCGGGATTTCATGGCGGAAGATCCGGAGTCTGTCTAATGTGGAGGGTGTAGAGACTGAGCCAGATATGGCGAGAAGAGACTCCAACGGAGTTGCCATTTCTTTCAACGGAAAAGAGCGCAAAGACTAACCGGAGCCAGATTGCTAGGTCAAAAAATCGTGAGGCAAAACGGTAAACGAAGGTAAGGCTTCTTGTCGTCTCTATGGCTACTAGGGTTTAGGCAGCTGCTGCTAAGCCGGGTGGGTGGGTGGGTTTGCAGAAGATGAAGAGTGGATGGAAGTGAACATGAAAGTTCGTTTTCGGGCTTCGATTTTAGTTTTGTTACTCATTCGGGCTTTTTTCTTATAAGTCCATGGATTGGCTTACTCAAGAAATATACCAACAACGAAAATTCCTGAAAGATACTCGACTTCTTATATTCTGCATTAGTAAAACTATGGCTAAGCCCGATGCGCGGATTATAATTATTTGGGGTAAGTCTATGCGATGCGTTGATTATGATTATTAGGATTAAACCCGCGCGATACACGGAGACTATTATAAAATTTTATCATTTGTATCTTAATTCTCACATTAATTTTGCAAATATTTTGTCTCTAATATTTTTTCCAAATACGTTAATTTACGGTGATAATATAAATGTATATTGTTACTTATTTTGTCTAAAATCAAATTTCGCAAAATGTTAGCGGTTGTTTTGTGAGAAATAAAAATTTCAACACTATGCGTAAAATTTAATATCATATCAAGGAAAACACATATGAAATCCAAATCAAGTATCTTGTTTTAAGAAAGAAGAAATTGAGAATTATAAATGTTACTTTCATAAAACGTGGTCAACATGCATTGTACTTGCATACATTAGTCAAATTATGTATTGGTAACTATGTGAATCATATAAGGCCAACTCTCTCCATATGATTGACATGTGGCAAAACTTTTAAAGAGAGCAGTCTCTTCGCATTCTTAGTCGTTACAGTTATAATAGGTTTCAAAACCGTCAGTTGCTTCACCTTCCACGTTGTATCAACACTCCATTAATTGATATTGTGGCATGACTTTTCCTCTTCTTTCCAGTCAATAACTCTAAATCTTATACATTTCAACTTATGATAATAAAAATCACTCTATTAATCCAAAGCTTTTACATTTCGGCTTCCATCTTAAGTTATTATTAAACATCTAAATTCTCCTAATATATGGAGAAATGGATTTAGCAAAAATCGATAGTAAAAATCACTTTATTACTAGAGTCCGTTCTATGTGGTCGTGAGTAAACAAAAGAGTTAATGGTTCATAGACATGTGGTATGATACAAAAATATATGTTTGAAAGTCAGTCGCTAACCAACAAATAGGAATTAAATATGGATATTATTGGATTATACTTTATAATATTAATCGCAAATCTAAAATTGTTTTCGAGCATTTTTTAAAAACTTTAACAACAACAAAACCCGCGCGTATGCGCGGGCATTAGTCTAGTAAGCAAATGAATTTGCGTGTGATGATGTCTTATAATGTAAACATCACATTGCTTAGTCAGTTGGTCTGTTTTAGGTTATTTCCTCCTTGGGATCCATGTGATGAGATTTCATTTAGATGTCATAGTGAGATCGATTGAACTGTCTTTTCTTTTTCTCGCCTGAACATCGAGATCACGGTGGTTCTCAGATGAACAAAATAAATCACGATCTGATCTTTGATATCACCATATTTTACATGATTTTACTATATAACTATCTATGTTTTCAAACGGTTTTTGCAAGATTCTTTGCCTTTAGAGGTAGTTTTCTTGTATTTGTGGGATTTGAAGTCTATGTAGGTGAAACCATCAAAAAGGATGCAAAAAGGAGTAAAAGAGCCCAAACCAAGATCCATGCAAGTTTCCAAGTCAAGAAATCATTTTATCTCCAAGTGTTAGTTCTCGCTAGCAGCAGAACGAAGCTTCGGAAGTTTGGCCGCGTGCGGAGGAGTTCCCGACGTCCAAAAGTCACGATCTTGATATGGAAAGATATATACTTGAGTCATGCATCACGTCGAAGTGGAATGAAGTCATTTGGATCCACCATCGGCCGGAACTTATTTTCTACCGAGACATGTCCGGTTAGCGACCAAACGGAGCCCATGGAGGATTTGGAGTGTCTAAAGGCCCGAGAAACCGCGCCCAAGGCCTTGGTTCAACAAGGTAGAGTCCTAGATAATGTTTGGAGCTTCCTTGGTGCAATTCCAGCCCATACACGACGTGAGAGAAGAGGCCCGGCTCATGGGAAACTTTCCTTTTCTGGCACTTCAATGCCCTAACCGACCTACAACCTATAAATACATGTTTTTAGCCTCAAACAAAGGAGAGTCGAGGGTTTCTAGGGTTGGCCGTCAGAGAGAGAAGCCAGAGGAAGCTGCGCCGTCCAGGAGGAAGAGAAAGGAGGCGCCGTTCAAGACCCTTAGCACAACATACAATCTTTGCTTTCTTTTCTTTTCATTCTTTTGTATTGGATCTAAGAGTTTCAAGGGAGAATCCGACTTTGTTCATCAATAGAGAAGCTTTCTTCATCCCTTTACCTCTTTTAATACTTTCATAATGCTTTCAATCATAACTTGTTGTGTTGTTTGCACTATGGCTGAGTAGATCTATTGCTAGGCTAATGGTAAATCAATGAGTTCATGAATTGTCAACTTAAACTTTTGATCTTGTGAGTTGGGATTATATTTTGAGTTCTTCACCTTTACTTGAGCATAATGCCGTTTGCTTTTCTGATCATCTAGCATCGGATCTTGGGTTAATATACTCTCCAAAAGCTTGTATATTGCCGGAACTAGTATTTGGTGAGCAATAGGTCATGGCCAACGAAAGTTGAGTTATGGACTATTGTGAACAATTGAATCTTGAACCTTGTAATGCATGTTTACAACTTGTAATAACCAACGAAAGCTGAGTCTATTAGGTTGTTTAAACATAGTGGTTGGAGCCACGAAAGTGGAAAGACTATACCTTAGTGATTTGAGTTCAAGAATGATAATGAATCCCTTTCACTTGATTGTTTGTTGATAATTTGTGATGCTTTGCGATTTGCCTAATGCCTAGTACTTTTCCCTATTGTTTACACCTCATTCTAATCATTGCTTTGTTCTCTTTTGCTTTGTTACACACAACCTCTCATATTTTGTTCTAGCTTGATTTTCAATCTTTGTAGGTTTGAAGTGAAATCACATCTCCCTGTGGTTCGACCCCGACTATACTACTGCTCTTGCTGTGCACTTGCAGCTACATTGGTTGGGTTAAAAATATTATCATTTGAGGAAGCTAAACCCAGCCTCCATCAAGTTTTTGGCGCCGTTGCCGGGGAGATTGTTTCATTTCCTTCAAGCTTTTTGATTGAATTCTAGTCTAGTTCTTGTTTTCTTGCAATTTACTTTTCTGTTTTTCAAAAAAAAAAAAAAATCATAAAAATTTGCTTACTTGTTTATCTTCTCTTTCTTTTGTTTTCAGGTGCATCACAAGAAGGTCCAACAGCACCAAAGAAGAGAAAGAATGGACTTGATGAGCTTTTATTCAATTCCCCCACCGGTTAGGCGGCATCAAGAGGAAGTGAACTACATTGGTGGAAATTTCGTGTATCCTGGCCAGAACGTCTATCAAGGAGCTCGATACCAGCCTAAGCAACAAGTCTATCCCAAGGGATTCCATCAGGTGGAGCATCCCTTCACTTTCCCTCAAGCTGTTGCACCGGCTCAACAAGAAGAGAAGTTAGATGTGGTCTTCAAAAGATACATGGAGGAGCAAAGGCAAACCACCCATAGCCTCTATGAGAAGCTAGATCGTGTCTTCACTGATCTTTGCAAAAATTTTGGGCATCTCTCCACTCATGTCCAGAATTTGGAGGTTCAAATAGTCCAAACCGCGGAAGCCGTAGAGAAACAAAATGAGGTAATCCCTACAACATTTTGTAGCATTGTCTCACCTAAGGAAGACCAGCTCGTACCTATACCTAAACCATCTCTAGAAGGAGAAGAAGAAGCTGAGCCTAAGGAGAGCCAAAAACCGGAGAGGTTTCCATGGGAGTCAAAGAGAGCATACAAGAGAAGGCTTGTGAACAAGCCATTGCCAAAGCTAGAAGATCCGGGGAAGTTTGTGATTCCCATTTCTATCAATGGGTGTGAAATCAATGACTGCCTATGTGACACTCACTACAAGAAAAGTGAGTATTTATAGCAGTATACCATAACGTTTTGTACTGTTCTGCTATAGTTGAGTTACGCTTGACTTTTCTATAGCGTTTATCAAAAGACAAACGCTGTAATATACTGCATGACTAAAATAATTGGATTAACACTTATATTTTTGGTACTACCAGATACAAAACGTTATGATAGAGCCTTAGCCCAAATAAAATTTATTACTACCGCCTAAGAAAATAATTACACATCGAATAGAAATGGGACAAAATAAAAAAAAGTGAACATTTACTCCTTCAATTATTTTCCTTCTTTTCCTCTTCCTTCGTCTTTTTTTTTTTCTTTTCCTTTTCCAGAACTTCTTTCGTCTTATTCTAGATTTTGCGGGCAACAGAGGTTTGGCGTAGATCTGGAGCTCAGATTTTTGACGGTTGACGGCTCCATATCTACAGTATTCGCCTTCAATTTCGTCTCTCTAGCTTCTCACCAATTTCACACCATGGTTCCCAACTGAAATCAACGGCGGAGCAACTGTCTAACCTGGAATCAAAGCTAGCAGCAGCTTCCCCTAGCTCTGTCACTAATTTTGCTCTCTGACGAATTATACTTGTCTCTTGTTTTGATCTCCCTCTTAACTCTTCAGTTCTGGGTTAGTTTCATCTAGAATCGAGAATCTGTTTATAAATCAAAAGAGTTAAACTTATGCTTCTATGTTTTGGCTGATGACGACTATTCTTTTGTTTTAGGTTGTGTGGTTTGTTCGATTTTGTAATCTGCAAAAAACATCTACATGTCATGTGGAAGAGTTGGATCTGTAACAATATCTTATGATTTTGAAGAAGCTTGTCCTTATTTCTTTGGAAGATTTTGAGATTTTATTTCATGAACGAGATACAGGTTAGTTGGCCGAGCTGCATATCTGCAATTAAAATCGTGTTCGTGTAGGTTTTTTAAAGTTAAAGTGTTGATTGATTTTGCTAAGAGATGTTGTCTATAAGCGGGAGAGACAAAGAGACTTATGTTATTTTCTGGTCTCATCTCGAAGATGACTAGAATGATTTATGCTAATTGGATTTTTGTGTTTGGTTCGATCTTGGCCATCTTATTTCTTAACGAAACCATATTCTTTTCTTTGCTTGTTGTTAGAGAATTTTCCAGCAGTTCAAGTTCATGACTTTGTTCGACTTATAAGTGCTTCTCCTACTCTTTTGGTACTCAGGTTTGAATTTTGTGTTCTTGAATATCCTAAGTTTGGCTTATAGTTTTGTTTCGTTTATTCTTTAAGCTATTGCACTATTTTTGTTATGATTATGATAAGATAGTGTCTTGTCCTGGCAGATCAGATGAGTTGAAGATTTTTCTTGATGGAAGGGAGGTACCCACTGCATATGAGCACATATATGGCGTTTAAGATTGCACCCTGAAGCTGCCAAAACAGTTATTCCGTGAAGGCGGAGGAGTCTTGGTGATTGAGGTGGCTCAACCAGCTTGAGGTGGTAGAGATGTCCTGAGATTGTGAATCCCATGTCTTATGCATTAGCAAGATATTTGGGATTCAAATATTTTAAAGATCTTAAGGCAAAGATGGAGTTCGCGGAGCATTCATGTGTGGAGCCCTATGGAGTTTTAGAGAATGTTATGCTGGAGATAGGAGGTCGCCTAGTCCCTACTGATTTCCAAATCATGGTATGGGAAGGATCCAAGAGGAACCAGCTGCTACTTGGAGCCCCATTCTTAGCCACAGCCGGTGCAGTCATAGACTTCATGAGAAACCGCATGTCACTAGGAAACATCCAACAAGATGTTTTCTATCAAAGCATCGACTTCAAGACTGCACCAAGAGCGATCAAGCTGCCACCAGAGAAGATTTCTAACACGCCACAGAGAGGAGCCATGATGCCTAAAGATCCCAAGAAGAGTGAGCCCTATCCAAAACCGAAGGTGGTCATGAAACCATCAATGTTGAAACATAAAGATGTCTTCAAGGATATCAACTCGGTTTTGCTCCCTACCTTGGAAGAATATGGAGCTAATGAGAAGCCTTATGTATTGCCTAATTACCTTACCAAGATAAGAATCCTTGTCTCTAAGGGTTGGGTCCCAAAAGAAGATCATACCGCAAAGGAGAAGCTGAGAAACACCTTAAGGCTCTTCCCAAGTGCATTTGTCTTCAAAGGTGGCATAGGAGATGATTTTGGCGTGCCCAAACCACCACGTGATCCCCCTGAACCAGAGAATGGAGAAGCTAAAGGGATCCCAAACCCTTTGGTCACTCTTCCAAGCACTTAAAAGAAAAGGAGTCAAGCTAAATGACTTAAAACAAAACGCTTTGTGGGAAGCAAACCCAAATGGTTTTAATTTTCATATCATTATTGCATGCATAACTATCTTATTTCATCTTTCAGGGATTTTTAAAAATTGCATAAAAATACAAAAAAATGTTTTTAGGATGAGACCCAAAAGGAGACCAATACATGAAAGTGTCCCACCCAATGTTCCCATCCTTAAACAAGGCGACATCTTCATTTCAGGTAAGTTCTTCTCAATCATTCATTAAAAACCATCTCTGATCTTAACCCCATGAGCATTTGAACCATTGCACTTCATTAGATACATTTCATGGTTTAAATTGTAAAGATATTATCATATCACTGATTGCTGATATTTAGGATTCACTTATAGATAGTATATATTCTACATTAACTCTTGTAAAGCCCTACCTTTGGCTGTCCTCTTGTATATAGACTCTATGAGAGAATGAATAAGATCATCACTTCTACAAACATCTATATGGTATGAGAGCTCTTCGATCCATAAGCACATAATTTTTTTTTTTTCCTTTCGTTTCCCTTTGTCATCAAAACCCCTCTCGACATCATGTCTTCCTCTGATAACACCTCTCCCACCATCGCTGAGACCATTCCGGTCACTAACTCAGCCCTGTTGACCGTCAACATGACTCATGTCTCCAAACTGACGGCTACGAACTACCTCATGTGGAAGATCCAGATCCATGCCCTCCTTGATGGATATGATCTCGCTGGTCATATTGATGGGTCTGCGGTCATTCTTCCAGCAACTCTCACAACTGGTGAGGCAGTCTCGATGAATCCAGCATACACTCTCTGGAATCGTCAAGACAAATTGATCTTCAGTTACCTAATTGGAGCGATCTCCACGCCGCTCCAACCTCTTGTTGCTCGTGCTTCCACAGCCTTTGAAGTATGGGAAAGACTTGCCCAAACCTATGCTAAACCTAGCAGGGGCCATATCAAACAACTGAAGACGCAACTCAAAAACTGGCGCAAAGGAAGTAAAACCATTGATGTTTTCCTTCAAGGTGTCACCACTCGCCTGGACCAACTGGCGATACTCGGTGCCGCGATGGAGCATGAAGATCAAATAGATCTCATCCTCGAAGGTCTGCCTGACGACTACAAAACGGTCATAGATCAGGTTGAAGGCCGTGATACTCCTCCATCAATCACCGAACTACATGAGAAGCTTCTCAACCATGAGGCTAAACTTCTCACCACTGCTGAAGCAATGCTTCCACAGGTTCCAGTCACTGCAAACGTGGCTCAACAACGCAACAACCACCACAACAACAACTTCCGCAACAACAACAATCACTCACGCAACAAGAACAACCAGTGGCAACAGTCATCCTCCAACTGGCAATCTCCTCCACCACAAACGAGGTATGATTCCTATACTCCTAGACCTTACCTTGGCAAGTGCCAGATTTGTGGTGTCCAGGGTCATGGAGCGAAGAGGTGTCCTCAATTTCCGCAATATCAGGCGCACAACAACTTCAATAATCAGCGTCCTGGTCCGCTTACACCCTGGCAACCTAGAGCCAATTTCGCAGCAGGCTCGGGTTACTCTCCTGATCACTGGTTACTTGATAGTGGAGCGACGCATCACATGACGTCGGACCTCCACAATCTCTCCTTGCATCAACCGTATCCTGGAGGAAATGATGTTTCACTCGCTGATGGTTCCTCCATTCCGATTACTCACTCCAGTTTCAAATCTCTCCCTACAAAATATCATCCATTGCGTTTACAAGATGTTTTGTTTGTACCTGATATTCGTAAAAATTTCATATCAGTATATCGGTTATGTAATACTAACCGTGTCTCGGTGGAATTCTTTCCTGCATCTTTTCAGGTGAAGGATCTGAACACGGGAACCCCATTACTCCAAGGTAAGACTAGAGATGAGCTGTATGAATGGCCAGTGTCTCCGTCTCAAGTCTCTGCGTTGTTTGCTTCATCAAACTCTACGGAAACCTCAACTTCTTGGCATTTGCGCTTAGGCCATCCTTCTACTTCCATTCTAAACACTGTTGTTTCTCAATTTTCTCTTCCTGTGACAAAACAACTATCTCAAGCTTTCTCCTGTTCAGATTGCTTAATAAATAAAAGTCACAAGATTCCTTTTTCCAAATCCACGATTACCTCATCTAAACCTCTTGAATATCTTTTCTCTGATGTGTGGAGCTCTCCCATTCTTTCACATGATAACTTCAAATATTATGTCATTTTTGTGGACCACTTTACCCGATACACTTGGCTATACCCTCTTAAACAAAAATCCCATGTCAAACAAACATTTATAGCCTTTAAGAGTTTGGTGGAGAATCGTTTTCAACGCAAGATTGGGACTCTATTTTCTGACAATGGAGGTGAGTATGTGGCATTAAGAGAATACCTTTCTACAAATGGCACCTCTCATTTGACGTCACCTCCTCACACGCCATAACACAATGGAGTGTCAGAACGGAAGCATCGTCATGTCGTAGAAATGGGAATGACGCTGATGTCGACAGCTTCGGTTCCGAAGCAGTATTGGCCTTATGCTTTTGCTGTCGCAGTCTATCTCATCAACCGGCTCCCGTCTCCGGTCATTGGATTACAGTCTCCGTTTCAGATACTTTTTGGAGTCGCCCCCAATTACGACAAATTGCGTGTGTTTGGCTGTGCTTGCTATCCCTGGTTGAGACCGTACAATCGTCACAAATTGGATGACAAATCACTTCGGTGTGCATTCTTGGGTTACTCCATCACACATAGTGCGTACTATTGCTTACACATTCCAACCGGGCGCCTATACACCTCCCGCCATGTCCAATTTGATGAAAGCGATTTTCCATTCGCCTTCACTCAGGCTCCGCGAGTGACAGATCTCGATAGCACAGTGTCCATGGAAGGACCAGCCCTCATACAGCTCCCGTCTCAGAGTTCGCCGGTTGTTTTCCCGTGTTCGGACCTTCACTCCGCCTCTTCCGGGCCATCGTTGACCGCCGCTCCTCCACAGGTATCGCCTCTCAACGCTATCTCTTCTTCTTCTCCCTCAAATTCTGAGCCCACTGCTCCAATACACAATGGGCCGCAACCCACGGCCCAGCAACAATCCACACAAAATACAACTTTGACCCAATCTCCACTAAATCAGCCCACTTCACCACAAAACCAAAACAGCCCAATTCTTTCTTCTCCCTCCTCAGCCTCGAACAGCTCCTCGTCGGAATCGGAAAACTCCAACTCGACGACGGTGTCCTCCTCGACGACATCGTCATCCACCTCTGACGCACCACCGCCAAATCCACAACCACCAAACCCTCCGAATCTCAATCCCCAAAACCAAAATCCACAGAATCCGCCAAACCCACAAAATCCAAATCCACAAAACCCAATCCCAGAAAATCTTCACGCCATGGGTACTCGATCCAAAGCTGGTATCGTTAAACCGAATCGTCGTTACCTGCTCTCTGCTTCAGTTACCTCTCAGTGTGATTTTGAACCTCGTACAGCTGCTCAAGCTCTCAAAGATGATAAATGGCGAAATGCAATGGATGGTGAGTATAATGCTCAGATTCAGCATCGGACGTGGGATCTCGTACCTCCTCTGTCGTCAATGGTTACTTGTGTTGGCAGTAAGTGGATCTTTACTAAGAAATTTCATTCCTCTGGTGTTCTGAATCGCTACAAAGCACGCTTAGTAGCTCAAGGCTACAATCAACGTCCTGGTCTTGACTACGCAGAGACTTTCAGTCCGGTCATTAAATCAACAACTATCCGTGTGGTTCTGGGTGCTGCGGTTGATGGATCGTGGCCTCTCCGGCAACTGGATGTCAATAATGTGTTTCTGCAAGGCACGTTGACAGATGAAGTGTATATGAAACAGCCTCCTGGTTTCATCGACAAAGATCATCCTGACTATGTTTGCCGGTTGAATAAAGCTATATACGGTCTGAAGCAAGCACCTAGGGCGTGGTACATTGAACTGAAGAACTATCTTCTCTCTGTCGGGTTTGTTAACTCTCTCTCCGACACATCTCTGTTTATCCTGCACCGAGGTACCTCTATTATCTATATGCTGGTGTATGTGGACGATATCGTTGTCACGGGCAACGACTCAAGTTTAATTCAACAAACTCTGGATGCATTGGCTCTGCGGTTTTCGATCAAGGATCCAGAGGATTTGCATTATTTTCTTGGTATTGAAGCACGTCGTACTTCCTCTGGTTTACACCTCAATCAGCGGAAATAAATATTAGATCTTCTAGCTCGTACCAACATGCTTTCTGCCAAGCCCGTCAACACACCTATGGCAGTCTCTCCGAAATTCACCTTGCATTCAGGCATCAGACTCACCGATCCTTCTGAATATCGGGCTACACTTGGCAGTCTGCAATACTTGGCTTTCACTAGGCCTGATCTCTCTTATGCGGTCAGTAAACTCTCTCAATTTATGCATGCGCCTACAACTGATCATTGGCTTGCGGTCAAGAGACTTCTTCGGTATCTAGCTGGTACAGCAACTCATGGAATCTTCCTCAAGAAAGGCAACAACTCCACACTTCATGCATATGCTGACGCTGATTGGGGAGGTGACATAGACAACTATGGTTCTACAAATGGATACATTATTTATCTCGGCTCACATCCCATCTCCTGGTCCTCAAAGAAACTACAAGGAGTGGCGAGGTCATCGACAGAAGCTGAATACAGATCAATGGCGAACACTGCTTCAGAAGTCAAATGGTTATGCTCCTTGCTCACTGAACTTGGCATTCGTGTCAACTGGCCACCGGTTATTTATTGTGATAATGTAGGTGCAACCTATCTGTGTGCCAATCCAGTTTTCCACTCCAGGATGAAGCATATTGCTATTGATTACCACTTCATCCGAGAACTGGTTCAGTCTGGAGCTCTTCGAGTTGTTCATGTCTCTATACATGATCAAATTGCTGATGCCTTAACCAAGCCCTTGTCCAAAGCTGTGTTCAACGATTTCTCATCCAAGATTGGAGTCACCAAGGCTCCTCCATCTTGAGGGGGCATGTAAAGATATTATCATATCACTGATTGCTGATATTTAGGATTCACTTATAGATAGTATATATTCTACATTAACTCTTGTAAAGCCCTACCTTTGGCTATCCTCTTGTATATATAGACTCTATGAGAGAATGAATAAGATCATCACTTCTACAAACATCTATATAAATAGCTTAAAATTTTGATGGTAAATGAATGGGAATGAATAGTCACTTGTCAAGCTCATTTCATGACCTGAATTCACAGAGATTAAACTATAATTTGAAGTTTGGGATCATTAACCAAGACCCAAAAAGTGTTTATAATTTATACATTACTCTCTTGGATTGTGAACTTCAAGTTGGTTACTTGAGGATCTCAATCTAAGAAACCATCTAATCAGTGATTTCAAGTGTTTTGCAAGGAGTCAACTATTTGACAGGTAGGAGACATTGAGAAAGGCTGTAACCAACCTAAAACCAACATTCATATGGCGGCCAAAGGGAGGTTGAAAGAAGATGCACAAGCCATCACACGATACTAGGCGTTCAACACTTGGGAATGATAAAGGAAAAAGATAGAAACTCGATTCGGTCGAAGAAAATCTCAATTGGCCCGAATGGATTTGAAGAAATTCAATCCGGCACATTTCTCTCGGCCATGACGCGTACAAGGAGAACCATTCATGGCCAACTCCTAAACCACGCGACCGAAGTCCACCAAACTTCATAGGCGACCACAAAATAAGATTTTGGTCGGCAAATCCAAAAGTTAGGACGGAGAAATCATCACGGTTCATAAAATGTAGATTAAGATTACCAAATGTCGACCAGTTTGTGATGAGGATCAGGTCCGGTTTGAGTGATGGTATAACATGAAGTTCACAAAGCTACATTTTGGACTTCAAGAAAGCTACATTTTCATTGTGAACTTCATGTTATACCTCTCTTAATCTGATTTGCTTTCACCGGGACGGTGAAAGTTAAGTCTGGGGGGATTACTAACTATGTTTGTTCATTTTGGCATTTTCATTTGCATTTTTTTCCTTTTATCGAGTCATTTTTATTGAGTCAAATTTTTTGTTGAGAATCATGACCTTATCTTGGATCTAACCATGGTTGTACTAATGTTTAAGTGACCATTGAGCAGTTCTTGGCAGTAACATTTCTTTCAAAATTGAACGACTTTCAGTTTTGGTCCGCAAAGGTAGACGGAAGAGAAGGTCTACTTTTACATGGTAGACCTCAGTTGAGGTCTACTAACCAAGTAGACCGGGTCAATTCCTTTGCAAACAAAAAAAACAAGTGGTAGACCTCAAATTAGGTCTACTCCACGTGGAGGGTTAGTTTAGCAATTGTTCGAGGAAAATGTTTTTTTGGAGGTCTACCGTGTCGGTCTACTACACGTGGCGGGTTAGTTTTGCAATTGATCGAGTAAAATGTTTGTCGTAGGTCTACCAGGTCGGTCTACCTAAAAAAAAAAGTTGGTCCGGCCGTTGACAAAAGTTTGACTTTCCTCAAAAAGGAGAGAGTTTGCGTCATTGAGGTCTACCGTGTAGGTCTACTGCTTGGTAGACCGAAAGTGAGGTCTACTGGTCAACGCAAAAAAACTGAGGTCTACCACGGAAGTCTACCCGAGGAAAGTCAAACTTAAGTCAACGCATCACAAACTGTTTTTTAGGTAGACCGATACGGTAGACTAATTTGGAGGTCTACTTTTTTACGGTAGACCGATTTGGAGGTCTACGTCTTCCGGTAGACGGAGACGGTAGACCTTGGCAAAAAGTCAACGTTTGGTCAATTGCAAAACTAACCCGCCACGTGTAGTAGACCGACACGGTAGACCTCCAAAAAAACATTTTCCTCGAACAATTGCTAAACTAACCCTCCACGTGGCGTAGACCTACATTTCGGTCTACCGTTACGTCTACTAGAATCTACGTTTAGGTCTATTATTATGTGTTTTTTTAAATGTCGTTTTCCTTTCAATATATCAAATATTTTGGAATTTATCTCGAACAGTTAGTTGCTTTTGTTTGTTTACTTGCTTCTGTGTGAGTTTGAAATGTTCTTTCTGCGTAATTAAGGCTATATTCGGATTTCTTTTCAATTAGGTATCTAGATTAATTTTACCTGGTAGACCAAGTTGTGGGTCTACCGTAGCGGTCTACCCATTCTGTCTTCTAATCCGTTTTGTGGTCTTGTTCGTTTTTGTTGCAGGTAATGGTTTGTCTAGCTTCCGTTTATGGAAAATGGGTGGTGATGGAAGACAAGACATGGAATTTTGAGGTCGATAAAGGAAAAGGAGGGAGGATGTTCTACTTGCGTGATGGTTGTACACATGAGGAGCTCCTTACAATGGTACAAGCTGACTATATGCTGGATATGGAACCAGAGCGGGTGGAGTTATCCTATCCATTACCAGATGTTATGCTCCATCAAATGCCCTCTGACTTTCCTCCTATGTACATCACCAACGATGGGCAGGTCCATAGCTTGATAGAGACATGCAAAACGCATGTGCTGCGCCTTTGCATCTCTGTTGGAAACAAGGATAAAGGTCAGCAGAGAGATGAGGATAACTATGTCGATGAAGATAACTATGTGGATGAGGATGAGTATGAAGAGGAGGAGGAACTTTCAGATGTAAACTGGGATGCAAATTCAGATGAAGAAGTTGAGGAAGAGTATGATGATGCAGGGGACGATGACTATGTGGATGAAGATTTTGCAGGAAAGAAAGCTGAAGACACGGACGCAGACTATAGTGAGTATGGGAAAGTTCAAGATGAAGATGATTGGGAGAAAAAACGCTTTGAAGAAAGGCTTCGCAGAGGTGATTTGAATGGTCATGGGGTAGGATTCGATGGGTCAGGCGATATATCAGTTGGCCAGAGCTATGTAAGCAAGAATGATCTCATATCTGCCTTGCGAGTGAAGGCAGTGAAGTCTAGATTCGCCTTCAAGGTTTCTAAGTCTACTACCAAGCTCTATGTGGCAAAATGTTTTGTAGATGGATGCAAATGGATGTGCAGAGCTGCTATAAAGAATGAGGCAAAGAGGTTCTTTGTCACAAAGTATGTCAAGGTTCATACATGCTCTGTGGTGGACCGTGCTCGATTCCGCAAGGGATGTACTCCAAGGTATCTTGGGCAGATATTTGTAGAGCAGTTTGGAATCATTGATGGAATTGTCCCAAGGCATATTGCTTCCGCGATAAGGGTGTTGCTTGGACTTAAGCTTAACTACACCACTTCTTACAGAGCTTTAAAAGCTGCCCAACTTTTTGTTAGGGGAACACCAGAAGCTGGATATGCGGCTTTGCCCTCGTACTTGCGAAGAGTGAAGCAGTCAAACCCGGGCTCCGTGACTGACCTTGTATGTGAGGCTAATGGTCAATTCAAATACTGCTTCTTGTCCTTGTATGCTTCAATGGTTGGCTTTCAGTACTTGAGACGTGTTATTGTGGTAGATGGGACTCATCTAACTGGAAAGTATGGAGGAACATTGCTGGTTGCAGCCGGACAAGATGCTAATTTTCAGGTTTTCCCGTTGGCATTTGGGATTGTAGATGCCGAGAATAACGAATCATGGGGGTGGTTTATGAACAAGTTGCAGCAATGCTTTTCATCTCATCACATGGTCATTATTTCGGACAGGCACCCCTCCATACCTAATGCATGTCTCAATGTTCTACCTTGGGTAACCAGAGGTATTTGTTACTACCATCTTCAGGGAAACATTGTCTCAAAGTCAGAGCTGGGTGCAAAGGATTTGATGTACTTGGTGAAAGGAGCTGCATACGCCCATACGCTGAGAGAGTATAACCGTTGCATGGCATCAATCCGGGCTGCTAAACCTGCACTTGCGAACTACTTAGAGTTAGCAGATCCTAAGTTATGGTCCAGAGTACATTTTCCAGGGGATAGATACAATATAAAGACAAGTAACATTGCTGAATCTATCAATTCCGCATTGAAGAGAGCAAAGGGCTTTCCAATACCGTATCTGCTGCAATTCATCCGGGAGAAGTTGGGGGTTTGGTTTGCCAAAAGGCGAGAGGACGCCTTGAGTCTTCAGACCCCATACAGCAAGGGAGTTGAATATTTGCTAGCTATTCGTACACACCACGCAGAAACATACACTGTGGAACACATAGATGGATGGACTTTCAATGTTATAGGCGGAGGAGGGCATTATATTGTGAATTTGGAAAACCGTTCCTGCGAATGTGGTGTATTCCAGATTGAGAAAATACCTTGTTCACATGCGATTGCAGCGTCTACTGAGGCAAACATGCACATTTCGCAAAACGTGTGTATGACATACACGAAAGAATCTTTGTATGCAACATATGCACGTCCCATATACCCGGAGCCTACAGAAGATGCAGAGGAAGAAGAAGACATTTGCTTACCTCCAGAAGTGGCGCCAACTCGTGGCCGGAAAAAGAAATCAAGGTATCTAACATGGCTAGAATTGTCAAGGAAGAGACAGCCCAAACCAAGGAAGGTCCACAAAGTTTATAGCTGTTCGTTGTGCAGGGTTCCAGGACACACCCGACCTCATTGTGTAAGCCATTGAAAACTCCCTCTTTCCGTTAATGTTTCAGTTTTATCCTTACTTGAGTTCCATAACTCCTGCAGATGAACAACGCAGCGGCAGACTGACTTAGTCGACTAATTCGGTAGACCGCATGTTTAGTCTACCTTGTCTACGTAGACGTAATATTCGGTCTACTACGTAGGTCTACCCGACCGATCTACCAACAATCTACCGAAGAGGTCTACTTTAGCTGTTTTGAGTTACTAATGTTTTATGTTATTCATTTTGTTTGATATTGACGGGGTACGTCCATGTTAGTAAACATGCAAGAATTTGAATTTATCCGAAAACAGTTATATTATATATTTAGCTGGGTTAGGTAGTTATATTTTACACCAAAAAATAATGAGAGCGTCGAGTTTAGGTACACAGCAAAATATGGTACCATGAGCGCTTTACAAAACACACCCAGCCTAAAACTGATATATACCGATCTACCTAGATAGTTATATGTCATTGTCCAGATCCTCCCAGTTACGCTCTGGAGGGCCGCGACAGTTGATCTCGTGATATAGGTCCGCTGCAAGCTTTGCTCTTATAGCTTTCATGTTCCTACCACAAAGCGTCTTCGGAAAAAGCCTCCCAAGACTATGATACTCGATGAACTTTAGACAGTAGACTCCACAGTCACTCGAATTGTCTTGCGCAGGCACATCTCCTCCGGAAATATACTCGTGGGTGTAACGGTCGAGTGGATACTTATACCTATCGCCGATGTCAGCCATGAGCCGTTGTAGATAAGGCATAAGGACAGCAACGGGCTCGATAGCTTTGGCTAACAACCTCTCCGATAGACATCCTGGAATGCTGTCCCACACAGTAATATGCCTTTTCGGTATAGAAACCATCAAGGCCACCCAATGAGCGTCTTTGACGTTCCATGGCATGTAGATCTCATCAATATCTACTTCCCATTTCTTCAAGGTTTGGCAGAAACGTGGTGCTTTCCCTTCGAAGAGATCGGTCGCACCTCCCGGGACCCACCTTCCTAGTCCCTGTCCATCGGGCTTTGTACTCAAAAACCTCTTCCACTTGTCTTTTTGCCACAGCATACTAGGAGTACTATCACAGAAGCACAGTCGGTCACTCCTAAACCACTCGGGGTGCAACTTCATGCGATGACGAAACATGTTCATTACTGCGTCCATGTGCTGAAAACAGATACGAAATTCTTAGACAGTAAAAAAAAACTAAACATAAATGGTCTACCAAATGGTCTACCAAAATGGTCTACCAAAACGGTCTACCAATAAGGTCGACTTACCGTATCAGCCATTCCGTCTGCGTGACCAATTCATGCCACCACATTAGTGGAATGTGGAGTTTGAACTTCGTCGGGCCGCTGGATACAAAACATAAAAATCACAATTGGTAATCAAACAAGCTATAAATCTAAACCAAGGAAGTTTAAGAAAATACTTACAAAATGCCTTTGAAATCTTTCTTCAGCCGTGCAAGTCTGTCCTTATCCACAGGCTCGTTGGGATCATATCCATATCCAAGCCGTGGCTTGTTAGGAATGATTCCCTTCACTGTGCTATCTCCTATAAACGGAGACACTTGTGATGCGGCCAGCTGTCGCTGTCTCTGTACGTTTGCACGTGCAATATCTATTGTTGCTTGTTGTTTTAATGCCATCCTCTGTGCCTCTTCCACTTCCTCAGCTTTTGTTGGTGTATACTCCTTCACGAAAACCAGGTCCGGGTCTACGCCATTGTCACTACCGCATGGAGATAAAACTTGTTGTTTCTGCAAATGACAATGAACGCCGCTTGCATCAAAATATTTTACTTGTAGCAAACAGATATACATATAAAACAGATATGTTCATTGTTTTCCGCAGAAAAAGATTCACAAATATAGAAACAACACAAACAAGTTTATGATAAAACAAGAAAAGCAGCAGCAGACAAATCTACTGCTTGTACTTGGGGTTCTGCTTCCTATTTCGAAGGATCCTAGTAGGTTCAGCAGGCTGATTTTTCTTCATAGTAGGAGAGGGTTTGTTACTAACCCGAGCTGGAGCTTTTCTCTGCTTAGGAGTGGCAGCCTTCTCGGTGGAGTTATCGCCAATCTTCTCGCCGATGTCAGCCTCCTCCTCCTCCTCTTCACCTGACGACTCGTCCTTCTTGAGTGGCATCTTCTCCGAGACTGTAGCATCCTTCTGGGAGTGGCATCCTTCTCATCCTTCTCCGAAACAGCAGCTCCTTCGCAGCCTTCTCCTCGGCTCGACCATCTTCAACAGACGGCTCGTTCTTCTCATTATTGCGTCAGGTTCCACAGGTTCGGTGTTTGGACGCCTTGATGCTGCTTGCATAGACTGGACTGTTTTTTCTATGCGGATCACCTTCCTAGTCAGGATGGTGAACTTGGAATCAGACTGTTCAAAGCCAGACTTCATCGCCGCAGACAACTTACCGAAGCCATCTTCAAACAGAACCTTCATCTTCTCCTCGAAGCGACTGAAGCCATCTTCAGCAGAGGATACGCTCTCAGGACACTGCCTCTTCTGCATTTCATCTCCAGGGTCAGAGGCTCTTTTCCTCTTCGCAGACTCCGCGGGGTATAGGATTCTTCACCAGAACACCTTGAGGATTCCAGTCCGCCGGCTTCCACCTCCACCGGCCCAGGTCTCCATACAGCGCGTTGATGAGTTCATCTACACGCGGGTCTTCCTTATCCTCATCCCACTTTGGGTAAACGAAGTCTCTCTCCACCATTATGCAGTGATCAAAGTTCACCTACAAACGTAAGGGAAAGTAATAATGGTCTAAACCAAATGGTAAACCAGAATGGTCTACCAAATGGTCTACCAAAATGGTCTACATATGGTCTACCAAAATGGTCTACTCTATGTAAATGAGTTCTATCGTACCTGCTTCAGTATCGTGAGTTCAATGTTCCTTAGACCCTGGACTCCTTTGTAGGACAAGAGCGGAATGTCAGGAGCGTTTCGTATGGGCGCACCACAACCCGCTCCGAATTCAGGCATGAAACGATATGCCCATACTTGTAGAGCCTCAACAAACCCATCCAGGACATACCCGGACTTCCATAGCTCTGCTTCTTTGACGGCTTCGATCAGGTTCTTGAAAGCTACACGCCCCCACGGATAATTCTCAAACTCCTCTTCATCCATCACTAATCTGGCCAGGTTGACAGGAGTGTGCGAGGTGTTTTTCCGAGCAGCAATGAAGCCAGTGTAGATGGCCAAGTAACCAAGCCTAAGTTTGTCCTCACTCGGCCAGTCTGTTGCCCATTCGCATGCACGAATGATCTCCACTTGACTCGGACCAAGCTCAACACCTACTCCGAGCTTCTCCCAGAATGCTCTCATCTCTAGAGTAACCTTGCACTTGGGGTCATCAATATCTTCCACATAGTCGCAGTTGAGGCCGGTGAGATGCTCAAACTCATGGAGGGAAAATCTAATTGGGCTATCCGCAACCGCACCCAGATCTCATACTTCTTCTTGCACTCTAACTGATATGAGAGCATCGTGTGGACCAACTTCGAAGACCACTCGAAGTCGAGGTCGTGAAACTTGCAGAAGACACCAACTCGCGAGTCGCATAGTGTTTCCCACTCGGCATCACTCAGTAGTTTTTTCACGGCAGCAAATAGCTTTTTGTCGTTGCTGCCGTAGGAGATGCTCTTTTGGGCTTCCGGTTCAGCCCTCTTGTGTATAACCTCCTTGGAAAGGTAGGCTTCTTCATTCTGCAACGAACATAAAAGGAAAATCAAAGAAGGCAACACAAAATCTACCACAAGGTCTACTAAATCCTAGAAGAAATAGAAAGACTAAAAAAAGAAATCTACCGAATCACGAAGAAGAAATACATATATGAGTTGTAGAGGTTATGTTATAGATTGTTGTACCTCTCGACGACGACGACAGTTCTAAGCGCTTATCGCAAAGCACCAGGAACGATATCTTGGACGAGATCTAACTACAAAAACGACACATGAATTAGGTTATTTGTGGTTATACAAAGCGAAAATGGTAAGAAAGAGTGAGTGACGGAGTTACTACCGGGAAATGGGATCGATGTGGAGCGCTCCGATTCTGTTAGACAACGGCGACGAGTTCACCAGACGGCGGACCAAATATGAACAATAAAACGGTTAGATGACTGAGCGGAGATAGATTAACGACACTAGGTATAGGGCGGAGATATTACCGGCGTAATCAAACAGAGGCGGAGCAAACGGCGTCGGAAACGGAATAGCGGAATAGCGGCGGAGCAAACGGCGTCGGACACGGAAATCGCCTGAAATCGCCTCTGGAGAGCGCCGACTCGCAATGTTCTAACAAAACCTAGAAATTAACTGCTCAGGGTTAAAATCGCTTTATATACGTCGGTTCGATTAACTGGTTTCGTTATATCGGTTTGAACCAACAAATTAGCCGGTTATTTCAATTAATATCGGTTCAGCCGTTCAATTTACGGTTCTACGCAAACAATTGAGTCGGTTATTTCCGGCTTAGGTATACCGTTACGGTCTACCACGAAATTACCGAAACGTCGTTTCAATCTCAGCCGTCGCTTTGAAACTTCGGGATTCCCGCTAGGTTAAAACGGTTGGTAGACCTCCACTTCGGTCTACGCGATCCGTCTACTTGTTAGGTCTACTTTACCCTAAACCCTAAATCGAATAATTTAGATACAATTTTGCAACGATTTGCTTGCCATATTGTCAATTTACAGTGTATATCACAAATAAACAAACATTGAATCGTAAAACCAACCAAAAACAATTCTTCATCTAAAATTTTTCAAAACCCTACAACTTCCCCATTAACTCCTAAACAATCTACTCAAACTCTTATCCTTATGAACTATTTACATATGATATTTATAGATTCATGATTTCTTATGAAATTTAATTTTTAATAGATGTGAAATGTCTATTATTTCGTTATTTGTGAAACAAATATTTCAAATTATTTTTTAAATTTTCTTAATTTAAATTTAAGATTTAATTATTTAGTAGACTTACTTGGTAGACCTCTCATGGTTTTTATAGGCTTTTAACCTAATTTTTGTTTTTTATAGTTCAATTGGTTCAAATCTATGAAATTATATTTTATATAGATGCAAGTTGTCTGTATTGTATTTATGTATAAATAATTTTCATCAAAATATTTTGAATTTTTATAATTAAAATTAAATTTTAATGACATAGTAGACTTACTCGGTAGACCTCCACATTTTTATAGATTTTAACCTACACTAGGGTTTGACCCGTGCCCTGCACGGGGTGATAGTTTCTGAATTTGTATTTTTATTAAAAATGTTTATTTAAATATTTCGACATTTTATGCGAGAGATTTTTAACCTTTGTTATTCGTTTATAGTATGGAAATTAGGCATTTTAATCCATTTAAAAAAAAGAAATAAATTAAAGCATTGATCGTAACCACATATTAAATATGATAGATTTAACCGAGATACATAAAACTCAAATAACTATAATATAATAAGATAGTTTAAAGAAAAAAATTGAAAATAAAACATTATTCTTTAGAAAAATTATACATCATGTATTTCATAAGATAAAAAGTTTTAGCTGTGTGGACACGGATTAGAACTAATTTTTTTCTTTCTTTCAAAACTAAAACATGCTTTATTATAATTTCAAAACAATCCAACCAATCAGAAAATAATATGCAGAATCAAAACAGCAAAAATATAATTAATTTTGTATAGAAAGTTGAAACAGATAGAGTAATATTCAAAAGTTTAATCAAAATAAAATATTTATAAAAAGAACTTTTTTTTATTCGATTTTAATTAAAAAACCATATTAAATAAAAAAAATTACCTTTGGATACCTACTAAATGAGGTTATATACGAAACAATTTATATTATTTTGTTTTTAAAAATTCAAATCATAACATGTACAGAAAAAGTTTTAGATTTTTTTGATAGATTTTTTATATTGTGATTCAAATTATTTTATTAAATAAATTTAAACAAAGATGATAGAAGATGTATACTGATTTTAAAAGAAATTATTATGATGAATTAAATTGAATCTCATATCTTCCTTATTTACTAATTTTCGTAGTTGCCAATTAAGGAAAGAGAATGATAAATTTAATTTCATTATTTGGTTGTAAGCATAATATGCAATGGCATATATTGTAATTTGTCTAGTAAAGCTTGTCTTAATTAGAAATTGCTCTAAGAGTGAACCTAGTGATGACACCTAAGCAATGACATTCTTGTTAATAACACATTAGACAAAGGTTATTTAGTTAGTGTTTTCTCTTTTAATATATTAGGGATGTCTTTGCTTATCTATAAATGATTCATTTATATGCATTCATAGTTTTGGTAGTTGATAATGTCTATATTATAATTATTCATACATGTTTTTGTATATAAATATTTTTTATTGAATTGTTAATTAAAATTTAAGATGTTATTACGAGGTAGACCTCCAATATTGTCTACCAAATGGATCTACTTAATAGATCTACCTGGTCCGGAGGTTAAAATCGTATTCGAGGCATGCGTTTTTTTGTTTGGTCATGAGAGAGTGTGGGGTAATTTTACAACCCATGGAGGTTAGTTTTGCATTTGATTCAAATTGTGGACTATGTTACTAGAAAATATTAAATTGTGGTCTAGAATTGGTAATTTCCCTGGTAAACAAATTAAAATCTGAACTATAGATTAAATATGATAGAATTAATCGAGCTACATAAAACTCAAATGACTACAATATAATAAGATAGTTTAAAAAACAAAAGAGAAATTTTTAAAAATACACCTCTTAAGGTGTAAATTTTCAAAACTACAACAAAAAACTGAAAAATAAAATATTATTCTTAAAAAAATATATACTTCATGTATTTCATAAGATAAATTAAATTTTTATAATATTCAAATTTATGATAGACATATTCGAAATATGTTAATTTTTTAACCAAGTTAAACTATTTATAATATTTTAATATTTTGATATGATATAAATATTTTCAACCTTTTTCTGAAATAGTTATAATAAGATATTTGGTTTAATTATATAGTTTTATTAAAAAACCATACAAAACCAAATATATTGATAAATTTGGATACTTATTAAATTAAACTTCTATGTCTAATGGTTTATTATTATTTTGATTGTTCATTTTATAATAGACTTATGAACTATCACATATCTTCATTTCCAATGTGGGACTTTTATGATATATTTATAATTTTCATCATTTTAGTAATTCATGTCTGTTTTTTTCAATTCAAATTATAATTTGTGTAAAATAAAATGTACACTTTTTAATATTTGGTTAATGTGATAATTTATATATTTTTATAAAATTTAGTCCATGAGAGAAAAAATGTAGTATTTAAGAAAATAATTTATTTCATAAGATATGGAAAGAATGATAATAAATTTAGGATTAAATGCTGAAATATGTATAAACCATTGATATAACTATTCTCTAACCAAATTAATACAATGGCATATGTTGTAAATTGTCTAGTAAACTTTGACTTAATTAAAAGTTGTCTTGAGAGTGAACCTAGTGATTACACCTTAGCAATGACATTCTTGTTAATAACACATGACATAAAGGTTATTTTGATAGTGTTTTCTCTTTTAATATATTAGGGATTACGAAGTTTTGTTACTTGTATTTTAATTTTCATTTGAATTTTTTAAATATCTTTTCTCTTATACTTATTCAGATATGTTAAAGCGCTGTAAAAATATAAATCTATATAACTCTTTATTTATTCTAAAATCAAATTCTTTAAAATGTTTTTCATGTGTCACAATTAAATTGTGATTAGTTGTAGCATATTGAAAATCTTGTACCGTAATCCTAAAGCCTAAACTAAAAAGCAAAACCGAAATTCTAAACTTAAACCATAAACCATAAATCATAAACCTTAAACTTTTATTCAAAAAAACAATATTAAATCAGAATTAGCAAAAGGTATTTAAAAGTCATTCCAAATCTTTATATCTAAACCCTTGATCTATAACACTTATAAACGATCATACATTTTTGTATTACATATTTATTTTGTTAACACTTATAACAAATTTAAATAAAACTATATGATAAATCTTAAACTTTAAACCCTAAACATAATTAATGATTATATAAAATTCATAATCTACACTAACAAATAATTTCAAAAATATTCAAATCTTATTTTCGAAATCACAAACACTAAATCCCTAATCCAAAATATCAAATTGTAAAACTAATTTTTTTTTGGTATGAATGTCAACTATAATCTAAAACTAAAATCTCACACAAAATTGCTGCTGTGAAAAAGCCTTCTCATGGAGCTGGTGTGAAAAAAAAATCAAAAAGCCTTCTCTTTTTTTTTTTGCTTGGATTCGTAGCAATGTTTTTCAAACCGAACCGGAAGGCGAACCGGATAAATATTCGGATCATGGTTTAATTTGGTTCGACTGGGTTGAACCCGATTCAAAATAATTTATATTAAATTTGAAAATAAATATTATAAGTAGTTTAAAATTGATATATCATATTTTTTGTTGAGTTTAAAATAAAAACTTATATTTTTGTTTTCTAATTAGTTGTTTAAAGTATAAACATATATAATTAGTTAAAAAATTCAAAAATGAAAATAAATAAAAGAAAATAATTAATTAATTGATCTATTAATTGTTTTTAAATCGGATCGGAAACCCAACCCAGTCACATATCTGGTTCATGGTCGAACCCAGTCCGACCACCGGGTCGTCCGGTTTTCAAAACATTGATTCGGAGAGTGAAACAGAATTGATTCTCTCCCTCTCTCTCTCTCTCTCTCTCCTATCTTATTGTGATCTGATCTGATCTGATCTGAATTTACATTTTTTTCTTATCTTTCATTTAGTTATCATTTCACTTTCAGGCCTCAATTTCGATTAAATTTTCTTCTTCTGGTGTCAACGGAGGAATTTTCCGGCCCACTTAAATCATTGATTTTTCTAAATTCACGAAGTTCTTTCGTTGATTTCAATTTTGACAAAACCGGAGAAGTGAAAAAACAGAAACTTATGGTTCCATCGGAGATCGAGCCATCTATGATGGAATCTGATAATCGTTTCGCCAATCTGAGAGGCGTACAATGGCGCGTGAATCTCGGTGTTCTTCCGTTTCATGCTCCTTCCATTGATGATCTCCGCAAAACAACAACTGAATCTTGGAGAAGGTTAGCTTCAATTACATCAATGTTGGTTGTCAAAAATTTATGACCAATCTTGTCTTTGTCAAAAGTTTCCTAATTTGAGAATTGAGCAGAGTTTTTTTTTTAGCTTTTCTGGGTTTAGCAAAAAGGTAATTAATTTCCTATCTAATGTAGATATATGCTGGTTTAAGGAGACGTCTCTTGATAGATCCACATTTGTGTAAAGATGTTCGAAAGCTTGAGTTTCATGTATATTGTTCCCTTTTGATAGCTGAGATTCTTGAGTCTCTTATATGAAACCAAACCATGTCTAATGCAGATAGTACATGGGGTCGTTTCTTTCGGAGCTAGAGAAAACATTGGATCAAGACTTATCGAGATTATATCCAGAGCATTGGAGCTAGCTACTTCCAAGCTCTTTGCTGGAAGGTGTTCGTCACTGGTAATGCAGTACTCTACTATAATATATTCCCATGAAGTTCTATTTCTTGTTGTCAATGTTACATATTTCTAACTATAATTCAGGCACGAGTGTTAGGACATTAATCCGCTATGTGAGAAGGAAGAAGAGGAATGAGCATGAGAAGTCGAGTGAAGAAGAGTTAGATTTCTCGGCTGACGTGAACAAGTGAAGCTCAGCTTCTTTTCGTTTACTATAAATACTAGCTTATTGCTTTTAATTTCTTTATCCAGATATTATTGTAAAGAGAGAGTTAGTTGCAAAAGGTGACAGAGAAGAGCTTGTTCTTCCTATAAGATAGTGGCTATCAGAGAGTCTCCACGCCGATCAACATTGTATTCTTTATTAATTGAATAATACATCTATTCTCTTAACAAATTGGTGCGGCGATAAAGTGGATCGGAGAAATCTCAGAGATTCGGCGAATTTCGGAGATGTTGTCGAGAATGGAGGCAAATCAAAACAATCTGATGACGAATCCACGACCTCCGACGACGAATCCGACGAATCACATGAATTTCACGTCACCGACACCAGCTGTGCGTAAGGTAGGTAATCATAATCAGTCGGAATCTGGAGAAAATAGAACACTATGTTATCGGGGAATCAATAATGCCTTGGAAAATCGAAATGATGTGTTCAAGAAGATTGAGTTACCACCATTGGATGGATCGAGTCCATATGGTTCGATTTCGTTGGCTGAGGGATTTTTCTGGTTGGGTAGATATAGAGACGAAGAACGATTGGATCTGTTATCCATCACCTTGAAAGGTCCGGGGTTGAACTGGTTCAACATGGAAATGACACGAGAGCCGTTCAAAGACTGGCCACAGTTTAAGAAGCGGATGATTGAGAGATTCAGTCAGAAGATTGAGGAGAATCCATGCAAAAGGTTGTTTAGTTGGAGGCATAAATGCTTAATTGAGGAGTATGTTAATGAGTTTGAGGAGGTTACAGCAATTGTGACGGGTATTGATGAAGAGAACCTGGAACATATGTTCTATATTGGTCTTCAACCAGAGATGAAGGAGGTTATAAAGATGCAGAAACCACATGGACTAACAAATTGCTTCAACGCGGTCATATCAATGGAGGATAGTGCGTTTTGTAAGTCAATGCCAGAAGCAACAAATCCGTCCCGTCGAGCTTCATTGTCTTTTCCTCTACGTGGTGCGTACAACTACAACACGCAAAGATCAGGAGGAAGTAAAAATAGTGAAGCAGTGGAAAAGTCGAGCAGCTCTCAAAACCAGAATGGGAAACCACCTTGGCGTAATGCTGCAGGCAAAAAATACAGTGGTATGTTGAAGTTAACACCAGCGGAGATTGCTGAGAAAAGACGCTTGGGATTGTGTTACAAATGTCCGGAGAAATGGTCAAGATCTCATCAATGCCTAAACATGCTTTTACAGATGTTCACAGTCATAAATGAGGAAGAAGTGGAGATTTTTGAAGAAGATTGGAGTGTGGGAATGGAAGAAACAGAGAATGTAGAACCAGAGCTAATGGAATTATCATTTTCCTCTTATTTAGGGTTGGGTTCACCAGCAGTAACGAAGTTATGAGTTGAGATCGACAACAAAAAATTAGTGGTAATGACAGTGATTGACAGTGACACACAACTTCATTGATCCGTCTATTAGGAACCGGGATCATTGTCAATGGCTCTGGTGTATGCAAGGATGTGTCAGTCACACTGCAATCACATGAATTTAAAATGAATTTTGTGGTGTTGGAATTGGGAAATGCAGAGGTGATATTGGGTGTAGAGTGGCTGAGAACTTTGGATGCGGCTACGACTGGGACAAACATGAAATGTCTTTCATGTATAAGGGCTCAAATGATAACCTTGTATGGGACAAAGTGTTGTTGGTAAAAAAGAAAGATGGAAGTTGGAGATTTTGCATTGATTACAAAGCCTTGAACAAAGCTACTGTCCCGGATAAATTTCCGATACCTGTTATTGATCAGCTTCTCGACGAGTTACATGGATCAAAAGTGTTTTCAAAGTTGGATTTAAGAACTAGGTATCATCAAATTAGAATGATGGAGAAGGGTTTTGAAAAAACAGCTTTCCGATTATGAGTTTCTCGTTATGCCATTTGGATTGACGAATGCAGCAACAACGTTTCAGGTGCTAATGAATGAGTTGTTTCGACCGTTTCTGGGAAGTTTTGTGTTGGTGTTCTTTGATGACATATTGGTGTTCAGTGGCACATAGTAGAGCATGTGAGACACTTAACTACTGTATTGGAGATTTTTGAGGAGCATAAACTGTTTGCCAATAGGAAGAAATGTTTATTTGGTCTGTCTCATGTAGAATACCTTGGCCATATAATCTCAGAAGAAGGAGTGGCAACAGACCCATCAAAAACTGAGGCTATGAAGAAATGGCCTGTTTCGAAGTCGGTGAAAGAGTTGAGAGAATTTTTGGGTTTGACAGGGTATTACAGAAAGTTTGTGAAGGGTTATGGAGCCATTGCAAGACCATTGTTACTTTGCTATTTCTCAACACCACCATTGTTGGACTCAATTTGAAGCTTCACTCTACAATTCTCCACTCTAGAATTTCAGTTTCCGTTGAGATTCTTCGATTTCCCTTTCGCTGTCTTTTCTGATTTCAAATATTTTTACTCACAGAAATTTAAAATGGCGACAAAGTGAACTTAGGGATTTTTACTCCATTAAAATCGGTCGGCTTTGTGGTTTTCAGGTATAACCTTGGTTCAATTCGTAAATAGGTGAAGTTTGGTTTGGTTCTAATGTTTTTTCGTTGTTTTTTTATTTAAAAGAAAATGGAAAAGAATTTAATTTCTAAATTGTGGCATATGGGTGGGCCAGTTCTCTGATTTGTGGCTAATTAGAAATTCTTTCAGTTTGGTTTGGTTTATGTGAACCGGTTAATCTAAAAAAATCCTATAAATCTATTAGACATGTCGCTGCCACTGTCTTCTTTCTCTTATTCGTTTCTTCATTCTTCTCTTTAGTGATACTTTTTGGTCTCTTCTTCTTAGCTTCTTCTTTTTTCTTCGAGCCCATCCACTCCTCCGCCTACTCAGTTCGACCCTTATCTACTCGGCAGTTGCTGTCCCTAATTGCATCGAGTCCGATTCGAAGAAGATTCTCCTGAAATCCAAATTAAGAGCATGCTCCAAACAGCTCGAATTGCAAGTCATTCCGCCATTAGATGCGAATTCACAAAGTCTAGAGTTTGATTCTGGGAGAGGTTGTAACTATCTGCTTGTCTTGAGAAGATCCAAGCCAGTCCAGCCACATGCAAATCTTTATTCCAAGCCGCGTCTGATTCCTGAATTAAACCTGCTTGCACAGGTTGAGTGACCCTAAATCTTGTGCATCTAGCCATTCCTTTGCATCAGTAATTGCCTTTGTCATAGTTTTTGATAAACTGAAAAAAATTGTTTTCCTACTTGATCAATTTTCTTATAAATCAAATTCTTTTATTTCCTGCATTTGTATTCCGATTTAAGGAGTCATAAATTTTTTCCAAGCATGAGATTTTTATTCTCCGTTGCTCTTATTCATTCGATTGACACATTTAGATGTGGTTCTTGTTCGGCAGGGTTGGTTTTTTGTCTTTTCTTTATTGGCATTACTATAACTTGGATCAAAGGAGAATATTCGTTTTTGAAGTATATCTCATGTTCCCTCATTCTTCTGTAGGTGACCTTTACTACATAGTTAGCACTTAAATAAGTGAGTTTGGTATAATTTTTTTTCAGGAATGGGATCTTTGTGATGATAAATGGAATTTATCTGATGATTTAGCTACTCATTTAGCTACTCTGGATCCCTCTCTTTGTAAGATTCGCTCTGTCTCATGGTAAACAATGTATATATGATAATAGCTTTGTTTCATGGTTTGTTCAATCTTAGACTCAATTTCTTTTATATGCTTTGACGGCAGTTTGTTGAATATTAGACTCATTTTTTCAGAGCTTTTATACACTTTTTTTCTGCTTAGAATTATAAAGCTAATTAAGTTAGTTTATTATGTATTTGGGTATCTATGAATGTTAGACTCGTTTCAGAGAGCTTCTATGTGCTTTTCTGGTTAGAATCATGTATTTAATTAAATTAGTTTATCTTGTATTTGGGATTTCTATGTGATTTTTCAGAGTCTCTATGTGCTTTTACGCTTAGAGTTATGTAGCTTAGTAACTCGTTTTTTACAGAGCTCTCATGGTGAACAATGTTTGATGGTAATTTTGTCTCATGGTTTGTTCAAGGGTTTTGTAAACCCTACACTAAATTATTTTTCAAAATCAACCCTCAAGTCAAATAAATGCAGAATAAACACTGAGCTGAGAAAAAACCCGCAATACAGGAGGTCCAGCTGTTAAGCTGGCGTTATATCGGGGCCAAAAACTAAAACGCACCGTTTTATATTTATCCACATGTTGCTGAGTTAATTATCTCTAATATATTAAAAAGAACACATATAAAACAAACCTTTCATTCATGTGTTATTATCAAAAATGCCATGCTGATGTGTCATCATATGGTTCACTTTCAAAGTCTTTTTTACTTAAGACATCATTTACTAGACTATTTACATAATATACCATTACATTAACTTGGTTAGAGAATAGTTTATATCAATTATTTATACAAATTTCAGCATCATAAAGACATTCTCATTCTTTCCATATCTTATCAAATAAATCAAATTAATTGTTTACTTAAATACTTTGTTTTTCTCTCATTTCTTTATTGAACTAAATTTTATAAAAATAAATATATTATCACATTACCCATATATTAAAAAAACTGTATATTTTTTTCTACACAAATTATAATTTGAATTTTCAAAAACAGATATCAATTACTAAAATGATGAAAATAATAAGTATATCATCAAAGTCCCACATTGGAAATGAAAGTATGTGATAGTTCATTAGAGTCTTTATAAAAAGAACCAAAATGATAAGAAATTATAAGACATGGAAGCTTAATTTAATAAGTATCCAAATTTATCAGTATATTTGGTTTCATATGGTTTTTCAATAAAACTATATAATTAAATCAAATAAAATTTATATTAGTATAAATACTTCACAATGAAAAAGTTGAAAATATTTATATCAAAGATATTAAAATATTTGAAATAGTTTAACTTGGTTAGAAAGTTAAAATATTTAAAATATTTGTTATCACAAATTTGAATATTATAATATTTCAACTTATTTTATGAAATATATGAAGTATAGTTTTTTTTAAGAATAATGTTTTTTTTTCAGTTTTTCTTTTCTTTTGAAATATCTTATTATATTGTAGTCATTTGAATTTTACATTTGTTTAAATCTATCATGATTAATGCTTTAATTTATTTCTATTTTAAAAAAATGGTTTAAAATGTTTAATTTATAGACCATAAACCAAAAAATTGGTTAAAATAATTAAATTAACATTTTTAAAATAAAAATGCAAATTTAAGAATCATCACCCCGTGCAGGGCGCGGGTCAAACACTAGTTTTGAATTAAAAAATGAACTTAATTGTGGGATATGTTCAGCTTCATTCTTTCTTTTCCTATCTTATCTTCTTCATTGACCATTGTTTAGACATTGTACACAATACATAAGCAATTTCTTTGATTTCGGATTGCCCTTTCATAAGTTTTTATCCTATGGGTTGAATTCGAATTTGAAATTCAGAAATTCTGTGTTTCAATCAAGTTCTTGGGTTTAAGTTGCAGAAGTTTTAGGGGGGTGTATTGGAAAAGGGATTTTAAAGATTTTAGGTGCTTTTGAGTGATTTTGCATTTTAGGTGATTTTAAAGATTTTAGGAGATTTTAAAAGAGTTTGATGGGATTTAAGGAGATTTAAGAAAATATTTTGAGAGGATTTTGGATGATTATCGTGGGATTCTTATCTCTTCTCCCTTTTCACTACCTTCGCCATCAATGAGAGAGCTTGCCATTGCTGAGAATTGTGTAGAGTTGGCAACAACTATGAAAATTATAAAAGTCACACAGTTCAAAGTACGTTGGACCAACTAACTAATAACGAAAACAAGGGTCATCGCCTCATAACGCTCGAAAACAAGGGTCCAAAGTCAAACTCAAATTCAAATGAATAAAAAAGCTCGAAAACAAATAAAAAACCATCTTCATGACTTCAATCCATGCTAATGCATATGACTTCATTCACTTGGCTTACAAAGATTCCGTTTAATCTATCCACCACGGTCTGTTATGGACATATTCATGAATCCAGATTTCATCCCTAAGCTGTGAACAAGGGTCATCGCCTCATAAGTCATAATGCAAATCATCATCCAAATCAGGTACTTCTTTGATAGCATCCCAAACATTGTTAGCTTTGTCTTCAGCTTCTTTTTCCCATCTTTTCTGAATCATGCCAAATATTTGGCTACTGATTTCTGTCACTTCATCACCAACCTTGTTCGAGTTGTATGCATCTGTTCTAGATTTTTTTCTCGGAGGAAGCTTTTCTCTTGCAGATAAAACCTCATGTACAGATGCTTGCTCGTGTATTACACCTGCTGCATCATACAACACTTGGACGGAATCTATCACCTTGGTGTCTTCACCATCTTCTATGACGGCATCACCTAATACCGCAGCATCACCTAATCCCACAGCATTCTTCCCAGTTGCTGTAGTTTGACTAAAGATAATTCTTAGCTCCTCAAAGTCTTCAAACGATTCATTACGCAGATGTGCATTACCCTGATGAGCCTGTTTAAAAAAGAGAAAATAATATAATCATAATAAGAATCATACGTTTTAAACACTATCATATGCATAAAATGTATGATATAATTTTCTACCTGCAAATAGGTATTCCATACTTCATCGCTTGCGGTAAATCTTTTCGTTTCAGGGTCCCACCCAAAACCAGAACTAAAACGAAGAAGATCTGCCAAACTTTGGTACTTACTCCTCAAGATCTTCATCCTGTTTTTATACTGTGTATAGGTTTTGTCGAGGAATTGGGCAGGGTTAAACCTAAGGGAGATCGCAATCGCGAGGTTTCCATCTCGAGAGAAGGTAATTCGCATTGGGCACCGGAAGGATCATACGAGAGAGAAGGCGAGGATCGAACGCCGGGACCGGAGAGACATTGGTGACGACGGTAAGTGAGACTGATGAGAAGGAAGAAAGCTACGAATTGAGGAAGATTTGATTGCGTTGGTGAGGGGAAGCAAATGGTTTCCATCAGTATTCATGCTCGTACACAGCAATCTCCATGGGAATCAGAGAGTGATGAAAACAGATGAGTGAGTTGTCTCCATTGGAAACGATGGCATGTATTTGTCCTTTCATTTTTTTTATAATTGGTTTTAATAAAGCTTCTTCAAATCACACCTCAATGGGTGTTATTTTCGTTGGCCATATTCTTGTCACAAAAATAGGTGTTAAATCTCCTAAAAATCATATGACAAGTTTTCCCCCACATAGTTGTTTATTTTGAATAACAGTGGATTTGATTTAAGATTCACAAATGACTAATTCAATAACAGGGCTTGGTAAGTGATTTTAAATGATCTTTCTAAAACTCCATATTCAATAACACTGAATTTGAAATGACATTTAAAAATCCTTATTTGAATAACAGGGTTTTTTAAAATGACCTCAAAATCACCTAAAATCTTTAAAATCCCTTTTCCAATACACCCCCTTAGGCTTGAAATGCAAAAAATCAGGATTTTGAAATACAAAATCTCTGTGTTGTTAAGAAGAAGATCAATAAATTAGGTATATTACAAAGAGTAAAAGATACTTAATTAAATTGCATCAGAGTAAAGACGTGAGATAATCCTATGTAATTCAATCTTTAAACATACTCCATCTTCATCCTATGTAACTCAATCAAAATTGGTTTCACTTGGTAATTTGCTTTTAGCTAGCCTTCGTTAATTTTCCACACCCGTCGTCTCGTCGTTTGCTATTCCACCTGCATAATCCTCCGCAGTTTCTCTATCTCACCAGATTTTGAATCAATTTTTTTTACAGTAAATCCAGATTCGAGTAGAACCCAACAAAATAATTCCACTATTGGTTGACATAAATTTAGAGGACGTATGTAGAAGGAAGTAAATCTCTATAGCCGAGTGAATAAGTGAGTTTATGATATAGGATATTTACATTATTAGATAGTCACGTAATTGGCTAATTTCCTTTTCAGTTTTGGTTTTAAGCTTTAGTCGGTTTTGATCTTCTTATATAAAACTTGTAGTTCTTCTTCATAATATACATTCAGAATAATTCAGAAAAACTTCTCTTTCTTCTCTCTTGGTTACTTGTTACGATTAGCTCATTCTTAGCTGAGAATCTCTTCTATTTTAGTAGAATCTTTGCTGGTGAGTACAGACTCTTCGTTTTAAGAACGTTGTTTCTGAGTTCTATTGGATTCCTTGGAATCCTCGGCTTTCCTCTATCAAAGGTATCAGACGTCCTCCGATTCTCCGACAACAATGACTGAAACACGCTCTCAAACTGCTTTGAAAGAATCGATACTTGGTGAAATCAAGGCTGCTCTTGGTCCACGTCTTGAAGAGATGTTTTCACGTACTGAAAATCTCGAGGTTCATATCGCTTTTGAAAAACTCAAACAAGCTTTATGCGCAGCCCCTGTTTTAGCTCTGCCTTTGTTTGATAAACCCTTTGTTGTTGAAACCGATGCATGTGGTCAAGGTATAGGAGCTGTCTTGATGCAGGAGGGTCATCCCTTAGCCTACATCAGTCGACATTTGAAAGGAAAGCAACTACATCTCTCCATCTATGAGAAAGAACTATTGGCTGTGGTATTTGTTGTGCAAAAGTGGAGACATTATTTATTACAAGGTCATTTCGTGATTAAAACGGATCAGCGGAGCTTAAAGTATTTGTTAGAACAGAGGTTAAACACCCCTATTCAACAACAATGGTTACCAAAGTTGTTGGAGTTTGACTACGAGATCCAATATAAGCAAGGCAACGAAAATTTGGTCGCCGATGCTTTATCTCGAGTCGAAGGCGCTGAGGTTCTGCATATGGCTATGTCTGTGCTGCAAATTGATTTGTTACAGGAAATTCAATCTTCTTACGAATCTGATCAGGTGCTCAAAGGGATCATCGCTGATCTGAAGCAGAACCCTTCAGCTAAAAAATATTATTCTTGGTCACAAGAGGTTTTGAGAAGAAAGAGTAAAATAGTAGTTCCTGAGAATGTTCCCTTGCGTGACAAGATTCTTGAGTGGCTATATTGTTCCGGTGCTGGTGGTCACTCCGGCAGAGATGCTACATATCAGCGGGTCAAAGGCTTATTTTATTGGAAAGGTATGTCGAAGGACCTTCAATCTTACATCCGTAGTTGTAACAACTGCCAGCAGTGTAAGCATGATAACGCAGCTTCTCCGGGCCTGATACAACCTCTACCCATCCCGGATACGATCTGGACAGACATATCAATGGACTTTATTGATGGTTTACCTCCATCTTATGGTAAATCTGTCATATTTGTCGTGGTGGATAGACTAAGCAAAGCTGCTCATTTTATGGCTCTCTCTCATCCATATACGGCAGCATCGGTGGCTCAAGCATTTTTGGATGATGTTTTCAAGCTTCATGGCTTCCCTCAATCAATCGTGAGTGATCGGGACACCGTGTTTCTTAGTGATTTTTGGAAAGAGTTGTTTAGTTTGCAAGGAGTAGCATTGAATCTCTCGAGTGCTTATCATCCCCAAAGTGATGGTCAAACTGAAGTAGTCAATAGGTGTTTGGAGACATACTTACGGTGTATGTGTAGTGATAGACCACATTTATGGAGCAAATGGCTTCCTCTTGCAGAGTATTGGTACAATACGAGTTTTCATACATCCATCCAGATGACTCCATATGAAGCTGTTTATGGACAACCTCCTCCGCTACACTTGCCGTACCTTCCAGGAGAATCGAAAGTTGCTGTTGTGGCTAAATGTCTTCAAGAAAGAGAGAATATGATATTGCTCTTGAAATTTCATCTCTTAAGAGCACAACATCGGATGCGCCAATTTGCAGATCAACATCGCACGGATCGCAACTTTGATATCGGTGACTATGTGTATGTCAAGCTACAACCCTACCGACAACCACTCACAGACCGCCGAGTCAAAGGACAACCTTCCCAATCCGAATCACACCATCCATGTAACTACAAATCACAATCTGATTTCAGAAGAATACCTTGCCCAGGCGTCCCTCTCAAATACCTCACAACTCTCAACGCAGCATTCCAATGATCAGTGTGAGGAGTCTTCATAAACTGTGACAAGACATGAACCGGATATGTCAAGTCGGGTCTTGTTGCAGCAAGATATAACAGACGACCCACCAGACGTCTATATCTTTCCGGATCACCAAGCAACGGTCCTTCAGCCAAAGCCAGCTTCTGTTGCTGCTCCATCGGAAACGTAGCGGGTTTACTTCCCAACATACCAGCCTCCGTAATGATATCAAGTGTATATTTTCTCTAACAGAGAAATATACATTCCGGATTGCGAGCCACCTCTATCCCGAGAAAATATTTCAGCTTTCCCAGATCTTTCATGTGGAAGCATGTACTCAAGTACGCTTTGAACTCCACAATCTCAGCTGGATCATTCCCACCAATGATAAAATCGTCGACATACACCAGAACATACAGCTCCGACGAACCTCGTGTGCGAGAGAAAAGAGAATAGTCAGAATACGACTGAGCAAAACCAAATTTCTTAAGTGCATCTCTCAACTTCGCAAACCAGCATCTCGGCGCTTGCTTAAGTCCATAGAGGGACTTCCTGAGCCGACAAACCAAGGTTGGATCATTTGTTTTGAAACCAGGAGGAGGTTTCATGTAGACCTCTTCCTCCAAATCTCCATGGAGAAACGCGTTGTGGACATCCATCTGATGCAACTCCCACTTCTTTGCAGCAGCGACACCCAAGAAGATTATCACGGTTGTCATATTGATAACCATAGCAAATGTCTCCTTGAAATCCACTCCTTCCTCCTGTCTGTTCCCAAGCACGACCAGCCTTGCTTTATACCTCTTAATCGAGCCATATGCTCTGTATTTGATCTTATAGACCCACTTACATCCAATAGCTCGCTTACCAGCTGGTAATTTCACCAAATCCCACGTGTGATTCTCATCTAGGGCCTCAATCTCAACTTTCATTGCACCTCTCCACACTTCATAGACCACAACGTCACCAAACAGAGTTGGCTCTGCTCCTGCAGTGATTGCAGCAAGAAACGCCCTGTGACTTGGCGAGAACTTGCTGCTGTCGAGATAATGAGACAGTGGATATTCAACATCAACCTCATCTTCAAATGCCACTGTGACTTCGGTCGGATCATTCGGATCCACGACCGTGTTTAGAACAAAATCTTTCAATCTCGTGGAAACCTTCTTTTCTCGATAACCACGACCGAGTTCCTCGACAACATCAGCTTCGTTGTCAACTCCAACTCTCGCCACATCTCCGACGATATCACCAACAACATCAATTGTAACATGATCGCGGGATCAGGTCTTCCCTTTTCCTATCCCTGATTCTGCAAGTGCACAGGTCAGAAGTAGTAAACGGGTATCGAACACAAGGAGCAGATAAGTAGACTATGAGTATTGCAAGTCTAATGTAGCTAGAAAACAAATATGATTTGGGGTTTTTGATTGTGTAATAAAGGAAATCAAACAGCAAATAAAACGGTTTATGAAAATGAATAAAAAGAAACGCTAGGCAATGAGAAACTCGCAGAGATTCAAGGTCAACAAGATGATAAAGAGGTTCGCTAGAGTTTCGCGCGCAATCTAGAACTCAGTCACGAGGGTATGATATTTCCACTGTCGAGGCTCTGATGTACTTGCATTTTACATAGTTTTAGTACATCTTTTATGCATCTTTTGCATAGTTTTAGCATCCATTTGCATCATATCTTGTTCCTTTTCTCTTCTTATGCATTCATGTAGTTTTAGGTTGCATTTGCATACATATGCATGTTTGGTCCTTTGAAATAGGTCTTTTGGAGCATTCTGGAGCATATGGGACATGAGGAGCATGGAGGGACTTGGCACATGGACGCAGCTCAACTGGATACGCAAAGGAAGAAGGGAGAAGCCATCTTGAAGACCAGCTCGACCGTCTACTCGACCAACCGGTCGAGTTCCTCAACTCGACCGGCCAAGCTTCAACTCGATCGAGCTGAGAAGTCAACAGTCAAACCCGAAAAATGTTGCTTCCCCCTTGACTTTCCTTTGACCCTAAACCTAATCCTCTTTGTATTTAAAGGCTAAAAGCCACGAAAAAACCACCAAGCTTTAGATTATTTTTTTTTAGTTTCTTTTAATTTATTGTCTTTTACTTTTTAGAGCTCTAATCCCATCTTTGTGTTCTTGAAGCTCTTGCTTCTTGAATCCTAGATCCTGGATAATCTCTTTGTATTTGCACTTGCTTATTTCAATAAAAGTTGTTTATTTCATCTCCTCTTTCTTATGATGTCTCTTTTATTGCATTTGCTTGTGTTTACATTCATGTGTAGTGAGTAGTTACCCATTAGGGTTTGAGATGGGATAGATTAGAGGTTTCATATGCTTAATCCTTCTTGCTTATGGTCTTAATCTAGATTCTCTCTCTTTTGGATAGATCTTAAGGCTACATGACCACTACCCCTGGCTTGTAAGTCCTTAGGCGATTCTCCACACGGAAGTGATGGAAATCGCTGGAAAAGATCCACTAAGAGCTCCAATATCTCTTGCTCTAGAAATGAGGTCTAAGGGGTTGGATGGATTAGTTTGGGCAATGATCCTATGGCCTCCAAGGTTTGATTCTCACTGGCTAACCCCCTGTTTCTGAGATCATTCCTTGGTTGATAGCCTCACCTTGGGAAAGGGTTGGCTAGGCATTGAGAAGCCCAATATCAAGAGAAGCCTTGATACAAGGAGTTTTAAGAGCAGATTGATTAAGTGTAGATTCCTATTGCAAAACCCTGTCTTGAACCCTAATTCTCGCATTAGCTTGTTAAAGTCGCCCTTTAGCTTTTTTTCAACTCGACCCTAAACTCGATCGAGCTGGTACTCTGTTCCACTCGACTCGAGTCCTTGGTCGAGCTGTTGCTTACTGCTTTTTTACTTTTATGCATTGCATTTCATTTTTTAGGTTGTTAGTGTTACCATATCATTACTGCTTGCTTGACTTCCTTGTTTCATATTCTCATAGAGTGACAAGTTTCCCCATTTTGGATTGATAACCCTTTACTATAACAACTATCATGGTTAAAGGGAATTGTTGACTGTGTTTGTGTTTGCATCTTACCACCTCATCATATACCACTGTTGCATTCCACCACATCTCATTTCATATCTTTCACACCACACACAAATCCTATCATCAATTTGGCGCCGTTGCCGATTTGGGATTATTTTGTTGCATTTGAGTTTCAAATACACTTGGACGATCAAGCTATACCACCCCTGTTCTATTGTACTGCTGGGTTTTTGTCTCTTTTTGCAGGTGTATGCGAACTCGATCGAGTCGGTCTACAGAGACTTGGTCGAGCTAGACTTTACAACGGGTAGAAAGAGGGTTCAGAGGTCACAGAGGGTACAAGAGGAACCTGAGGTGCTTGTTGCTGATACAATGGATGTACCAGAGGGGAATGGAAACCCTTTGGGCAATGGACTCGGTCGAGCTAGGCAAACTCGACCGATTGGTCAAGGAGATGCTCCAAACCGCCACCAACAGAGACAAGGGATTGTTCCACCACCAGTGCAGAACCACAACTTTGAGATCAAGCTGGGAATGATCAACCTTGTTCAGAACAAGATGTTCCATGGATTGCCAAGTGAAGACCCCATTGACCACCTTGATGAGTTTGATAGGCTTTGTGATTTGACAAAGATCAATGGTGTCTCTGAAGATGCCATCAAGCTGAGACTCTTTCCTATGTCTCTAGCTGACAAAGCTCACCAATGGGAGAAGAGCTTGCCCCATGGCACAATCACCACTTGGGATGAATGCAAGAAGGCCTTTCTTGCTAAGTTTTTCTCCACCGGTCGCACAGCCAAGCTTAAGGAGTGAGATATCGAGCTTCATCAGGAACAATGAGACATTCGCAGAGCTTGGGAGAGGTTCAAAGGCTACACAAGTCAGTGCCCACACCATGGATTCAACAATGAATCATACTCTCCACTCTTTATAGAGGATGCTTGCAAGGTATAGGGAGATGTAGACACAGCTAGCAATGGGAACTTCCTCAATCAAGATGTGGATGATGGCTGGCAGCTTGTGGAGAACATCGCCCTCTCAACAGAAGATATGGAGACAATTATGATAGCACTGACTGGAGCTCGACCGCAACTCGATCGAGTCCGAGGCCCAGATGCGAAAAGACTTGCAGGCTCTCCATTCGAAGATTGACAAGCTGATTGTAGCTCAATTCCCTCCCAAACAAGTCAGCTCTATCTCTGATACAACACAGGCTATCAAACAGGAAGGGGAGGAGCAACAACATACAAGCACCCCTCCAACCACAAGGAAGACCATCTATGGTCACACATTTTACCAGGCACCTGTGGCTTACAGAATCACTCCACACAGATCCAACCAGCAAGGGCACCTTCCAAGTTTCCCACCAGGATTCCCACCAATGCCATACTCAATTACACAGAGCCAAGATTGGGATATGAAGGATATGCTCCAACAACTCCTTCAGGGCAAGCCAAAGGGTTCACTAGACATGAACCACAAGTTGCTAGACATAAACTCCAAACTGGAGTCATTGACTTCAAGAGTGCAAACCATTGAGTCTTCTAGTGCGTCATCCTCTTCATCTCAAGAGTATGCTCAAGCTATTACACTGAGAAGTGGGCGACAGTTTCCAAGCAGGGGTAGCCCACCCTAAATCGCTGTGGACATCGATGACGAGGAAGGGGAGGATTTGGTCGAGTATGACGATATTCCGGCACCGAACTCGATCGAGCTGGAACAAAACCCTGAACCAGAACTCGGTCGAGCTGAAGAAACCGAGACTCAGAAAGACAAACCAGAGCTCGATCGAGCCGAGAAGAGAACAGACAAAGCAAACTCCAGCCAACCAACTAAACCTGTTGCAAGGAAGAAAGACACTCCACCAGGACCACCACCATACAAACCCCCTCTACCCTTTCCAGGAAGATTCAAGAAACAACTGTTGGAAGCACACAAGGCCAAGTTTGATGAACTAATGAGACAACTTGAGCTGAAATTGCCTTTCATCGACGCCTTGATGCTCATTCCACCTTATCAGAAATTCCTGAAGGATGATGTTCAGCAAAGAACCAGGGAAGCGCAAGGAATGGTGGTGTTAACTCGTGAGTGTAGTGCAATCATTCAGCGGATGGACATCTCCGACAAAAAGGAAGATCCGGGAAGTTTCACTTTGCCATGCATGTTGGGATCTCTATCTTTCAAAAACAGCCTCTTCGTTAGAGAGATACAAAAGATTCCTACTTCTTATTTTGTTCTCTTTTATTCTTCTCCAATTATCTCACCTTCTTAATTTTCTTTCAATTCTTTATTCGTTCTCATCACCTTTTTATTTTTCTTCTTCCAATTTTTGTTCTTCAATCTTTTCTTATATCTTCATATCTTCCACCTCACTACTCTTTTTTTTCTTTCTAATTTTCTTTACATTCTTTTTTCGATTTTTCTTCTTCCTCATTCCCCCTCTCTCTATCTTTATCATCTTCGTCTTCTCTAACATTACATTATTCTAGTTTTTAGATATCTATTTCTTGTCTTTTTTTCTTCTTCACGTTTCATTTTTTCTTCTTTGATTTATTTTTCTCATATTCGAGTTTTCTTCTTCTTCTCCATTCGTTTAGAGAGATACAAAATATTTCCCACTTCTTTTTTTGTACTCTTTTATTCTTCTCCAATGATCTCACCTTCTTCTTTTTCTTTCAGTTTTATATTCATTCTTATCATCTTCTTCTTTTTCTTCTTCCAAGTTTTGTTATTCAATCTTTTCTTATCTTCATATCTTCCAGCTCACTATTTTTTTTTTTCTTTACATTCTTTTTTTTCCGGTTATTCTTCTTCCTCATTCTTCCTCTCTCTATCTTTATCATCTTCATCTTCTCTAACATCCAGTTTTTATTTATCTCTTCTTTGTCTTTTTTTTTTCTACTTTGATTTCTTTTTCCTCATTTTCGAGTTTTTTTCTTCTTCTCCAAATTTTTCATTTTTTTTTATTGTCTTCTTTTCTTTTACTTATGTTTTTATTCGTTCTTGTCTACATCTTATATTTCACTTATTACTTCATTCGATAGTTTATATTTTCAATAATTTGTAAAATAGTTTTATAAAGTCGTGATCTTTAAAAAATCTATTGGTTTCCCTAAACCCTAAACCCTAAACCCTAAACCCCACATTATAACCCCCCCCCAAAACCGCACACCTGGACCCCACATTTTACAAATTGGTTCAAGATTTGTTTTTATTTTTATTTTTATCTTTTTTCTTAAAAGTTTTTTTTGTTTTTGTTTTTAATCGGTAATGTATTGTATTCAAAAAATTTAAAGTGCATCAACAACTAAACCTTACGCCAATCAATATAAACCGTACATCATAAACTCCAACCCCATATTATCTTCTTCTTTTACTTCTTTCATTATTTTTCCCTTCATTTTTTACCATTTTTTCTTTTATTCTTATCAAACTTTCTATTCTCTTTTTATTTTCTTCTCTCTTCATCGTCATCTTTTTATTTCCTGGTTTTTTTTTTCGTTTTCTTCCTTTTATTTACAATTTGTTTTTCATTTGGATTTATGTTCTTGTTCTTTTTTTTATCTATTGATTTTTCCAACTTCTTTGTTGTTCACATATTCTTCATTTCGTTTCTTCTTTTGTTTTTTCGTCTTCGTCTTCCAACTTTCGTCGTTTCCTTATTATTGTTGAGGTTTTTCTTCTTATTTCATATTGCATTCTTCGTAATTTTGTATTAACAATCTTTTTCTTTTTCAACATCTTATTTATTAGTTTCGTCTTCCTCTTTCTTTTATTTTATTTATATTTTCTCATCTTCTTATATTTCATATTTTTAATTTATTGGTTTTTCTCAGCATTTTATCTTTTTCTTTCTCATATTTTATTTAATCGTATGCTCATGTCTCTTCCTCTCTCCCCCTCCCCTCCTTCTTAACAACCTTCGTCTTCTCCTTCTATTTATTCAAGTTTATTTTCTTCTTTTTATAGCTTCTTCTTTTTTAGACTTTTGTAACATCTTATTTACCAATTTTTTCTTCTTCTTTATCTTTTCATTTTTTTTCTAGGAATATAAACTATTGTTAGGCAAATAAATATTTAAAAAGATAAAAAAAAAAAGAAAAAAATTCGTATTAATATGATTATACATGACTATAGTAACCCAAAAAAGAGAAGAGCAAATATATGATGCATCAGATTTTGAATGTAAGAGCTCAAAACATATGCGTGATATTAGTATTTTTTTTCATGTGCGTGATAACATGAATTGGTTTAAACGCTTTATTCTTAAGCTTGAGGAAATCTAGGCAAACATTAGTAATTCAAAAAGTTATATGCCATATTATGAGTTTCCAATACTGATCATGTATTAATGTTTATTCAGATTTCAGAGATGTCTCTTTCCTTTTGTCACTGTTAGAATCTTTAACTCTGAAATGATACAGCAAAAGATAATAAAGAAACGAAAATGAAAACCGAATGTCAATTTGTAGAATAGTGATATAAGTTTATCACTATTTAGTAATGCTATTTTTTTTCTATAACTTGACTCTAAAACATACTAGGGCTAAGCCCGCGCGATGCGCGGGTTATGACTATTACAAAGTTTTATTACTTTTATTTTATTGTCATTTGAATTTTGTAAATATTTTATTATTATTTTTTTTTTCAGATATATTAACGCTGGTTAAAAGATAAATATAAATTGCTTCTTATTTCCCCTAAAATCATTTTTTTTGTTAAAATATTAACGGTAACCCTAAGACTTTTAACCTATACCCGAAAACCCAAATCATACCGATCCAAAATACCCGAAACCGATTGATTTTAGATATAAGCAAATCACCCATTAGATAAATCTTTAATACTCGTGAGTATTGAATAACACCCGAACCAAACTGAGATCCGAGAGGGTACCCAATTTACCAATTATGGATATTGTGGATTATTTTTGATATTATAAATATAAATATATTTTTTTTAATGTTTTTCGACTTTTTCGGATTTTCAGATATAGTTTTAGTATTTTAATTTTTTTTTTGAAAATAATGGATTTATATATTTGTTTTTGGATTTATGGATATATTTTTGGATTTTCAAGTGATAAATAAACCAAATACTCGAACCGGAACTGTACCGAAATATTTCGGGTATTCTAAAGCTATACCCACCCTACAACCAGAACCCGCCGCCGTCTCCGTACACATTTGATCTAGTGAACCGACCATCTCTCTCCCGCATTCTCTGCCTCAACCAGAGAACACTTCCGCTACCATCTCCACCGACAGAAGCTTCTTCAGTTGCAGATTAAACCACTGCCAACCGGGTAACCGCCGTCACGATTCGCATATGTGTTAAGCGAATCCACCTTTCACGGGAGACGAGAAACTACATCCACCGTTGTCTCTCTCTCTCTTGTCCTAATGGACCTCCGACTGTAAGCATACTTTTACATGAACCCTAAGACCTTCAAACATTCAGAGTAATCACATAATAGAATCATAAGAGTTTATAGATGACTTACCTCCAGCCATTGTAGAGAAGAGATGGAGGTATTGAATCTGAGATAGGTTATTAGGTTTCTCTCCCCTTGCCTATGAACTTTATGTGTCTTGACTTTAGGATGCCTTTACAATGGACTAAAGGCATATATTTATAGGTGGAGAGAGGACCTAATTCCTCTTTAGGGTTTCCTTAAAGTTAATCTCAACCGTCCATCAAAGTAGAGATAAAAAGGAAATACTCCATTATATTTAAGTTAATTAAATACCAAATATGTTATGGAATAGCAATAGCCCAATAGGAAAACGGATTAATATAAGACCATATAATAGGAAGATAAACTTATCTTACAGTCTCCCACTTGGTCGTTATAAAGATCCATTTATGTTTTCTTATTGGAATCATAAGGCCGGCATAATATGCTAAACCCTTTCTTTGGTCATCATAAGTGTCTTGACTAATCTAGTAATCAATGGGAGTCATGGCGGTCGCATATCATTCTGCAACATGATCCCTTCCATGTACTACTACATTGACTACCTTCATAGCTAGACCATAAGTAGGAGTTATCATAATGGTCCCTTTATGTCTTAATGAAAGACGAATTCTATTGTCATAAATCCAAAACAATAATGTGTGCACAATGGAAACAGAATAAATAAAGATGTAAAAGTCATAAAAAGATCTCAAACAAATGTCAAATATAGGCTAAACATAAAAGCAGACAACATAATTAAGAGCTGTCTTCAAGACCCATACTTTCAGCATGCTTTATAAAGGTCTTTGGAGGCAAAGCTTTCGTAAATATGTCTGCAACCATAAGATCAGTGCCTATGTGTTCAATGACAAACTTTTCTCTTTTGACATCTTGCTTCAATGATAGATATTTAAGGTCCATGTGTTTGGCACCTTTAGATATCCTATCATGCTTGGAAAAGAAGATGGCAGCTTGATTGTCACAATAAAGAGTTAAAGGCTTTGTCAACAAAACTCCCCTAAACTCAGACACGAAATTCTTCAACCAAGTCCTTGAATAGAAGCCTCATAACATGCTACATACTCAGCTTCCATAGTGGATGTGTAAATCAACTGCGACTTCTGGCTTTTCCATGAGATGGCACCTCCGCCAAGGAGATACACATAGCCAAGAGTGCAGTGCCTATGTCATGGCATCCACCAAAATCTGAGTCTGAAAAACCAACCATCTGTGGATGTGTTGATCTCCTATATGTCAGCATGTGATTTCTTGTTCCTTTTAAGTATCTCAAAACTTTCTTTGCAGCTTGCCAATGAGCAACTCCTGGGTTACTTTGAAATCTACCCAGCATACCAACTGCATGGTTGATGTCAGGTCTTGTACAAACCTGAGCATACATTAAGCTTCCCACAAGTGATGCATAAGGATACTTGTGCATCTCATTTCGTTCCATTTCATTCTGCGGACATTGCTTAAGGTCAAGCTTGTCACCTTTCTGCATAGGAACAACACTAGAAGAACAGCTTAGCATGGAAAATTTCTCAAGGACTTTGTCAATATATGCTTTCTGAGACAACCCTAAAATTCCAAGTGATCTATCACGGAATATTTCAATTCCTATCACATAGGATGCCTCACCCATATCTTTCATCTCAAAGTTCTTGGAGAGATAATTCTTACTGGTGTAATAGACCAAGATCACTGCTAGCCAATAAGATATCATCAACATACAGCACCAAAAATATGAACTTACTCCCACTGAACTTGAGGTAAATACATGGATCCACAATGTTTTCTTTGAAACCGAATTTCGTAATGATTTCATCAAACTTAAGATACCATTGCCTCGAAGCTTGTTTCAGTCCATAAATTGATTTCTTAAGTTTGCAGACCATGTCTTCCTGACCTTCTTTTATGAAGCCTTCAGGTTGACGCATATAGACTTCTTCTTCTAAGTCTCCATTAAGAAAGGCGGTTTTCACATCCATTTGATGTAACTCAAGATCATACTGAGCTACTAATGCCAAGATAATTCTGAGAGAGTCTTTTCTAGACACAGGTGAAAAGGTCTCACAATAATCAATGCCTTCTTTCTGATTAAACCCTTTGGCTACAAGTCTAGCTTTATATCGTTCAACATCACCGTTACAGTCAAGTTTGGTCTTAAAGATCCACTTACACCCAACTGCTTTGTGTCCTTCAGGCAATGGAACAATGTCCCAAACTCATTCTTAACCATTGAGTCTATTTCTTCTTTACTGGCATCAATCCATTTATCAGAATTAACATCTGTCATGGCTTGTGAATAAGAAACCGGGTCTTTAATGCTCCCTCCAGATTCTACTTGATAAAGCATAGTCATCAGAAATAGCAGATCTTCTCTCACGAGTTGATCTTCTTAATGCTAATTCTTGTTGTGCTTACAAGTTCATTATTGGTAATGTTTTCATCATGGAGTGGTTGATCATTCACTGGGTTCTCCTCGTTGTTTAACGGTTCAACAACAGAGGATTCCCATCTTTATGAACTAAGGGTAAAGGGATATTTACCCTAATTTCCTGAATGATCACATCTTTAACTTTATCACTCCCACTAATATCGCCATCTCATAGAATCTGGCATTTGGTTTCACAATTCTTGTACTATGGTTTGGACAGTAAATCCTAAATCCTTTAGATTTCTCAGGGTAACCAATAAAGAAACCACTGATTGTTCTGAAATCTAATTTCTTTTCATGTGGATTGTATATTCTTGCTTCAGCTGGACATCCCCAAACTGGAGGTGACAGACTAGGTTTCCAGCCTTTCCACAGTTCAAAGGTGTCTTTGGAACTGATTTGCTTGGAACCCTATTCAAGATATAGACTGCAGTACGTAATGCATCCATCCACAAGGATTTAGGTAAGTTAGTCCGACTCATCATGGATCTAACCATTTCCATATATGTACGATTCCGCCTTTCAGCTACACCATTCTGCCATGGAGAACCAGGCGTTGTGTATGTGCAACAATTCCTAATTTTTGGAGAAGTTTGGCAAAAGGTCCAGGATGTTGTCCTGTTTCATCATATTTGCCATAAAATTCACCACCTCTATCTGACCTTATGATTTTCACTTTTCTATCTAATTGCCTCTCAACTTCAGTAATGAATGCTTGTACAGCATCCACAGATTGAGACTTTTCATGCAAAGATAGAGATAACAATAACCGTGAATAATCATCAATAAAGGTAATGAAATACTTTTCTCCTCCAAAAGTTGGAACATCAAAAGGTCCACAAATGTCTGTATGTATGATCTCAAGAAGCTGTGTACTTCTTGTGGCTTCTCTTTTAGTGTGTTTAGTTTGCTTACCCTTAATGCAATCTACACAAGCAGTATATTGGTAAAATCAAGATTGGAATGATCCATCTTTTACCAATCTTTTAATTCTTTCACTGGAAATGTGTCCCAATCTTTTATGCCACAAGAAATATGAATCAATGTACATGTTTTACGTTTAAACCATGATTATCTTGCAGGGTGAGATGTGTTTCAAATTGTTGATCAGCCAACTTTAATTGATAAAGACCATCAACTAATATTCCTGAACCAATACGATTAGAGTTAAAAATAATTGAAACAACCATCTCCTTGAGTTGATTTAAAACCAGCCATATCAAGTTTGCTTAATGAAACTAATTACGGGAAATAGATGGTACATACAAAGTTTGAAATAAATCCAAACAAAATCCACTCTCTAAAATGAGACGATAAGTGCCAATAGCTTCAACTGGCGCTTTGTCTCGGTTTCCCATCATTAAGTAGTTTTCACTTGCGTTTATGGTCTGGATCGTAATGAATCCCTGCAAGGAATTGGTTACATGTACATTAGCACCGCTATCAATCCACCAAGTTTTAGAAGAAACATTAATAAGATTAGATTCGAAAAAGCTTACTGGAACCCATAGGGTTACCTTTCTTTTCGAACCATTCTCTTCTTTTAGTGCAATCTTCTGAAAGTGACCAACCTTTTTGCAAAAGCCGCATATCATCTTTCTTTGCCTTTTTCTTCTCATTAGCTTGATCAGAATCATTCATTCTGGGTGGTGCTCTTTTATGGCCCACTTGATGCCTATTCCCAGCTTTAAAACCAGCTCCTTGGACATGATGGCAACCCTAATGCCTTCACGGCCAAGCCTAGACTCCTCTTGAACCAACTTACTAGTCAATTCATTAGACGTCCATTTTTCATCAATGGCGTTGTAATTGATCTGGAATGGTCCATACTGAGGAGGCAAAGAATTCAGGATAAACTGGACAAGAAAAGAATCATCCACACTAGTCCCAAATTCTTCAGCTTAGCCGCAAGGTTAATCATTTCAATGCAATGTTCATGCATAGACCTTGTGCCATCATGCTTCATGGTTGTAAGATCTGCCATAAGTTTCCCAGCAAGGGATTTGTCTGCAGTCTTAAACCGTTCTTCTATGGCTGCAAGATAAGCCTTAGCTTTATCTGCAGTCGGAAGGGAAGACTTAATGTTACTAGCAATTGTCATCCTTAAGAACATTATGCTCAGCCTGTTCGCTCTCTCCCATGCTTTATGGAGTTGATATTCTTCCTCAGTACTTTCATCAGTCACTGGATCTGGCTCATCTTGACGAAGTGCCAAATCCAGATCAAGTACTCCTAATGTGAACTCAACTTTCTCTTTCCATTCTGAGAAGTTGGTCCCTATGAGGATTGGAACTGCAGAGACCATGGATGACAAATGAGCAGGAAAAGCAGATGCTGCAATTAGAGATACAACAAGTAATGTAATTAGGCTTCAAAATATAATCAGACACATGATAAATTAAAAACATATGACAAAAATATGGAGTTTATGTGGGCAATCACCATAACTACATTAAGGTCACATGTTCATGAATCATAAGCAAGTGATGCAGTGAATTATTTAGACTAAGTTATCTGTGGATATCTTTAATCTATACACATACAAACACTTCATTCAAACAATGGTATTCAATTGCAATTCATTATAGGATATAGTCACTGTGGTGATATCTAAACCCAATTTATGCACATTATATGAAACCAATATTCAGTACAGAATGCATAATTCAAACTATCAAATTCGAAATTAGCACAAGTTATGCACGGAATAATTTTCAGAATGATAATGCACATAACGATTTTAATAGTATATGCATGAAACGTTTTCAGGTTCAATGAATCAAACGATTATGCACATATTATAAACAGAACGAATTCACACAATTTATGCACATAATCAATAAGCATCATTAATTTCGCACGTATTATGCACGATTCAGTGATTGCGGAAATAATCTATCAAAACCCTAAAAACACAGAGACATAAAATATCACTGAAGGATTTCGAAAAAAACCCTAATTCGCATAAACCCGATAGCCATTTCTGCTGCATATCTCACCGGCGAAAGTGACTGATGTGGCTGATTTCACCATCACCAAACCAGTTCTTCAGTTTAGCTCCCTCTCCGTCAATCGATTAGGGAAAAAAGAGAATCGTCGACTATTCTCAAATTCTCCATCTCCGATAATAATTCCGGTGCTCCGTCTTCCACCGTCGGTCATTTATGTTACCGTCGCCATCACCGGCGACTCTTCTCTCTGCAAACACAAGTAAGTTTGAAACTCCAAACACCTCTGGACCGCGATGTTTGGGGTTTAACCGAGTTTTAGTGGAATGAATCTAGATACTGTGTGATCTGCAGCTCAATATTGAGTTTCGGTGTTTGAATTGGTATGCACTTTAGGGATTTTATTTGGGAATGTAATCACTCAATATCATGCTGGTTGATGTTTCTGTGATCTGGTCATAGTGGAAGGAGCAAATTTGTTCTCTTTCTTTTCCCCTTGTTGAAGTTAAGTTTTTGGAGATGCAGATTTAGTTGTGGCGAGTACCGGAGAAGATAAGAAGATATCCCTGTGGAGGAACAATAGGCAGGGTTTAGGAACAGTTCCAGTTACTGGCAAGGACGGTGGTGATAGTGGCGAGGTTAATTCCTTTCTCGATTAGCTTTTCTCTCCACTGATTCTGATTTCAGTGTCTTGCTCCTGCATCTCTTATTCATCAGTTCTCGATCACTCTCTGTTGATCATCTTTCCGAATTTTGGCTAGAATTACTGGCAAACTCATTGTGAATGATATTGTTTTGCTTGTGTCATAATGAAATCAGGAATGTTTATCGGCTATCAGCTTCAGCAGAAAAGGGTCCAGGTACATATGTTCTGGAGGAACCGGCCAAATTGTAAAGATATGGGATATGCAAAGAAAGCTTTGTATCAAGAAGTTGAGGGTCATACAAGTACAATAACGGGTGTGATGTACAATTGCAAAGATAAGCATGTGGCTTCTGTCATTGTTGGTGGGGATCTGATAGTCCACAACGAATAGGTAACTGAATCCTTATTAATGAGTCAGATGAAAGTTTGAAAATTCATAACAGATTTTCACCATATCTATCTCCACCGATGACTACTATCCACCCGATGCCTTCTCTTCCAATCACCTTCACCGATGATACTCACAAAATCCGGGTAATTTTGAAACCCAAACTCTCTAGATCGTAATGATAAATTCTAGTTTCTGAATTTTTCTGCAATTTTCAATTGATTTCCAAAAAACCTTTTCTTCTCTGTTAGCTTGTACTGTCATCTTCACCAACGACAGTGTAGCATCTTCACCATCAAATCTCCTCACCGTAATGTCAATTTCAGTTCCTAATTCTTTGACTGGGAATCAAGTAATTCGAAACTTGAACCTTTCTTTACGGAGACATCAATTTTAGTATATGATTATCTGTAATTGCAATTGATTTCCTGAAACAGAAACGGGAAGATGAAGCGTGAAGAGGCATTAAGCATTAGGCATTAAGGGTGAACAAATTGTTTTTTTTTTTAATAAGGAAATGCCACGTGGCATTTCCAGAATGAAGTTACAATGCTGAGGTGTCACTCAACTGGAGAGTGATATCCTCTCATTATATATAAGATATAGGTACTTAGCAAATCAAACTCGTATTATATCTTAGATTCCATAAGAAATAAAATATCATATGGTCAAGTGTTATTTTTACCTCGAACTCTTACCAGTTTTGAACTCCATCGAAAGAAAAATGTGTCTTTAAATTATGAGCAATCATCAACACTGAGAAATCAACCAACTTTCGTATAGTCTGATACAACCTTCTTATATTCTCCAACTTCTTTGATCACCTCGGCTGATCCAGCTTGATGGCCAGCTTTATCCATAAGAATCACAACCCAACCCTAGATAACCACTTTATTGCATCATCATACTTATCAAAGCCCTTACGCTTAGCTGATGTAACTGTGGAGTTGGTTGCCACCCATCTCGCCACCCGACGCAGCCCCACTGTCAAAACTTTCAAATCATTCTGCAGTGTAGCGGATGCAGCTGTGGTACTGGAAGCAAAGAACATCGATAATGGATCATCGTTTACACGTTAGGGTTTGATTTTTTTTTTTCACCTACAACAACTGAAACTACTTCAGAAACATAATGATATTGGGACCTAAAGGCTAAAGGCATCCAAGTTGTTCCAACAAAATCACTTCTCCTTCCAAAAAAAAAGAACTAAACCCTACAATAATCAAATATGATTAGGAGATTAGAAAATAGGGAATCAACCTCTTTTGTCTTAATTCTAACCAATTTAGGAATAATTCTGCCGATAGATCATGAGGCCGTGAACGAACGTGATCCCACCCTGGTTTCCTAGATCTGCCATGGATTTGTGACAATATATTGAAAACAAACTACAAAACCTAAAGTATATTATCTAATACCCTCTTCATCTCGAATATCTAAATCAAAATCGAGTTCAAGTTCTCTTTCTATTTGAGGTGGATGAGAAAGTTTTTTCTTTCTGAAAAATAGTTTCCAGTAAAATTATAGGTGGAATATCACGGAAAGTTAAACCAACCAATTAAGATAAATTGTGGCAAACCTGTTGAATAAATATTGTACTTCTCTTTGTCATCTTCTTCATCTTCAGTTTCATTGTAATTTGGCCACATGTTAGCATCAAGAAATATCTTCTCACTGAATCATTACCTCTTCATAGTGTTTCTCTTTTCTAAAAGGAAGAAGAATTCAGAATTAGACTCTCTCTCCTTTATTTATAAAATACTATAACTTGAGGTTTAGTAGACTAAACAGGAACTCAAGAATCGTATTGTCTTACTAAAGAAAGCTTACTGCGCAAGTAAGAAAAAACAAACAAAAGGTTACATCATATGTTACAGAGATTGATGAAGGATTTTTGATGATTTTTAGAATGCTAACCGATCAGCTATCGATGATTTGTTTCTTTAGGATCATTCTCTCTAGAACAACATAAGGATCTGCAAAGACAATGAACTCAAAGCCACATGCACATCATGTGGTACGGCCTCTCATGATCTCAAGATTCAACCAAATCTTTGTACCTGCTAATATGCTCCCGAAATCATTCTTCTGTTTGAGGCTCCGCCAATTCCGTTTCCTCCAGCTTCATTGAAGAAACTAAAATTTAAAATCCCTACAGCGTCTGTTTTGTTACCTATTTATATATTAGATTGGGGTTAAGAAATTTAGGGTTTATATAGTTAGGGTTTTGTTCTTTTAATATTATAATGAATAAATAAATTTATAAATTTGAATAGGATAAATTTTATAATTTTTGGGCGTTGATAAACAAACCGAATAATTATAAAATAGGAAATTTTAAAGATTTTATCAAAATTTTCATTAAGGGTATTTCTGTAATTCTGTGGCTGAGAGTTAACGTGGTGGCTCTATTCGAAATTCTGATTTCGCAAATACTAGAATGATTAAAACAAAGTTTGAAATTTGAAAATCAGATCCTTGAACTTCAAGGCCACGAATTTGACCCTTCTCCTTGATAGGCCTTGGGTCTTCAATCATCAAATGGATTATTTGAAAGCAAAACATAAGCCTCATTAAAAACCTTCCTTTGGAAAACCCAGTGGGACAAAACCAAAATCAGGGAAAAAGAGCACTCATGAATCACTTGTCCATTTGATGAGATCCTTGAGCTTGGATCAAAACCAGGGAGGTTTGGACTTGGCTCAAGTCATTTGGTCGGTCCCAAATGCGGTTAAGTATTCCCCCAGTTGCTTGGTTGAACAACTTAACTCTAGAACGAGTAATTGGGCCATCTGGTGCAGTCAATGCTTATTCAGCTACAAGCTCCTGCTCAAGCTCTGGTTCATGCTCCTCCTCAGCTACAAGCTCTGGTTCAAGCTCAGGTTCATGCTCCTCATCCTTAGTGCTATCCAGGATCATATCATCCCCTCCCTCTTGAAAAGTATTTGACCTCAAATCCAAGTCATCTGCAAAATGAGGCACAAGGTCAGAAACATTAAAACTGAGACTCACATTATACTTACCTTGCAAGTCAGGTAGGCATTGTCACTAATCCTCTTGGTTATCTTGAATGGACCATCGATTCTGGGCATAAGCTTGGATTTTATTTCAGTTGGGAACCTCTCCTTTCTCAAGTGAACCCAGACTTGATCTCCAATGTTAAAAACCACCTGACGTCTCCCTTTGTTAGCTTGCTTAGCATAGAGCTTTGTTTTCTCCTCTATGTTCCTCGTGGCATTCTCATGGATCTGCTGAACAAGCTCTGCCTTCTTTTTCCCATCAATACTAACCCTTTCACTCACAGGTAAACGCATTAGATCCAAAGGAGACAGGGGATTGAACCCATAAACAATTTGAAATGGAGAATACTTAGAAGCAGAATGCACAGCATGATTGTATGCAAATTCAATATGAGGCAGACATTCTTCCCAAGTTCTCAGATTCTTTTTGATTAATGCACGCAAGAGAGTACCTAGGGTTCTATTAACCACATCAGTTTGACCATCAGTTTGCGGATGACATGTAGTAGAGAATAAAAGCTTAGTTCCCAGCTTGGACCAAAGAGTCTTCCAGAAATATCTAAGGAACTTAGTGTCTCTATCCGAAACTATAGACCTAGGCATTCCATGCAAGCGAACTATCTCTTTAAAGAACAAATTAGCTACATGTGATGCATCATCAGTTTTGTGAAATGCAATGAAATGAGCCATTTTCGAAAACCTATCAACCACAACAAAGATAGAATCCCTTCCAGTCCTAGTCCTAGGCAATCCCATCACAAAATCCATAGAAATATCAATCCAGGGGTGAGTAGGAATAGGCAAAGGAATATACAAACCGTTGGGCTGAACCTTAGATTTGGCTTGCTTACAAGTAGTACACCTACCACAGATCCTCTCAACACCACGTCTCATGTGTGGCCAGTGAAAGTGATCTCTCATGATCTCCATCGTCTTAGCAATGCCAAAGTGTCCCATCAATTCTCCTCAATGAGCTTCTCTAACAAACAAATCTCGCAGAGAACAGTTAGGAACACACAAACGGTTCTCATAAAAGAGAAACCCGTCTTGTCTATAATAATGCCCAGAGGCAAACTTCTCACAAGCTTTGTAAATCTCTTGAAAATGAAGGTCAGTTGCATAAAGTTCTTTAATCTGCTCAAATCCCAGAAGCTTAGCATCAAGAGTAGAGAGAAGAGTGTACCTTCGGGATAATGCATCAGCAACAACATTATCCTTACCTTTCTTGTACTTGATGACATAAGGAAAGGTTTCAATGAATTCAACCCATCTGGCGTGCCTCTTGTTGAGCTTCTGTTGGCCTTTCAAGTGTTTGAGTGATTCATGATCTGTATGAATGACGAACTCCTTAGGCCAGAGGTAGTGTTGCCATGTTTGGAAAGCTCGGACCAAGGCATACAGCTCCTTGTCATATGTAGGATAGTTAAGAGTAGCTCCTCCAAGTTTCTCACTGAAAAAGGCAATAGGCTTCTTGTCTTGCATCAGAACAGCTCCAATTCCCATACCTGAGGCATCACACTCAATCTCAAATGTTATAAGAAAGTCAGGTAATATCAAAACAGGGGCATTAGTGAGTTTCTCCTTAAGAGACTTAAAAGCATCTTCTTGTATCTTCTCCCACTTGAAACCCACGTCCTTCTTGATAACCTCAGTGAGTGGTGCAGCAATGGTACTGAAATCCTTCACAAATCTTCTATAAACCCAACAAGACCATGAAAGCTTCTCACTTCTCCAACTATCTTAGGACTTGGCCAGTCTCTGATGGCCTTAACCTTCTCCTCATCAACCTTAACTCCATCTGCACTCACAACAAAGTCTAGAAACACAAGGTTATCTGTGCAAAAGGTGCATTTCGTAAGGTTGGCATAGAGCTTTTCCTGTCTAAGAACATTCAAAATGGAATCTAGATGCTCTACATGTTCAAATAAGCTTTTGCTGTAAACCAGAATGACATCAAAGTAAACCACAACAAAAACTCCAATGAAAGCTCTAAGAACATGATTCATCAATCTCATGAATGTACTAGGTGCATTAGTCAATCCAAATGGCATAACTAACCGTTCATATAAACCATGTTTAGTCTTAAGATCAATCTTAGAAAATATGCTAGAACCATGTAATTCATCAAGGATATCATCTAATCTAGGGATAGGATGTCGATACTTTACAGTGATGTTGTTGATAGCTCTGCAATCAACGCACATGCGCCAACTGCCATCCTTCTTAGGCACAAGCAAGACTGGAACAGCACAGGGACTCATGCTTTCTCTGATGTGTCCTTTCTCCATAAGCTCATCCACTTGTCTTTGCAATGGCTGACAGTGCGTGAGTTGAAATGGCTGCAATGTATACTCGAGGATCTTGGCATTCCTCATGACACTCCGATGGATTTGTCGTGTGACAATCAAGCGGCTCTGTACATCGCAGCCAATCCAGTGTTTCATGAATGAACCAAACACATTGAGCGAGAGTGTCATAGTGTGCATGATGCGATCGAGGAAAAGCTCATTGTTACGAACAAGGTGAAGACGACGGAGCAATTGGCTGACATTTTTACGAAGGCTCTTGGTCGTCGCGAGTTTGAGAACATTCTGTCCAAGTTAGGAACATGTAACTTACATGCTCCAACTTGAGGGGGGTTTTGAAGTGAGTGTGGCGGGAAGATCTTAAGGTGGTTGCTTAGCTGGCAAGGATCTTGTTCTAGGAGGAAATGTATATTCTTGTAAATCTTTGGGGATAAGGTTAATATAGATCTAAGTATAGCTAAAGAGGATATTCCTCTATTACGATCCTCTCTTGAGGTAGTATATATTGTAATCGTTGTTTATGAATCAATTATCACAAAATTCACCAAACTTGTTGTGCTAGTTTTATAGAAGGCAGGCTTTATATTGCTTACTTACATGAAGTATGTATTTTGACATCCTAACCAATTTCAAATACAATGGTTGAACACAAACACAAAAGCCAGAGATTACAGAATTGATGCTAATGAAAAGGACAACCATTGTATTCGAAATGTGCTTTTCATATTATTAACATAGAGCATAAGCAAATAAGAACACTGGTTCTTGTCTCGTTTGGATCCTCCTTACAGCTGTCTTGATCTCTACATTGCAGGACATCCCCAATTTCTTCTTTGGGCTTAGATGAAGGTGTTGCAAAAGTGACCGGATTTTTGCTGGCTATTAGCAAGTGTAACAGGTACCTACAAAATCAAATTTACTCTCAACATATCATCTTATCATATCATATTAACTATTTTCCTCAAATTTAAAATATTCCATTTTAGTTACCTTGTCAAGAGAAATAACTGATGATGATAGGTCTACTGGATCATCTGATTCACCATTTGAGTTGATGCTTAACAAACAGACCAAATTCACATTTCCTGAGCAGGCCTTACAAACAACAAATTGTTTTATCATGACAGCAGAAACACACATCATGTCTCCGTTATTTGCCAATCTCCTGCATAATTAACTAAGACATCAAAGGTACGTTTGTGTAATCTTGTAAGTTAGTGAATATTAGGTTTGAAGCCCCGCACAAGTGCGGGTTGTTTGCGATAATTTTTCTGTTTAATTATATTTATATTCGTTGATTTGAATTATGGTAGTTTGTGTTAACTTTCAATTTTTGTTATGTTTTAAATTAACCCAACCACTAACACTAAAAAATATGAACAATTTGATTTTTGTTTTATTTTATTAGGATGCTAACACCCCACTTTATCTCGAGTTTTCTATTTCTATAATTTTAGCATGATAGAAATATTATGTTTGTTTACTTCTATTAGACTATTAACATGCACTATATCTTGACCCGTGCTTGAGAAGCATGGGATGTTATAAGTTTTGATGATTTTAGTTTTTTGAGTTACACAGTTATTCAATGTTATTTTAATTTGTGGTTAAATAAATTATTGAATCAATAATAAGACGAAAAGTGATAATTAAGTGGTAAATATTTGGTTGTAATAATTCTTCTCGAGTATGACCCTAAACCTGATAAGTCATTTTGCATGTTTCTATCCATCAAATTAACATCAGCATTTGTGGCATCCAGACCGTTTGTTTAACATCTTGCGCAAAACGAAAAGTCGCACAACTTGGGGGAATGGGAGAATCGAATCCCAATTTGATTTGATATCTAGTTTTTGATATGAAATTAATTTGGCGAATCCGTCGGATCTGCTGTTTCATTAATAAACAATATTTTTTCATCAATAATTTAATATGTAGTTCTGTACAATTAAAATGAAAAAAAACTTGTAATAAGTCTAGTAAGTCTCCTTGAACACTTAAAATAATATATTCTCAATTTGATATCATATAAAAAAAATTCTGTAAATCCAATATTTTATTGTTCTCTTCATTTATAAATTTGTCTATGAGACATATTAAAGTCAAGATTACAAATTTTTACCTTTATCAGTCCTGTTCTTTCTTTATGTTTTTCCGAAAAGACCCAGATCTAAAAGAATGTTGCACTGACCTGTGATGTTGCTAACCTTTGAGTTAGTTAAATTTGTGAATATTAGATTTCTAAGATTGTATATTGTTTTGACATTTTTTATTAAGAGAACTAAACCGTCTCCATCGGCATTGTTTTTTTTTGTTAGTGTAAAGCTCATTTTTAAAAGAAAAATTGGCAATTTAGGTCAAGAAAACGATACTCTTGTTCGTAGATCCATTCTTTTCTTTTCTCTTCATTTGTAAATTTGTTCATGAGACATGTTAAAGTCAATAACAAACTTTCACATTTGATTAGATCCGTTTTTTTATCATATGAAACATATTAAAGTCAAGTTTATAAATTTTCACCTTTATCAGTCCTATTCTTTCTTTATGTTTTTCCGAAAAGACCTGAAAAATGTTGCACTGACCCGTGATGTTGCTAACCTCTGAGTTAGTTAAATTTGTGAATATTATATTTCTAAGATTGGATATTGTTTTAACATTTTTTATTAAAGAGAATTAAACCGTCTCCATATGATTTTTTATTTTTATTTTTTATTTTTTATTTTTTGTGATAGTGTAATTCTCATTCTTAAAAAAGAAAAATTAGCAATTTATATAGGTCAAGAAAACGATACTCTTGTTCGTAGATCTATTCTATTTCTTTTCTCTTCATTTGTAAATTTTTTCATGAGACATGTTAAAGTCGAGATTACAAACTTTCACATTTGATAAGATCCGTTTTTTTCTCATATGAGACATATTCAAGTCAATAATACAAATTTCCACCTTTATTAGTCCAGTTCTTTCTTTATGTTTTTCCGAAAAGACCCAGATTTAAAAGAATGTTGCACTGACCCTTGATGTTGCTAACATGTAAGTTAGTTAAATTTGTGAATATTAGATTTATAAAATTGGGTATTTTTTTGACATTTTTTTATTAGAGAGAACTAAACAGTCTCCATCGGCATTATTTTTTGTGTTAATGTAAAGCTTATTTTTATAAAAGAAAAACCGCAATTTAGATCAAGAAAACGATACTCTTGTTCGTAGATCCATTCTTTTTATTTTCTCTTCATTTGTAAATTTGTTCATGAGATATGTTAAAATCAAGATTACAAATTTTTACATTTGAGTAGATCTGTTTTTTTTTCTCATCAAAACATATGTGGATATAAATGAATGTTGGTTTTTACCCGTGATGTTGCTAATTTTTGAGGTAATAGAATTTGTGAATATTAGATTTCTTCAAGTTTAGATATTGTTTAGATATAAACTGTCTCTATCAATATTATCTTTTATGTTAGTATAAAGCTCGTTTTTATTTTCGAAATTTGGCAATTTATTGTCCATATCATATTTTAAATTTATTGTTAACCTAAATACTCTTTTTTTTATTCCAATTTTATCCATCAAAAATGTTAATTAAAGAGTTTTTAATTAGAGATTCATTTTAATTATATGCAAATTCTTTTTTAAAAGTTCAATTTGAAACTGATCACCAAGTTAGAGATCCCTTCTTTCCTGTGGTTTCTCCGAGTCATCACACATGTCTCTTGTGGATCTCAGATGCCTCCAGCATCATCATGATGTCTCTTCTCAGTCCTCACGGCAGCCTTGGCCCTTGCGATTCCGATCTCCAGCCATTTCCTTTTCCCGAAGCTATCTTTCGATTGCTCCTTGCATGCGAAATCAGAGAATTCATACCCTATTTATGTTTCTTCTACGTGCTTCCGGCGACTGGACTCCACCGGCTTTGGGAAAATTGAGGTTATTGCCTTCACCTTATTCTCAATCTATCTTCCGAAACAACCTTTAGTTTCTTGTCGATCCCGCTTCTAATTTTTGTCTTTTGAAACAGGAATTGCAGGTTATGGTCTTCTGGGTTCAGTATTTACTCAAACTCATTCTGAAAGGGACAATGCTTTGAATTCTCTTTACCTCTTTGATTTCTCTTTGTAGAAACTTTAAATGTATTAGCTTCTGCCATTTCTGATTATCGACCAAGAAGAACTTTTTCTCTAAACTCTTTCGCTCTCTCAAACTCTTTTGAATTGACTATTTCCTTTTTTGTTTTGTAAAATAACTTAATTTTAATTGATTCTTATGTCTCTTTGTTTTGATTTTTCCGGTACTTAAAATCCAATGTCTACAAAGCATTTCCTACCAAATTGAGTAAGGAAGTTTGTCACAATCGGGTAAAGATTTATTCTGATTAATACTCTAGGTAATATATCTATTTTGACAATAGTAATCTCTTTTTAATCTATTTCATCTTTGATTAAATCCGTTCTTTCTTTCCGTCTCTCAAAAAAAAACTATATCTAAAAGAATGTTAATACTTACATGTGATGTTGCTAACTTTTGAGTTAATTGAGTTTGTGAACGTTAGGTTTATAAGATTGGATGCTCATGCGAAGTCTCTCCAGAAACCGGTTCATCAAGTGATGCTCATCCTCCATGCCAAAACCCGCATGCACCAACAGACGACTGAACTCCGCATCATACTCGCGTACAGAACGCGAATCCTGCTCAATCGCCATAAACTGCATTTGAAGACGGTCTTGCGCCTGCCTCGGGAAATACTTGGCGTTGAACTCTACAAGGAAGTCGTCCCAAGTCCAAACTGCCCTCCGGCCCACAGCGGCCTGCCACCACAAATGAGCATCGCCACTCAAGTAGTGGACCGCTAACTCCACCCAGTACTCCATAGGACAACGGATGGAATGAAAGTTCCGCTCCACTCTCTGTCGTCACGCGTCCACCTCCTCCAAACCAACTCTGCCCTCGAAGAAAGGCATACCAATCCTCTGCATGTGGCCCATAAACTCCAAATACCGCGCATCTGCAGTCCCCGGCTGCACAGCCTCCGCAGCCACATGCTGCACTCCTGCCATAGGAGGTACTCCCGGAGCCCCCTGTGGAACCACTGGCGGAAAACGAGCCAATAGCTGCGTCAGCAACCCCACCACCAAGTCATCACGACCCGGAGCCGGAGCGCCACCCCCACCCGGAGCAGCCCCCGCTCCCAAACCAACACTAGCATCCCCACTGGCCTCACCCGCCATGGATACTGATTGGGTCACCGACACAGTCGCCACACTCTCTCCCGAATCCGCCGGAACACCACGACCTCAGCCCCGGCCTCCACGCCCTCTCGCTCTGCCACCACGGCCTCTAGCACCGCACCCTCTCGCGCCACGACCTCTAGGAGCCCCGTCCATCTCACTGCATGGACCCGAACATGAGCAACTAGACAATAAACACAAAAGCACAAACACCAAAACTTACCGCGGAATCTCCTGTGGCTGAAGGGGATGATACTAAAGTCTAACAATTTTAACAGTCCTAAAACCGTCTAGGCTCTGATACCAAAATGAAACAACCAACATTTTTTTTTTTAAAATCAATTAAATAACAATTCAGCGGAAGTCTTTAAATAAATAAATAATAACTCATGTTCAACAAATGAATTCAAATAAAATAATAAAAGAAATACTAGCAACCTAAACACCAGGTACTAACAAGTCAAATAATGCAAAACAAAGAAACAATAAACATCCTATCATCCCCCTCTTCAGGCTTGATTCTGCGATCACATAAATCTTTTATCTGCAACACATTGGAATGGAGTTGCATAAGTATTTATTAAATACTTAGTGAGACAATCACTCTGCCTACATGCCATTTACGTAAGTTACTAGATATTTAATAATATTTATAAACTCCAATAATTATTAAATACCATTTTCCAATTATTGAATAATCCTTAATGATTAAATAATAATTTTCCATAATTAAAATAATTAATAATTAAATCATTTAATTAATTAAATACTCAATAATTAATTAAATACCGGAATTAAACCAATTAATGCGATCAAACCAATTCCAATTCAATTAAACCATTTAATTTCAATTGCACTAATTAAATCAATTTAAACCGGGTTGAACCGGACTGTGTCGAGCGACACAAGATTTGTGTCGCTCGACACGGACCACTTTGTGTCGACCGACACAAGCTTTGTGTCGCTCGACACACGTTTCAGAGCCCGACACCAACATCAACGAAACAGCACAAAACTTACAGGAAACAACGAATCCACCACGATTCAACCACAATAGCACGGAGTCACTCAAACCACATGAACAACAATCAATGAATCCGAATCTAGATAAACCGCGGACCTACAGTCATGCACCCACCTCTATAAACGGATTGAAAGGGAAAGGAGGAGACATGGCGATGAACTACAACAAACGGCACCTCGATCTGCCTCTAGAAGCTCGGATTCACCACGAAATTCGTTCAGGAACTCAGCCTCTCTTCTTCTCACAAACACCAGCCGTAAAACGACAAAAAGGAGGTGGCTGCTGATCCTTTCATTCGTGGTTTCCAACCCTTAATCGACTAACCCAAAAATCGATTTCACTCAAATCGAACCGGGAATCGCGACCAGGGTCTGTGTCGACCGACACAACTCTTTTGTGTCGCTCGACACCACCCAAAAATCACACTTCTCAGGTTTATGGATGTTACAACTCTCCCCCACTAAATTGGATTCGTCCTCGAATCCCACAAACGTCACAAAGACCACAAAACCCGACCTCGCAAGGCCGCAACACTGGAGATCCTCACCTGATCCCCGAGACATACGTCAAATCCTATGTCATAAGCACGTTCCAAGAAATTTTCACTCCTAACTCATCATCCAAAACACACAAAACAACTTGTACTGAGGCCCACTTGCACCCAGACAAGTCCACACCGGTCCGCACTGAGGCCCACTTGCACCCAGACGAACCCGAAACTGCCCCATACTGAGGCCCACTTGCACCCAGATGAACTAAACTGCTTATACTGAGGCCTACTTGCACCCAGATAAGCTACACTCAACTGAGGCCTACTTGCACCCAGAGAGTCTGCCAGAGAACGAAGTCTCCAAAAATCATGATGAGTTATTCAGAATCGCAATCCTTAGAGTAAAAATTCCGGAAAAATGTCTATAACCATAAGATTAGACCGTCTCACAACCAAAAACTGGTCAAACATGTGTAACATCCGAATACCATTTCACAACACAAGACAAAATGAGGAAAAACTGCATCTCATTAAAACTCCAAAATGTATATCGTTACAACAAACGAAAATACAAGTACAAAGCCAAAAAAACAACTGGGAACTAAAAATGAAATAAGCTCACTCCTCGACCTGCTTGTCGAACCACTTCCTGAACTTCAACTTCATCTTTGCCTCTGGCTCCCAAGTCTCCTCTGTAGAACCACTGCAATCCCACAAAATCCTCAGTAAGGGAATCCTCTTGTTCCTCAGAACCTTTTCCCTCCTCTCTAAAATCCTCACAGGCACTGCCGGCACTGTCAAATCTGGCTGAAGATCCTCTGGAATCCTAGCCACTAACTCCTCTGTAGGGTGAAGACACTTCCTCAGCATCGACACATGAAAAACCTTGTGAAAGGCTTTCATAATCTCAGGCAACTCCAGCCTGTAAGCCAATGGCCCAACTCGCTCCACTACTGGAAACGGACCCATAAAACGCGGACTCAGCTTGTTCTCTACTCCGAACCAGTCACTCTAGTCGCATCCAGCAAACTCTGATCACTATCCTGAGCAACTCTGATCCTGCTAAGTAGGTCCGCCTGACCCACTGCCTCTAAACCCAAAGGCTCCTGCGAAATGGCACACAGACGCAAGGTACTGATCTCACCAACTAGAGACTCCACATCTCGCTCAACTGCAGAATCATACCTCCGTCTACTCAACGCGTCCGCCACTAGGTTAGCCTTGCCCGGATGGTAGTTAATGTTCACATGATAGTCCGCCAAGAACTCAACCAGCGCGTCTGTCTCGCGTTCATCATCGGCTGAGTGAAGATATGCTGCAAACTCTTGTGATCCGTACTGTCTCACCCAGCAAGTAAGACCTCCAAATCTTCAGCGCGAAGATCACTGCTCCCAACTCTAAGTCATGTGTAGGACGGTTACGCTCACTGCCTTGCCACTGTCTCGAAGCATATGCTATCACTCTGCCCTCCTGCATCAGCACACAACCCAAACCAATGCCTGAAGCATCTGTATACACCATGTAAGGCTTCTGTGGCTCGGGTAACGCCAACACTGGTGTAGTAGTCAACATCTCCTTGAGCTGACTGAAGCTCTCCTCACACTCAGCTGACCATACAAACGGGACATCCTTCCCAGTCAACTTCGTCATAGGCTGCGCCATGGTAGCAAACCCCTTGACGAACCTCATGTAGTATTGATGATAGGATTTGTGTGTGATGTGATGATATGAAATGATATGAGGTGGAATGCAACAGTGGTAAATGAAGATGAGATGGTATGGTGCAATCACAATCAATCAATTCCTCTTAACCATCATAGTCGATGTAGTATAAGGGTTATCAATCCATAAGGGTGAGATGTTGCTCTATGAGAATATGCAAACACAAGAAAGTCAAGCCAAATGATTAAAAGGATGATGTAAACTAAACAACCTAATATGAAATGAAATGCAAGCATAAAGCAGTAAATAAAAGCAGCTCGACCAAGAGCTCGATCGAAGTTGATGAGCTCGATCGAGTTGAGGGTCGAGTTGGTGTAAAAACAGAGGAAAGCGAATGAAAAGCAATAAAGGTGCAAACTTTAAGATGCTAATGCGAAGATTAGGGTTAAAGACAGGGTTTTGCAGCTAAAGGGAGGCTATACTTAATCAGTCTTGCTCTTAAACAACTTGTACTCAAGCTATCTCTTGGTATTGAGCTTCTCAAGCCTAGCTAACCCTTTCCCAAGGTGAAAGCTATCATCCAAGGCATGATCTCAGAAACAGGGGGTTAGCCAGTGAGAATCAAGCCTTGGAGGCCATAGGATCATTGCTCAAACTAACCCATCCAACACCTATGAACTCCATTTCGAGAGCAAGATTTATTGGAGCTCTTAGTGGACCTTTTCAACGATTTCCCAACACTTCCATGTGGAAAATCGCCTAGACTCATACAAGCCAGGGGTAGTGGTCATGTAGCCTTAAGGTTTGCCCAAAAGAGAGAGATTTTAGATTAAGCAAAGCATAAACAACCTCTAACCTATCCCATCTTAAACCCTAAAGGGAACTACTCACTACACATGATGAAATAAACAACCAAATGCAATGAAATAGACATTGAAAAGATAGAGGAGAAGCAAATAGAACAACTTTTATTGAAATAGAGAAGTGCAGAAATACAATAATAAAGCCTAGATCTAAGGTTCTATGAGCAAGAGCTCAAGAACACAAAGAGAGGCTAAAAAGTAAAAAGGGAAATGCAAATACAAGATTAAATAAAAGTTGAGCCAAAAGCTATGTTTAGCCAATTTATAGTAAAGCAAACTAGGTTTAGGGTCAAAGGGGAGTCAAAGGGAAGCAACATTTTTCGGGTTTGACTTTGACTCCTGGAAAAGCAGCTCGATCGAGTTGGAAACTGGCCGGTCGAGCTGGTGGGTCGAGTCCAACCAAAATCGTCGTATCTTCTGAACCGCTGGTCCGAATGACATGAAACCACCTCCAGACGAAAGCTAACTCAATTATCCACAACTTCCAAGAAGAAGTCAGAGGCTGAATCGGAGTGTAAACCCTTCATTTGATACGATACTTCGGACGCATCTCACTAGCTCGACCGAGTGCGGGTCCGTACATGGGGCAGACAGAGTCTTTCCTTCCTCAACTAGTCTCCAGTGATAGGCAATGTTCCAATTAGCTCCAAATGACCTGATTAAGACATCAAACGTGCATATGTATGCAAATGCAAGCCTAAAACTACTATGTATGCAAAAGAAGAGAAAACATCAAGAAATGATGCTTTGGGTGAATGAAACTATGCAAAAGTGCATAAAAGGGGCTAAAACCATGTAAAATGCAAGTACATCAAGTATCCTGCCAAACCCAGAAAACTCCTGATCTCGGTGGCACTACTAGGTCTAGGCCAATCTCTGATAGCCTCAATCTTAGCCGGATCCACAGAAACTCCCTCTGCAGAAACAATGTGGCCAAGAAATCCCATCTCTCGCTGCCAGAAACTGCACTTGCTCAACTTAGCAAAAAGCTTCTGCTCCCGAAGCTTCTCCAGAACCAACCTCAAGTGAGTCGCATGCTCCTCCTGACTCCTCGAGTATACCAGAATATCGTCAATGAAAATGATGACAAACACGTCCAAATACTCCCTGAACACGTCGTTCATCAATCTCATGAAGGCTGCCGGCGCGTTAGTCAAACCGAAAGGCATAACCACAAACTCAAAATGCCCATAACGCGTCCTGAAAGCAGTCTTCCTGACATCTGCCTCATCTATCGGGATCTGATGATACCCCGATGCCAAGTCAATCTTGGAGAACCAAGTAGCACCCCTCAACTGATCCAACAACTCATCAATCCTCGGGAGTGGGTACCTGTTCTTCACAGTGACTCGGTTAAGACCTCTGTAATCGATACAAAGTCTGAAACTGCCATCCTTCTTCTTCACAAACAACACCGGTGCTCCCCACGGTGAAACACTTGGTCGAATGAACCCCTTAGACAAAAGGTCCTCTATCTGCTTCTTCAGCTCTGCCAACTCAGCTGGCGCCATCCTGTAAGGCGTCTTCGATATCGGTGCTGTCCCCGGCTCTAACTCAATCGTGAAAGGATCAGACCGAGATGGTGGTAATCCCTTCAGTGACTGAAAGACATCCTCAAAATCCTGGACAACCTCAATATCTCCCATAACAACTCCAGCTCCTGACTCAGACATAGAAATCGTCGCCAGATACGCCTCACAGCCCCGCTCTAACAACTGCTCGGCCTGAATAGCAGATATCACAATACTCCCGGAAGTCGGTCTCACTCCCTGATAAACCAACCTCCCTGCATCTCGCTCGAAGACCACTCTACCTCTGTAGCAATCCAGATGAACTCTGTAGTGTGACAACCAGTCCATCCCGAGAATAACGTCATACAGCTCCACCGGACTGATGACTAAGTCTGCTGGCATTGACTGCCCCGCAATCTCGATCTCGACTCCTCTAGCACGGCCCAAAGTAGACAAGAATCCACCTCCCGCCACCTTGACCATGCCCGCGCTCTCGCCCGCGCTACTCCGGATGCCACTCTTCTCGGCACGCTCCGGTGTAATGAAGCAATTCGATGCTCCAGAGTCGAATAAAACGTGGGACTCAAAACCGCCCACTAACAAGGTCCCTACACATTCAATTGCGTTGAGAACCTCCACAAGTATCACAGATAAAAATGACTAACAACAATAACACAACAACAAATTCTATACTAAGAATTTACAAAGTCTGAGTCGAAGATTTACCTGTGATCTGCCCGGTCAGTCTCCACTGAAGAGTAACCCCGCGCGCCGGTGCAATCTGACCCAACGGCTGCACTGCTGCGATCTGACTCACTGGCTGAGCCGCTACTGGCTGAACCGAAGCCACCGACATACTCTGCAACTAGGACACATGGGCTTGATATGCCCAGGCTCCTTGCAGTAGTAACACACCCTCGGTGCTGACTCCCTCTTGGGACAACTCGAAATACGATGCTCCGTGCTCCCACACCCAAAACACGAACCACGAGGAAACTGACTAGCACCAGAAAACTCCTCTCTACTCCTCTTCTGACCCTGCGCAGGCAAACCACCCCTGCCCCTGCCTGCGCTGCTGCTGCTGCTGACTCCGAGGTGGGATAGCAGGAGCAGACGGCACAGCCACCGGACCAACTGGCCCACTCAAGATCCGCCTCTACCGACGCGGCCAACTCTACCAGACTCGCCCTCGAAGTGTGCATACTACTCTGCATAGCGTCCGATATCCTTGCGAAGTCCCTCCAGAAATCCGGTTCGTCAACTGATGCTCACTCCATCCCCGCATGCACTAACAGACGGCTGAACTCCTCATCATACTCGCGTACAGAACGCGAACCCTGCTCAATGCCATAAACCGCATCTGAAGACGATCACGAGCCTGCCTCGGGAAATACTTGGCGTTGAACTCCACAAGGAAGTCGCCCCAAGTCCAAAATGCCCTCCGGCCCACCGCGGCCTGCCACCACAAATGAGCATCGCCACTCAAATAGTGGACCGCTAACTCCACCCAGTACTCCATAGGACAACGGATCGAATGAAAGTTCCGCTCCACTCTCTGACGCCACGCGTCTGCCTCCTCTGGACCAACTCTGCTATCGAAGAAAGGCGTACCAATCCTCTGCATGTGGCCCATAAACTCCAAATACCGCGCATATGTGATCGCAGGATCAGGTCTTCCCTTTTCCTATCCCTGATTCTGCAAGTGCACAGGTCAGAAGTAGTAAACGGGTATCGAACACGAGGACCAGATTGCACACTACAAACTATAAGATTGAGATCGAGCTAGGGCAAACAGTATGAGATTGGTTGAGTGCAGTGAAAGTAAAGGCATGCAAGTAATAAGAAAGATTGAAATCAATAGGAGAGAGGGCTAAGCAATAGGATAGTCTTAAGATAAGCAATTCATGAAGCAAGGATCAATCAATTAGGGTTATTGCAATTAGGTGCCAATCTAGAACTCGAAACACTATGGTATGATGTTTCCACTTTTGTGGCTCCGACCCCTTTGTTAATCTCCCTAGTCGCTAAACTTTTGGTATGTCCCTAGGTGATTAAATCAAGCATTAGTTCGATTAAGTTCAATTGTTCACAACCTACAAGTAAATCAACTTTCGCAGTCTAAAAGAGGTTGCCCACCAAATACTAGTTCAGGCGAATGATACAGCACTTTTGAGGCTCAAATCAACCTAGATCATATGCTAATTGGCCAGATTAACAACAAGCATTAAGTATAAGCAAAGATGAAGATTATAAGTAAAACCCTAATTGTGATCGATCATCAAGCATACATGAATGCTATCCTTTGACTTCCTATCACTTAACAAGTAAACTACTCAGACATAGAGAAGGAAACGAATTCATATTCATAAGAACAGAGATTCGAATCCTCTCTAGAAAGAGAACAAGCAAGAACAAAGTAAAAGCAAGCAAAACTTTATTAAAGATGTAAAGTAAATTGTGGTCTCTCTCCTTCTTGAGTTACAAGGCTAAAAAAAGTATTTATAATGCTGTATGAAAAGCGGCTAGACCTAAATCTTGCATTGGGCTTGAAACGTGTGAAACGGGCTTCAAAAACGGCTTCGGGTCGACTAGACCGTTCGAACTTTCGCAGTCTAAAAGAGATTGCCCACCAAATACTAGTTCAGGCGAATGATACAGCACTGTCGAGGCTCAAATCAACCTAAAGGCATATGCTAATTGGCCAGATTAACAACAAGCATTAAGTATAAGCAAAGATGGAGATTATAAGTAAAACCCTAATTGTGATCAATCATCAAGCATACATGAATGCTATCCTTTGACTTCCTATCACTTAACAAGTAAACTACTCAGACATAGAGAAGGAAACGAATTCATATTCATAAGAACAGAGATTCGAATCCTCTCTAGAAAGAGAACAAGCAAGAACAAAGTAAAAGCAAGCAAAACTTTATTAAAGATGTAAATAAATTGTGGTCTCTCTCCTTCTTGAGTTACAAGGCTAAAAAGAAGTATTTATAATGCTCTAAGTATGAAAAGCGGCTAAACCTAATCTAGCTAGGTCGGCGCCGGCTTTGGGCTTGAATTGTGCGGATTGGGCTTCAAAAACGGCTTCGGGTCGACCGCGGCGTTCGGACGGTCGGTCGGGACGATCGGCCGGACAGTCGGGTCGGGGCCGGTCGGAACGGTCGTGGCCGGAGATTTCGGTCGGCCGGCGGGTCGGACGGATGAGGTTTGGCCGATGGTCTTCGGCCGCGACGGGCGAGCCTTCCCGGTCGGACGGATGTCGGCCGCGGTACGTGAGTTGCGCGGCCGCGAGGCGTTGTTCCCGGTCGCGCGCGCGGTCGTGCGCGGTGGCGTGGTGTTTGGCCGACCGCGGGACAATGTTTCCCGGGTCGTGTGTGATCGGCCGTGGACTTTGGCCGAGACAGTCGGATGATATTGGCCGAGCGCGGAACATTCGTTCTCTCGGCCGGTGTGCGCGGTTCGGCGCTGATTCTCGATAGGCTGTCTGGAGCAGTCTTCACTCTTTTGGCTATAACTCCTTTTCTACTCATCCAAATGAGCCATTCCAGTTGCGTTGGAAAGTTAACTCAATCAGAGCACGCAGGGAACTGGTCTTGATGAAATCCATTGAGTAGATCTTTTTCTAGCTCCATCCAAAGTTGATGCTGTGCATTGAACTGGTTTAGAGTCCAAATCCTCTGTTTTGCTCCATAATGCACCTTTTTACCTAAAATGACTCTTTGCACTATAAATCCATAAAAACTACCTTTTAACACAAGAATCCACTAGAAAACCATTAGAAAACCATAGTAAAATAGCATAAAAAGTAGGTAAAATAGAGGTATATCAACTCCCCCAGACTTAGATCTTTGCTTGTCCCCAAGCAAAAAGAATCTAAACTAGTGAAGAGGTTTTGAAAAACGTGGGAACTCCCTTGCTTCTTTGAAAATCCTGTGAAAGGTTCCTTTCCTGTATTCCACTAAGAACATAGTCAACATAAGGTTAGCTTCACATACACCCTGCAAGTTTAGCGAACAATACCAACCCAACTAGTCTCATCCAGCAATCCAAACTCTCTATTGCTAACCTCTTGCATAAATTTAAAGCGTGAGTTCTTTATCAAGGGAAATCGATCAATTGAACTTGTTCTTACCCACTTGATCTTCTCCAAGATTGTCTTTGAAGTGCAATGAGTTCTTTTCCTCTCTCTTTCTCACATCAGAACTTTGAAAGGTCAATTTCTCCCTACTTTTCTAGGGTATCATTTTATTTTTTCTATTGACCTTCTTTCAACCACAGGATAAGTCTTTAGCTTGTTCCTTGTTTGATAAGGTATTCCATAAGACATGAAGGTACAGACATATGCATTCCTCATGCTTACTTGTTTTCCTTGTGCTCTTTGAGCTTTTCTCATAAACATTACTTACCATTTGGGATGGGAGAGAGAGGAGAACTCTTTAGACAAATCTCATTGAAAATCAAGCAAGGAACTGTCGACATGTATGCCAATCCCCTTGACAAGAGTTATTAAGATTGATTAAGGGTGAGGTTAACTCTAGATTGCTTGGTTACCTTAGAAATTTCGCTGAGCTAGCATGTCGATCCACTGTAGGAGCTTCTGTTAGGCTTGTGCCTTCAGCTGATGTTTGCTCTAGGGTCATAGATTGTTAGCACAACACTATCAAATCTCAAAGCAAGTTCATTGTTCCGGACTGGTTTTGACTCAATAAAACAGAAGTTTTGAAAAAGTGGGTAAAAAAAAATAAAGATCAAAACAACCATGAACAAACACATTAGTACCGACAATCCCCCCAGACTTAACTTGCACCGTCCCGGTGAAAGAAAATCCAATTAAGGGAGTTAAAGAAAGAGGTAATAAAGTGGTTGTGAATGTAAAAAGAAAGATGTAACCTGATTTGTGTTACTTGAAGAATGGTGAATGCAGTGGAATGATGGTAGTGATGGAATGCAAGTGTGGTGAGGTGGGATGGGTGAGATGCAGATGGAATGAGATGGGATGGTGTGTTGGGCGGCTTGAGAGGACATGGGCGAGCGTGGAGAGGTTCTGCTCGGCCATCTAAGTCGCGCCAACTATGAACATTCTTCTTGTGGTATATCTTCTTTACCATTGTGTGGTTCTTAGATTCCTGTATCCAAAACTCAAAACAAAACTAGACATTAACTAAAACTAATTGAAAAGAAAAGTAAAGAAAAACACCTTTCATGGGTTGCCTCCCATGCAGCGCTTCTTTTGAGTCATTAGCTTGACTGATAGGATCTCTTAGTTGGAGATGGGGTAAGGGCACGGCCTGAGACATAGTCTTTTAGTTCTTGTCTCATTGTGACCTTGAGTGTGGTCTGGTGGCTCTCTTGGGCGGCCTTGGGCAGTGATGAGGTAAGACAGCTTGTTTGGTGAGATGAATGGTATGGTCTTGTAAAAGACTGTCTTGTCAACATTGGCTAAGGACATTCGCCGGTTTGGAAGGTCCATGACAGCTCCAGCAGTGGCCAAAAAGGGTCGGCCTAGTATCAATGGTGTGTCACATCCTCCTTGAATGTTTATGACATGAAAGTCCACCGGGATCTTGATATCTCCAATCTCTAGAAGAACATCAACAACAACTCCTCTTGGCTTGGCTATAGTATGGTTAGCAAGTCCAATACTAATTTGAGCAGGTTGCAAGCGTGTGATGCCAAGGAGTTTGGCGGTTTGGGTTGGCATGAGGTTTATGCAAGAGCCAGAATCGCATAGTGTTCTATCAAAGTAATGACCATTTACTTGACAGGGAATAGAGAATTGACCTGGGTCTTCAATCTTGTAGAGGGTCTTGAAGGTGGCTGAACTTTAGCTTTCTCAAAAAGCTCTTTATGTCCTCAGGTGTCTCTTGCAGTTGTGGAAGAAGGTGGTGAATGGGTAGTGGCGCCAAGCTTGTTGGAAGACATGCTGGCTGGAAGAGTTTGGACAAACTGGATTGAACTCAGCAAGCTTCTCTCTTGATATGGAATTGACATACCACGGTGGTGGTGATGATGGTGGTGATGGTGGTTGATTGACTGCATGAGGGGCAATGGGAAATCGAGCCTTCCTGAAAAGTTGGTGTATCTCTTCTTTGTTTTCACTAGTTGTGAAAAAGAACTCCACTAGACCATGTTTATCCCAAGCTTCTTCAAAAGTGACATAGAATGGAAGTGATTTCACCTTAGCATTGAACTCTTTAAGCTTCATGGGGCTTATCTTGTTGGGATCAATGGGATCATACTGCCAAGTATCTTCTTCTTCAGTAGGTGGTGATGGTCTTTGCATTGCTTCCAATCTTGGAAGTGTAGAAGCTTGACTTCTTGGTGAGAAACGAGGGTCTCTAGGGCTTGGTGTATCCATGCTCTGTTTTGGGGAAGCATTGATGTCGATGCTCTGCTCTTCATCTTCATCATTCAATTGTTCCTCATACTCTCTTTCTTCTTCTTCATTGTCCTCATGGACTTGAGTAGTGCTTCTTCTTGTGATGGCATTGCAATAAAAGGGAGGGTGGTTGGGTGTTGGACTCCTCTCTCTCTTGTAATTGGCATGAGATGATCCTTCAAGGGCTTGTAGGCGGTTGTAGATTGATCCAAGGTGTTTGCTATTGCCATAGCTAGTATCTTCAATTCTCATGCTCTTGTTCAGCAACTCTTGATATTTGGAAGCAACATCAAGCTTAACTAGTCAAAGATCGATCATGATCCTCTCTTAACTTCTTAATGTCTTCATCAAGCTTGATCACTTGCTTGAATAGGACTTCAGATTTGTTTCCAAGGCTCTCATGGATGAAATCGATTCTTCTCTCCATCTTCTTTGTACTCTCTTCTTGATTTCTCAAGTACTCTTGAAGCATATCTTCAATCTTGGTTGGCGCAGCTTGATAGCTCTCCCTTGGAAAAAGAGGTGTCTTGTTTATGTCTGGTGATGATGGATGGTGTATGTGAATAGCTTGGGCGTGGTGGTGGGACATAAACAGGACCTTTGGCAAATCTGTGGAGGAAAGCTTCCTTTGTATCCATTCCAAGTCTTGAAAGCATGTTGGGCATTGAACTTAGCCCATTCCTTGGCTTGTCCAGCTAGTGATAGTTGGAAAAGTTGTATCTTCTTGGGGTTGTCTCCAAGTCCATAGTCATGCAAAGCTGCTCAAAGTTGCATAGATGCTCCTTTGCACATTCTGAAATAATTGTAGAAAGGATTCTCTCTCCACATGCTTGATTAGCTCTTCATTCAGACTTCAGGATGAGGTGGTATGCCTCCCCATTCTTCTTCATCACGCTCCCTTCTCCAGTGATGAGAGTAGTGGTGGTACTTGGATTTGAAAGGTGGTCCTTGCAAATCTCTTCAAAAAGCTTCTCTAAAATCGATCCATGACTCGATTGTAGAGTGGTTCATGCTGCGCCCAATCTAGTGCTGGTCCAGCTAGTGATGTGCTGAATAGCATCATCTTCTTCTCAAAGTCAAAAACTCCATAAGAATCACAAAGGATTGTCAAAGTGATCTATGTGCTCCAGTGCATACTCTGAAAACAGATCATGGAATTGATCTCTCTTCACGAACTCGATCAGCTCAGGGTTAATCTCCTCTTCTGGTGTGGCTAGAAGGTGTTCTTCTTGGTGTGATGCGGCTTGGCTAGACGTCTCCAGGTCGGCTGCTTCAAGGTAAGGAAGAAGTTTCTTCTTTGTCTTCAAAGTGGATGGTCTTGGAGGACTATCCCATGAAGGTGGTGGTGCTTGAGGGATCTAACATCTCTTGTTCGCTCAAGAGGTGCTTTGAGGTGGTATGTGGCGAATTGGCATCGCCTTTATAGGGGAAGAGGCTTGTGGCTCCTTCTCCATGTCTAACTAGGAAAACCTGAAAAGCTAAAAACAAAAAGGAAAAACCAAAAAGGAAAAACAAAATCAAAGAAAAAAGGAAATAACAAAAACAAAAAGGAAAAGTGAAACCCTAGACTAGCTCTCTTGCAGGAGCTTGTAGGTGGCTGATTGGTCCCCGGCAACGGCGCCAAAAACTTGATGCGGGATCAGGTCTTCCCTTTCCTATCCCTGATTCTGCAAGTGCACAGGTCAGAAGTAGTAAACGGGTATCGAACACAAGGACCAGATTGCACACTACAAGTTATGAGTTTGAGAACAAGCTAGCACTACAGGAAAAAATGGTATTTATAGCATCAGATAAACGCTATCTAAAGATATAATAGCGTTGTGTTAAACGCTATATCATCGCCCGCGATAATAGGTCTGACACTTTAGATAGCGGTTTTTAGCATTGCTATTATACTTTTATTTAATATAACGTTCTTTTCAATGCCATTGTATAATATACAATAGCAATTATAATATGTTATTAAATGTTTTATGCATAGCATTTTTATAATTTTACTATAGCGTAAAATTTCTGCAATTATTTATGAAATTAATTTAGTAATTTGAAATTTTTATATTTTCGATAGTATTTCTTTTTTATTCTTTATTTTTTGGGATAAATTGATATATGAAAAAAAATATATATATATATTATATGAAATTATGATACTAAAATGCATTGGCTGGCCCTTCCAAGCTTCTCTGCCAACCCTGAGCTCACCACGGTCTAGGAGGTGAGAACATTGACTTCAGACCCCCTGTGTACACATTAGTTGGGCATGAAGAGGATTTGCGAGAAGAGGAGCCTGAGCTCGATCGAGCTGAGGATCGAGCTGAGGACAACGTCCAGGAAGCGGATTTGGGTGAGCCTGAGTGCTACTACTTTGAGGAGTATGAGGCTCCAAGGATGAACCCCTCTGTTGTGGCTGCCACAAGAGGATTGGACTTCTCCAAAAGTTCAACAAATGGCAAGGGAAAGCCATTGAGAAGATGCAAAAGTCCATGGACAAGATGGTGAGCAAGATCAAAAGTTTGGAGAAGAAGGTTTCTGGTTCTTCAAGCAAGAAGAAGTCCAAGGCCCCCACATTCCCTAGGAGTAGGTCACTCCTCACCACCCAAAGGAGGCTCCCTGCCCAAGAGCCTCACAGAGCCTCTTCTTTCGAGCCAAGGGAGGAGAAGACAACACGCAGAGAAGGAGGAAGAGTTCCAAGGCCAGACGCTCCAGCTCGACCACCGGACTCGATCGAGTCCAAACAGAGGAAACTCAACTCGATCGAGCTGACGGTCGAGTTGACCTGGAGGAGCCCCAGTTGAGGATCCGGGATTTCGAATACGATCAATGCCTTACCAGGACTTCCTCAGAGATGGACCCCTATACAAGTCGAGCGAGCATGCTCCACCAAGGCCAAGGAAGCCACACCACTTTGAAGATGAAGAAGAGGAGAAGAGGAGCCACAAGCTCGATCGAGTGAGCCGAACCCGCAGTGGAGCGCTCCTGATGGCCGTCTCCCATCTCCAGACCACGACCTAGTCTCCCAGTTCTTTGGGGGCACTGAGGTATCCAAACACAACCCTTGTATATACCATTTCATATTTTCTTGTTTTGTTTTTTCTTGGTTTTGCCCTCTTGAATCTTTCACTAAATTTTTCTCACACAAGGGACTGTGTGATTTAAGTTTGGGGGAGGGTTCAAGAGATGATTTAACCTTGTTTTCTTTGTTCTTAGTTTTTCATTTATCTTTTGCATAGAAAAACCAAAAAAATCATAAAATTTTCAAAAAATCCAAAAATATTTTCATCTTTTTGCATTCATATTTGTTAGACTTGTTTAGGATTGCATTTTTCACTTGCATTGTTGATTTGACTTTGAAAACTTGTCCATCTTTTGCGATTTCTTGAGTGCCCTGTTTTTAGATTCTTTTGTGCATTAGGGTGAGATTGATTGAGCAGCAAGAACCATGTTTATCTTGATCATATCACTGCATGCACATCTCATTCAACCATTGCTGTGATTTGATGCATTTCCCTATCTATTTGAACCATAACTTGATCTTTAATTACCAATGCTTGCATTTGATTTCAACTCATGGCTACCACATACATATCTGGACATTCTTTACCTATTTTCATATCCCTTTGCTTGTCCAGATAGCTGATCTCTATCCTTTGAGACAGTTACCACACCTTAAACCTAAGCCTTTTCATTTCAAACCCCATATTATCTCTTGTGCGAATGTGAGAACCTTTCTTGGCTTTGCTTAGCATAAGGTGTTGTGTTTAAACCGGCAGGGGCAGTAGTTCTAGTTGTCTAGTTCTCTTGGGATTGTTTTCAGGCTAAGTTTGGGGGTGCCAACTCGAGCTCGATCGAGTTGGGTGTAAAAACCAGAAAAGTGGTAAAAGTTGGGAAAAACCCAAAGGAAAAAGAGTTTAGTTAAGTCCAGGGAGTTGGCAGTGTTAAAAAGGGTCTAGTAAAGGTTTGGGAAGTTAAAAAAGGAAAGTAAAAAGGGTTCTAAGTAGAATGAAAAGAAGGCAAAGCCTCAAGTGTCAAAAAGGAAAGAAAAGTTCCCTAAGTGTTTAGAAAATCCCAAACCGCTAGATGTTACCTCAAGAAGCCTCTCCCTAGGAAGTTCTTAAAAGAAAAGTGAGCAAAGCTCCTCAGTTTCAAAGGCGAAATGCCAAAAAGGGTAGTTAGGATTTTGTTCTAAAAAGCTCTAAGTGTTGAACTCGATCGAGTTAGGATTAGCGGCTCGAGCTGCTGTTCTTGCATCATCTTTGGTTCTAACACTTAGCCTTCTGCCAAAGCAAAGCCACTTTCTTGAGAGATCCCTGTTACTAAACCACCATACAAAAGAGACCCTCTTTGTCTCTTAACCCATAAACCCTTGAAACCAAATGAGTTGATTGATCTTGCATGTTTTTGGTTCACTGTTTTTGCTTAATGAATGTTAAAGGGATTTGCTGATTTGAATGCATTGTTTGAGTGACTGTGAAGTGGGATTGATGTTGATAAGCATGGTTAAATCTTAATGAATATCTCTCACCTTGTTGCATTCTAGAATCTCTAAGTTGGACATTTAGCAAATCGCTTTTGAGGACATGTTTTTAAGTGTTGAATCAGCTTGTTTTCAAACCTCATCTCTTCTTGTTCTATTTGTTTGCTTGAGGGCAAGCAAAGTTCAAGTTTGGGGGTGTTGATGTACTTGCATTTTACATAGTTTTAGCACATCTTTTATGCATCTTTTGCATAGTTTTAGCTTCCATTTGCATCATATCTTGTTCCTTTTCTCTTCTTATGCATTCATGTTAGTTTTAGGTTGCATTTGCATACATATGCATGTTTGGTCCTTTGAAATAGGTCTTTTGGAGCATTCTGGAGCATATGGGACATGAGGAGCATGGAGGGACTTGGCATGGACGCAGCTCAACTGGACACGCAAAGGAAGAAGGGAGAAGCCATCTTGAAGACCAGCTCGACCGTCTACTCGACCAACCGGTCGAGTTCCTCAACTCGACCGGCCAAGCTTCAACTCGATCGAGCTGGAAGTCAAAGTCAAACCCGAAAAATGTTGCTTCCCCCTTGACTTTCCTTTGACCCTAAACCTAAATCCTCTTGTATTTAAAGGCTAAGCCACGAAAAAACCACCAAGCTTTAGATTATTTTGTTTTAGTTTCTTTTAATTTATTGTCTTTTACTTTTTAGAGCTCTAATCCCATCTTTGTGTTCTTGAAGCTCTTGCTTCTTGAATCTTAGATCCTGGATAATCTCTTTGTATTTGCACTTGCTTATTTCAATAAAAGTTGTTTAATTTCATCTCCTCTTTCTTATGATGTCTCTTTTATTGCATTTGCTTGTGTTTACATTCATGTGTAGTGAGTAGTTACCCATTAGGGTTTGAGATGGGATAGATTAGAGGTTTCATATGCTTAATCCTTCTAGCTTATGGTCTTAATCTAGATTCTCTCTCTTTTGGATAGATCTTAAGGCTACATGACCACTACCCCTGGCTTGTATGTCCTTAGGCGATTCTCCACATGGAAGTGATGCATAAGAAGAGAAAAGGAACAAGATATGATGCTAATGGATGCTAAAACTATGCAAAAGATGCATAAAAGATGTACGAAAACCATGCAAAAATGCAAGTACATCAAGTGGTAGGTTTTCTTCAACTCTCATTCTTGATAGATGATCAGCTACTCCATTATCTGCTCCTCTTCTGTTCTTTATCTCAAGATCAAACTCTTGCAGTAGTAATATCCATCTTAAAAATCTTGTTTTTGCATCCTGTTTGGACAAAAGATACCTCAATGCTGCATGATCAGAATGAACTATCACTTTTGATCCCACCAGGTATGATTGAAACTTCTCAAATGCAAACACAATAGCCAGAAGCTCCTTTTCTGTCGTGGCATACTTGCATTGTGCCTCGTCAAGTGTTCTGCTGGCGTAATAGATCACATGTAGCTTCTTATCTCTCCTCTGCCCGAGCACTGCCCCTACTGCATCGGCACTTGCATCACACATTATTTCAAAGGGTAGTTCCCAGTTTGGACGTTGAACCACTGGTGCACTAACCAATGCATCATTGATCTTAGTGAAAGCTTTGTGACACTCCTTAGTGAACTCAAAGTTGATGTCCTTACACAATAAGCGTGTCAATGGCCTTGCTATATGCGAGAAATATTTAATAAACCTCCTATAGAATCCAGCATGTCCTAGGAAGCTTCTTATATCCTTGACTGTCTTGGGCGGCTGGAGGTTTGTCATGACCTCAATCTTGGCTTTGTCAACTTCTATGCCTCTCTCTGAGATCCGATGTCCAAGCACTATTCCATCTCTAACCATAAAGTGACACTTCGCCCAGTTTAGAACTAGGTGCTTGTCTTCACATCTTTGTAGCACTCATCCAAGATTCCCCAAACATGATTCAAATGAAGAACCATACACTGAGAAATCATCCATGAATACCTGATGATAGGATTTGTGTGTGGATGTGAAAAGATATGAAATGAGATGGTGGAATGCAATCAGTGGTATATGATGAGGTGGTAAGATGCAAACACAAACACAGTCAACAATTCCCTTTAACCATGATAGTTGATGTAGTACAAAGGGTTATCAATCCAAAATGGGAAACTTGTCACTCTTTGAGAATATGAAACAACCAGAAAGTCAAGCAAGCAGTTAATAGATTTGAAGTAACACTAACAACCTAAAAAAATGAAAAGCAGTGCAATAAAAGTAAACAAAGCAGTGAAGTATCAGCTCGACCAAGAGCTCGAGTCGAGTCAGACAAAGTACCAGCTCGATCGAGTTTAGGGACGAGTTGAGACAAACAAAGCTAAAGGTGACGACTTTAACAAGATAAAGAGAGAATTAGGGTTCAAGACAGGGTTTTGCAATCAAAGGAATCTACACTTAATCAATCTAGCTCTTAAAACTCCTTGTATCAAGGCTTCTCTTGATATTGGGCTTCTCAATGCCTAGCCAACCCTTTCCCAAGGTGGAGGCTATCAACCAAGGAATGATCTCAGAAACAGGGGGTTAGCCAGTGAGAATCAAACCTTGGAGGCTATAGGATCATTGCCCAAACTAATCCATCCAACCCCTTAGACCTCTATTGTCTAGAGCAAGAGATATTGGAGCTCTTAGTGGATCTTTTCCAGCGAATGCCATCACTTTCGTGTGGGGAGTCGCCTAAGGACTTACAAGCCAGGGGTAGTGGTCATGTAGCCTTAAGATCTATCCAAAAGAGAGAGAATCTAGATTAAGACCATAAGCTAGAAGGATTAAGCATATGAAACCTCTAATCTATCCCATCTCAAACCCCAATGGGTAACTACTCACTACACATGAATGTAAACACAAGCAAATGCAATAAAAGAGACATCATAAGAAAGAGGAGATGAAATTAAACAACTTTTATTGAAATAAGCAAGTGCAAATACAAGAGAGATTATCCAGGATCTAAGATTCAAGAAGCAAGAGCTTCAAGAACACAAAGATGGGATTAGATCTCTAAAAAGTAAAAGACAATAAATTAAAAGAAAGCTAAAACAAAATAATCTAAAGCTTGGTGGTTTTTTCGTGGCTTAGAGCCTTTAAATACAAAGAGGATTAGGTTTAGGGTCAAAGGAAAGTCAAGGGGGAAGCAACATTTTTCGGGTTTGACTTTGACTCCAGCTCGATCGAGTTGAAGCTTGGCCGGTCGAGTTGAGGAACTCGACCGGTTGGTCGAGTGGACGGTCGAGCTGGTCTTCAAGATGACTTCTGAATCACTCATGTTAGAGTCTTGCCTTCAAGCTTAGTTCCTGAAAGGGGTAGAAGCAAGATTCTTTTAAATAGAAAACAGTAAAAAGGAAAACAAAAGTTGAAAATTTGCAAAAACTAAAAGGAAAAACGAAATTCTAGACTAGACTATAGTTGGGAACTCGAAGGTAGCTGTATTGCTCCCTGGCGCCAAAAACTTGATCGCGGGATCAGGTCTTCCCTTTCCTATCCTTGATTCTCCAAGTGCACAGATCAAAAGTAGTAAACGGGTATCGAACACAAGGAGCAGATAAGTACACTTCGAGTATTGCAAGTCTAATATAGCTAGAAAACAAGTATGGTTTAGGGTTTTCAATTGTGTAGCAAAGGAAATCAAACAACGGATTAAACGGTTTATGAAAATCAATTAAAGGGAAACGCTAGGCAATGAGAAACTCGCAGAGATTCAAGGATAACAAGTTATTAGAAGGGTTCGCTAGAGTTGCGCTATCTAGAACTCAGGTCACGATTGTATGATCTTTCCACTGTCGAGGCTCCGACCCCTTTGTTAATCTACCTAGTCGCTAAACTTTTGGTATGTCCCTAGGTGATTAAATCAAGCAATAATTCGTTCAAGACCCAATTGTTCACAACCCCGCATAGATCAACTTTCGCAGTCTATGAAGTTTTGCTCACCAAATACTTAGTTCAGGTTATATAGCAAGCTTTTGGAGAGTATATGAAACCTAAGATCTGATGCTAGATGATCAGAAAAGCAAGCAGCAATGAATTCAAGCAGAGGCGAAGAGGCGAAATAGTAAACCCTATCTGACTTCTAACAACCTATCAAACCATGAACTCTTTTATAGATCTCACAACCTAACTGGTGAATTACTCAGATATAATCAAAGCAAAAACACAAAGAGATGAAGAAAACATGATTGCAATAAAAATGAAAGTGTGAAATCGTAATACAAGGCGGCTCTGTTTTCACAAGAGGCTAAAAAGCTATGTATATAGTGCTAGGTCTTTTGAGGCGGCTTAGGGTTAAGCCGGGCCTTGACAATATGAAATCGGGCTTCAAAACGGGCTTTGGGTCGACCCCGGCGTTGGGACGGTCGGTCGGGACAATCGGCCGGACAGTCGGGTCGTGGCCGAGTCGGAACGGTCGTGGCCGGATGATTTCACGGTCGGCCGGCGTGGTCGGACGAATAAAGATTTGGCCGATGGTTTCTCGGCCGGACGTAGGACGTTCTTTCCCGGCTCGGACGGATGCATCGGCCGTGGCACGCGAAGTGGGTTGCGCGGCCGCGAGGCTTTGTTCTCCGGCTCGCGCGGCATGGTCGTGCGCGGCGTGGCGTGAAACGGTTGTAGCTTGGCCGACCGCGGGCTTAGGTTTCCCGGGTCGTGATATGTGATCGGCCGGTCGGTTTCGAACTTTGCCCGAGACTTCAGACGGATGGATATAACTTTGGCCGAACGTGAAATAATAGTTTCTCGATAGAGCTGTCTGGCCAGTCTTCACTCTTTTGGTTATAACTCCGTTTCTACTCATCCAAATTAGGCCGTTCCAGTTGCGTTGGAAAGTTAACTCAATCAGAGCATGCAGGGAACTGGTCTTGATGAAATCCATTGAGTAGATCTTTTTCTGGGCCCTCTTAAAGTTGATGCTTGTGCATGGAGCGGCTTGAAGTGCAAATCCTATGGTTTTGCTCCAAAATGCATCATTTCACCTGTTTAGACTCTAGACACTATAAACACAGTAAAACTACCTTTTTAGATAGAAAACCTGCCAAAAACCATAAGAAAACAATGCTAAAATAGTATAAAAAGCATGTAAAATAGAGGTATATCAACGGCCGAACGCGAAAACTCTCGGCCACGATCGTCCTGACCGTGCCGATAGCCGACCACGACCCGATAGCCGGCCCATCGTCCCGACTGACCGTCCGAACGGTCCGGTCGATCCGAAGCCCGTTTTGAAGCCCGTATCACACGTTTTCACGGCCGACTTAACCTAATGCCGCCTCTGAAGACCTAGCACTATAAATACAACTTTTTAGCCTCTTGAGAGAGAGCCGCTTTGTATCACGTTTTTCTGTACTTAGAGATTTATTCAATCATGTTTTCTTCAACTCTTTGTGTTATTGCTTTGATCATGTCTGAGTAATCCACTAGTTATGTTTCTAGGGTTACTATTCAATGAGTTGCTTGCATGATCTTTGATTTCGGTGTTTAGCTAGGGATTATCTTAGAGTTTTTGTCTCGTCTTGTTCACTTAACTAATGCTGATTGCTTTACCGCGCATCTAGTAATCCGATCTTAGGTTGACTTGAGCCTCGAAAGTGTTGTATCATTCGTCGGACATATTCTTTGAGAAGCTAGTCTTTCTTAGACTGCGAAAGTTGATTTACTTAACCTAGTGAACTGTATCGGAACCCGCTCGATCTAATGCTTGATTTAATCACCTAGAGACATACCAAAAGTTTAGCGACTAGGTAGATTAACAAAGGAACCGGAGCCTCGAAAGTGGAATGGTTTTATATTCGTGATCTGTGTTCTAAACGGTTTTAATATCCCAATATCCCTACATCAATTCATCTATCATTGTTTCATTGATCATTGCTTGCTTCTCTGCGATTAGCCCCTGTTGACCTAGCGCTTCTTCCCTTATTGATTTACAACCTATTTACTTGCTAGTTCTAGTTACAATTACAACCTCTAATTCATACTTTTGTTTTAGCTTGATCCAAAATCCATAGTTTCAAAGTGTACTCAATAGCCAGTCCTTGTGTTCGATACCCATACTTCCGCGATCTGTGCACTTGCAAAGGTCTAAAGAGTTTGGTAAAACCTGACTCACATCACTACTTCGAGAATGATTATTTTGCTGGACCTATAATTACTAACTGGACTAGCAAGAGAGATATAAAAATCCTGTGAAGTGATTAGTCGGATATGCTTGCGATGTTGCTGTTTTTGG